TAAAATTTCAAGTTGATATGGAGTGTTGAATGGATTAGTCTGGGCGCATGCGCATTTTAGTGATACCGCAAGTGTCTATGTCAAGCATCAATAATTTTGTCGTGCATAGGATTTGTACAGTATACAAATATTGAATGCTTCGAGTGGTGTAGTAAAACTAGTCTCCCGAGGTGATCCAAAGACATTCTATTTTCCCGAGGCGAAAAACTACCCCTTCGCGAAATGTTTGAACCCAACTCTGTAGCGCTCTCTTTGGAACGCACTACGCGCAATGCGCAACGCGCACACCAGCATGCATTATTTTGCAAACAAATACTGCGCCTTGGAAATAGTATTTTTGGTTGCTAATGGTATAGTACTTTGGTTGCTACAGGTATAGTACTTTTGGCCTTGCTCAGAAAGATAGCAAATATAGAAAGTGTCATGTGACTCGCTCTCGGCCAATTAAGACACAGAATCTGCGGGTGAGGTGTTATGAACCCTAATATGATGCATGCGATGCCTACCGCTACTGGACCAAGCCCAGTCTAATGTGGCTTTCTTAGCACTTGTAACTGGATCGTCACTCGTCATTCGACGCATGGCCTGACTGTTTATTAAGGGCAAGCCATATTGCACTCCCGCCCGTATTATTAGTATGTGCGAACATATTTATGGTCGTTAACTTATTAAAGAGCCATTATCTCAGTAGGGTGCTCATGAATACGAACCCGGGATCCCGGGTTCGCGAAAGCCACATTAGACTGGGCTTCACTTTGCACTTGAAAATTAAATTGGAAAATCACGCCAAAATTTGATTTTTCTTCTAACTTTAATACGGGTAAATAAACTCGCGATTTATGAACAGGAGTGTTTAGAACTTGATGAAATTTCCAAGAACTTTTGCTCTAGGTAGGTGCTACAGGCGAAAAAGCAAAGTGCGTCACGTTGGGGGCTGCGCCACGTTATAAATTAGGGTACATCAACAATATGTACCGTACACCAGACCCGTCGCTCGACTCATCCGGCTACCAGAGATTCAAGACGAGGACGACAGGGGCCGAGACCTTGATGCCAAGGATAAGTAGTGACTGAAACAGACTTTCTATGTTTTACACATTAGGCTAAGTATCCAAAATGAAAAGAACAAGCACACAAATCACTTGTCAGGCCAATCTTGGAATATGATACAGTATAGTACAGTATGGGATCCATATACAGATGTTCTCATCACTAAGTTGGAAAAGGTTCAGCGTCGGGCTGCCAGGTTTACTCTTGACAGATACAGGTATACCTCAAGTGTTGGAACCATGATGCAAGAGCTTTCATGGCAGACTCTGGCTGGGAGACGCAGGTTTGCAAGGCTGACTATGCTATACAAGATAAATTACCATCAAGCTGCAATCGACATTTCAAAATATTTGTCTTCCAAGAACCATAGCAATCCCAGACTTACGAAAAATTATCAGGCTTACTGCATTCCTCACTCAGTTCGAGACTACCACAGGATGTCATTCTTTCCTCGCACTGCGAGGGATTGGAATGTCTTGCCACAATCTGTCATCCAGGCACCAACTGCCAATACATTTAAAGGGGATCTAACTAAAAATTAAGCCGTCTCTCGCATCACACCCCACCAAAAGTGCTGTAGTCTTCAATTGTGAAGTTAGCGCTCACAACTGGAAGAAGAAGAAGAAGAAGATGTGGAGGCGGCCGTCCAGTGAAAACCCCTTATTTCCATGTTCAATATGTCATCAGCCATGCACATAGGAAAAGAAGGCCGTTCAATGCGACGGATGGGAGGAATGGTATCACGCTAGATTCATAAATATAAATACCCTGGTGTGTGAAGCATTGGGAAACAGCAATGTATCATGGATTTGCTGCAGTTGCAGCATGCCTAACTTTTCCAAATCAGCCTGCACTTTGGACTCTGCTAACATTTCAGATAGTTTAAGCAGTCTTGACGATGAAGCAAACATTCCACCACCTCTTGCCTCCTCATCGCCGGCAGCTACTAGTAGCAGTAGACCCAAAGAAGGACCTCCAAACAACACCGGTCAAAAGAAACACAAAGCCACCATGCGACACCACTTGAAGATTGTTGTTGTTAACTTCCAAGGTTTGCGTAGCAAAAAAAGCAGCTCTCCAAGTATTTTTGGAAATCAACAAGCCATATGTCGTTATCGGCACGGAGACTCATATTGACAGCTCGGTTCTCTCAAGCGAAATGTTTCCCCCTAACTACAAAGTAACTAGGAAAGATCGTAACGCCAAAGGAGGTGGAGTTCTCATAGCGCTCAACGGAGACCTTAATTGTTGGATCTCACCGAATAGATCTTGACAGTAACTCTGAAATATTATGGATCCAGTTAGAGATATATAGTAGGATCAAAATCCCTACTTATCGGCGCTTTATTTCTACAGACCACAGTCTACTGACCTTCCAGAGTATGAATATTTAAAACAATAACGCCAGTCAATGGACAAAATTGATCTGTCCAAAGGCCAGCAGGTATACGGATTGGGGGTGACTTTAATCTACCCGGCATTAACTGGAGTACTGTGTCAACCATACCAGGAGGCTACAAACCAGGTTTATCACAGGAATTCATCGAAATCATCAATGACAAAGGACTTGAACAAATGATAAGTACACCTACCAGAATAGACAACATATTGGACTTGTTTCTCACCACACACTCTACCCTTGTAGAGAAGACAACAGTACGTATTGCCTGGCATGAGCGACCACGACGGTATACCGCTTATAGTTGTCAACACCAAACCCCGCAAGGTCAAACAAAAACAAAGGAGAACTTACCTCTGTAGGAAAGCTGATGTCGGCAACTTGAAGGAAGCGATTACAAATCTTGCTAGTATCATCGTCGGCAATTACGACAACCATGATTGCCCAGCGGACAGTTTGTGGTCTGACTTCAAAGTGGGGTTGACTGAGGCCATGAATAAGTTCATACCTTCAAAATTTGTCACTAAGGGTAAACAATCACCATGGATTAACCAGGACATCAAGAGACTGCACAAACGTAAGCAACGAGCTTACAACCGGTACAAGAAGACAAAAAACATTGAGAACAATGAGAGATTTCAAACCCTCAGGAAGGAAGTCTCAAAGATGACGAGGAGACAACACAGAAGTTACGTGAAACGATCCTGTGAATCAACTTCCAAGAGCTTCTGGAGCTTTATCAAGAGCGTCAAGCAAGACACTTTCGGGATCTGCTCTCTCAGGGATAAGGGAGACCTGATCTCGTCATAAACACACAGGGAGTTTGGAAACAACTTTCCAAATTACTACCCAACAAAGCAGCTGGTCCGGACGACCTACCTACCCGCATACTGTAGGGGTACGCATCTGAAATCGCTCCAGGCCTCACCTGCATATTTCAGAGATCGTTAGACTCGGGTATTCTGCCAGAAGACTGGAGAAGAGCTAAGCCCTATCTTCAAAAAAGGAGATCGAACAAAGGCACCCAACTACCGCCCAGTGTCGCTGACGTCTATATGCAGCAAGGTCCTGGAACATATTGTGCACTCCAACATATCAGATCATCTTGATCAGTACAATATCTTGTGCGAGGAACAGCACGGATTCCGCAGCAAACACTCCTGTGAATCCCAGCTCATCATCCAGACAATACACGACTTGGCTCTCGCTCTCGACAACAGAAAACAAACAGACGTAATGATAATGGATTTCTAGAAAGCATTCGATAAAGTGGCACACAATTAACAGACTTCTTCTCAAAATCAACCACTATGGCATCGGGGAAACACCTACAAATGGATTTCATCCTTCTTAAAAGACCGTCACCAACGAGTTGTCATCGATGGAAGTCACTCGGAGTGGGTACAGTAGACTCAGGAGTCACCCAAGGCACCGTCCTCGCGATCGGCCCCTTGCTCTTCCTGTTGTTCATTAACGACTTGCCGTGCAACATCTCCTCATCTGTTCGACTCTTCGCAGATGACTGCATCCTTTACAACACAATCGAGAAACCAGAAGACGCCGAACGTTTACAACAGGACCTTGATACCCTCAAAAATGGGAAAGACCTGGCAAATGGAGTTCAACGCAGAGACGTGCTTCGTCATGAATGTTACTCACTCCAAGAACCCATCGACCTACAAATACAGATGAGGCACCACTACCCTTCAGAAACCGACAGTCATACATACTGTAGCGTGAACTTATTGGGTTCTTGTCCTCCGAGTCCGGCCAAACGCAAGAAAAGGGGACAAACACACAGGATTTCCAACTTCTGAAGAAACTCTTATTTATTCAGCACAACAACTCTGTGGTCAACCTGCCACACTGCTGCCAGTACCACGACTGCTGATTCCCAGCATAGAAATACACACAGTCTGAACAAATGTACACAATTGTAACAACTTGCAATGACCCCGGCATCTTGCCAAACCTTTCCTGCGTCCCCCAACAAAAGAAATAACCCACTTAAGCAACCTATTTATAGAGCCTATTTCCGGAGCGCGCGCCAGCCAGACTCAAAACCAGGTCAGGTGCGCGCCACCGGAGCACTAGTGCCAGAAGCAATGACATTAAAAGTACTGCATAGTCGACTGTCCGTTACACTGCCCCTCCCAAGATTTTGCCTATTCTCCTCAATAGGGGCACAAATACAATAAATGTTACATGAACTGCTATTCACAATTTTCCAAAACCTCTTTTCTCCCATATATGTACAGAACAAAACACTCATTTGTATTTTTTAACAGGGTTTACATGACTAACACTGTCACTTTTAGAAACGAAGAAACTTTTTCAAAGTGATGTTTACATGATTCAAAAAGTATATCAAAAAGAATTTACTTTGCATTGGTTTTACATTACTTTATTTTCTGGAACAAGAATCACAAGAGTTCACTCTCTATGATTAAATTAATTTATTTTTTGGGATGTCCTCAAGAATGGTGGTTAATGATGATTTAGGCCCCACTCTGGTTCCTAAATCAAACAAAAACACAACAATCGGCGAGGACTATCCGCAACTCGTCGGTCCCCGATGTTGGGCCCTCATGTGCCGGGTCAAGTAGTCCGACCGTCCGTAGGACTTAGGGCATTCCCGGCACTGGTAACTCCGTTCTTCATGCGCTGCTTTTTCATGCCTCCTCCGAGTAAACGAGGAGACATACTGCTGACCGCAGACCCTGCATGTGTACGTCGCCTTGCCTTGAACTGGCTGACTGTCTTTCGTCTCACCACCGCTGACTTGTCGCAAACATCCCCGTCTTCGGACCGCCCTGCCACGACGGTTGCGCGGCAAGCTGGTGCCTTGTGTCGTGTGGTGTCCAACGGCGGCAGTGGGACTGCCCACTCCGGCGGCGGGACTACCTGTTCCAACCTGATTGTCTGTCGATGTCCGTGACTGGCGTACTGGCCCCAGCGCTGGTTCTGCAGTAACCGCCGGTTGAGTGGCCCTTGGCAATGGGGAATCTACCGAACCCAGTGATTCGGTCGCAGGCACCGACAGTGGGGATTCCCGTACCGTTGGTTCGGCATTCCTTTGTAGCGGAACTTTGTGCTTACCGACAACAAAGCACTCTTCGTCCCACATCAGCTGGCATTGATGCTGTCGCAAAAAGTCCAGTCCCAGAATGGCATCTACGCTGATGTCTGCGACCCAAACGCTGTGTAGCACCTCGCTCCCTCCCAGTCTTCATCGGCATCTTCGCACGTCCAGCGATGCGCAGCTCACTCCCACCCGCTTGGCGGAACCTGCGATCTGCGTCGACGAGCACGGGTCTTAACTTCGTGTCAGTCCTGTCATACAACCGAGTGGAAACAAAAGTCTCTGTGGCTCCGGTGTCAATTAAGAAACTAACTGCCGTGTCAATTATTTCCCCTCGGATGTAAAGTCCCAACTCTTAAGATGAAGCAGGTCGTTTCCTCAAGCCAGACTTCAGCGGGACTGCCTGCTTCTGCGGCGAGGCTGCCTGCGCCGGCGGCGGGGCTGCGCGTGCCGGCGGTGGGAATGCCTGCACCGGCGGGAAGGCTGCCTGCCTCATGCTGGTCTTCAGTGGGCACCGTGCTCGGAGATCCATTCCTTGGGTTTTCTCTCCACAAGGCTGCGGCGCTGCAACTCCAACCCAGCCAGCAAGCCCAAGTGGGACCCAGTTGGGCTTTTGATGGGCCTCTCAGTGGGCCCCAATTGGGTAGCCCAAATGGGCCCACTTGTGTTTTGGCCGATGGGGCCACTTGGGTCCCATATGGGCTGGCCCAAATATGTCCAACGGGGTCCTATGTGGGTCCTGAATGGGTCCTGAATGTGTTTGCTGCTGGATTTATGTGGGTTCCTGTTGGGCTTTTGGTGGGCCCTTGAGTGGGTCCCACTTGGGTTGCCCATGTGGGCCCACTAGTGTTTTGGCCGCTATAAAAGCCACTTGGGTCCCAAATGGGCTAGCCCAAATCTGCCCAACTTCTACACTTTGAGTGGGCCATAAGTGGGCAATATGTACGTGTGAATGTGGGTTCTATGTGGGTCCTATGTGGATCCCTTCTACACCTAAACCCGGTCATAAGTAAGCAAAATGTACATATCAATATGGGTCCTATGTGGGCAGCTAATTAACCCTAAAAGGGCCGGGGGGGCGGAATCCGCCCCCCCCCCTCAACATTTTCCGCGATAGCTTCTAAAAAAAAAATTTTCGCGACCCGAGCTATTATGACTTTTTAGCCTCGAGCTTTGCGCATCTTTTGATACCAAAAACATAAAAATCGGACCACGGGTTTGCACGTAGCGAAAAATTTTCCGGCGCTACGCGCCGTGAAAACTGAATTTTCGCATATACGTCGTGTACACCGAGCAGAATTGGCATTCATACATATGAATAATTAATTAGCCATAATTCCAAAACCCTTTGACCTATAGTCATGAAATTTCTTGGGCATGTTGAGGAAGAGTTGTTCTATGCATGTAGTGAGTTTCAAAAATTTTCGTCACTCGATGGCCGAGATCTTAGGGGGGGGGGGCGGAATCCGCCCCCCCCGGCTGAGAGATGGTCAAAATAACCCGGCCCCTTTAGGGTTAAGCTGGCTAACATAATTATGTGTCCCATCTAGGCCTTGTGTAATTTATACAAAGGTAAGCAGTAGGTGTAGCATAGGCTCATTGTGGGCACCCCAAAAGACGAAAATGGTTTAATACTTGGTAGTCTCAGTGAGCTCTCATGCAGTTCGGTTTGGTCTCCGATTCAGGTCATGGAGAATAGAGGAGAAGAAAAGCAAAAACAAAATCAGTGAGAAACAATTAACGTCGCAGCATCTCCATCTGCTCAAAAAGAACCAAGACCAATTAGGCTCATACCACATTTGTTAGACCTCACTTTGAGTACAGCTCGGCTGCTTGGGATCCATGTACACAAGATCAGATAACGCAGATTGAAGCTGTCCAACGAGTAGAGGAGCAAGATTTGTGTTCAGAGACTACGACTACAAGAACAGCCCATCTGCAATGATCTCAGCACTGAAATGGGATACTCTCTCATTGAGAAGAAAGGAGCACCGCCTCAACGTCATCAACAATGGAATACACGGTCACCTGGCCCTCCCGGCATTCCGGCAAGAACCATCTTACGCCCGACCACACGCTCATCTAGATTCTCAAACGCCAACACCTTCCTCAGACTACAAGCAAGAAAGGAGTGTTATAAATACTCCTTTTTTCCAAGGACTGTAACCGAGTGGAATCAATTACCTGTGAATATTACATCGATCACTGACAAACTACCCTTCAAGCAACAACTGTACACTCACTTAAGAAACTAGAAACATCCATGCGCACTCACAACCCTGCTCGGTTTACTACAACTGCAATGCAACAAGGAGTATTGAGCAGTATTGATGCAGATGACAGAAAGACCTAGCTTAGGGTAGCAGACCAGTAAATAAACTTCCATAGACCCCAATGGTAAATGCTCCCACTTCAAAAATTCGGGAAAATACTCACAACTCTCCAAGGTGTTCGAGACGCACATCAAATTAAAGCTTATTTCATCATCTTTCATTTTCTTTTCAATTTTCGGGGGGTCAACTGATGACTTTTAGGAGAAATTTCCATCTGGAGATGATCACCCCTGAAAATAGTCCTGAAGCCCATCGCCATTTTGAAAAAAGATGCCTACACTCCATTGCAAAATAGAGCGCTTTTAGGGTCCAAATTACATCAAAATTACACAGAACTGCAAGCTCCCAGTCCTGTGCACGGCTTCCACCCATATTGTTAACAAACCCTCAAGTTCATGGCCCACAGCATGCCCAAATACCGAAGATTTTGAGGGCATGCAAATCGTGATTTGGCCGGCGCAGGCAATTTCGGACCGATTTACTGGTCTGCACCCTTAGCGCGCGCTCGATGCGCTCAGAAAAGTTATATAGCGCCCTCCATCGATATAAACTTGTAGACCGTTTTCGCATTTCCGTGTTGCACTGCAGGCCCTAAAAAGAGCTCCTTTGTTTAACCCAAATGTACCATAATTTTTCCCTTTCTGTGCGTCATTGACGAAATGTGAGTACAATAAGCCCTTTATCGATATATAGAAAGATGAATGATATAGTGTTTTAAATATTAGTCCGTTAAATTGGCATGATTTTTGCATAAAGCTCTTTGACCTAGTATAGCTGGAGTTACTCTAGCCCCATAAATGTGGCCTATTTACTGGACTGCCTCCGTAAACATAGACCACACGTCCACATGTACAAAAATCGTGTCGACTTTGCCAAAGTTTGATTTTCACATTTAGGCTTAGTTTGTAGGATTTTTTTGCTTTAGAAGCATTCTCACCCACTTTATAGGCTAATCAGAAAGTGCTGCCTTTTTCAGATGTATATTTTTCGTGAAATTTCCAGATTCATTTTTACACGTTTGCGTATCAAAATTTCAACATGAAACTTTACAAAAATTAGACATCTGAAAAAGGCAGCACTTTCTGACTAGCCTATAAAGTGGGTGAGTATGCTTCTAAAGCAAAAAAATCCTACAAACTAAGCCTAAATGTGAAAATCAAAATTTGGCAAAGTCGACACGAGTTTTGTACATGTGGACATGTGGCCTATGTTTACGGAGGCAGTCCAGTAAATAGGCCACATTTATGGGGCTAGAGTAACTCCAGCTGACATGCTCCATATTCATTCACATGTAACGCTGGAGGAAGGCCTGTGCGTTTCCATGGGGTAGCAAGAGACCCTAAAAAAATGGACTCTCCCAAAAATTGTTCATTTTCACCTCTAATATCCCACCCCAGAGTTCACCCACATACCTCATACATTCAGCAGTCATTTACGGAGCCTAATGATCGACTTGAAAAAACCCCCAAAATAACGTGAAAAATCTTGACGATTTCGGTGGCTTGTCCGTAAAAATACGCCGTTGGAACAGGCGTATTTTTACGGACAAGCCACTGAAATCGTCAAGATTTTTCACGTTTTTTACGCTGATTTTTCACGCTAGTACAAAACACTCACCTTTCATTCAGTTTTTCGCCCCCAAACTTTCCAAACTTGCGTGAAATGTTATCAAAATTATGACGCTGAAAGATTTTCTTACATTTGGACGTAAAAAAGTAACTTTTGATGAGTTTTTCCGAGCTTTTATTTTTCGTGGCCGAACACACGATCGCCATCTTTGTTTGAATGACCCAGAAGTTGGGGGTTGAAGGTGGTCGCAAAGATGACGTGTTTTCCGCTGTAAATGACCTTTATACTCATTTTAAAAGGGCAGAAGTTAACCTGAGGAGTTTTTCTTGTTATGAAAGCACACTTTCACAATCAAAATCGATGGATTAGTTCCAGAAAAAGAGTTTTTTTATCACTTGTACAGAAAATAATCATTTTGATCGAGTTTGCATCAGTTTTTAGAAGGTAGGCTAATATCCTAGGGGATGCTTTTCTACAGCCATAAATGGATTTAGTGGCTTATTTTCTACCTAGAAAGTCAAGATTTCAAGCTGAAATCTGTTTCGCTCTGTGCGAAATGGACAAAAACAAAACTTGGGTGCCTTCTTGATTTCGTCACGTACATGTATGTAGTATTACGAGCAAAGTACGCGCCTCCCCTCATTGCAGTAGGTACGTGATCATAAGTAGTTTATTATACAAATAATAAATGTTTAAGAGTGCAATGGTGAAAATATTTTCATGAGGTGAAAGATTGAATGTTCCATTCCAGTCAACCAGTTGAAGTAATCATTCCATCTTTTGACGAATAAAAATATTCTCACCTTTGCACGAATGCAAAACGTTCATTATTTGTTGAGAACATTCACTCTTGTATTGAAATATGACTCCGTGTTTCAGCGGCAACAGTTCCAATTTTGAGGGTCAATCCAAAAGAGGAATAGTTTTTGTCTTCTCTCTGTTCAGATGAAATTATCCAAATGAGGCGCTGCGATAGCGAGAGGGCAGACATTTGGCCATTCTCAAGGAATCAAAACGAGGAACTGCTTGCTGCCAGAACCAAGCCAACGCCTCGCTCGCGAGGGAAACCACGATCAGGCAGCCGGAACTCCAAGACCGTTAAGGTGGAAGGTAAGGAACATTTACTGGGGAAGTTGAACCAAGTTGTCATTTTGTTAAGGTGGGGGAAGGAGGAGGAGGGGAGGAGGAGGGGGTAGTCTGACTATCACCCGCAATCCATGGAGCCAAGTCTCCTGTATAACGTCTGATATCAAAGCATGCAGATTTACGCGATCTCATGCCTCCGTCAAATAGGGTTGACTTTACTAAATCGTGACGTCATTTCATTCCAGAATCAGGACTAAAACTGTGATTGGTCAATTCGAATGCCGTGTTTTGTAATTCAACAACAGCCGGGCGTGTGTCGCGTAACATTAAATAGAGCGCGTGACTGCAGCCTTTGCTGCTGTGTCTATGTTTTTATTTTGTCCATGGATATATATGACGTGACAACGGTGAATGACCGAAGACCCGATATAGAAATCACCCGCTGATTGGTCAATATCTAAAGGTCAAGATACATGTACATGCAATTTGTGAAAGTGCACCTTTGTGTCCCATTTTAAAACACTATTTCAAATTTTGAAAGTTTTTTTTTATTTTGATGCTTTTTTGTTTTTTTTATGCCAATGCGAATTTCTGTATTCATTTATAGCAAAACTGTGATGTTATTCAACTGACGGACATCAAGAAACCTCAATGTTTCAGCTTTTTCAGCCCAAAAAGTTGCTAGAATTGTTGCTATTTTGCTGTCATAAATTGTCTCTTCTTTGGTCATTCATTGTTGTGTAAGTATGTGGTAGTAGCCAATGAGCAAATGTTTTGAATGAGTGAATTTCGGTTCACAATTTGAACAGAATACCCCTAAACTGAACATTGTCTTCTTGAAATGACATCACAACAACAGCACTCTCAGTTGTCCGGAAAGCATGGAAAATTGTAAATGTGAACAGAAATGCACTTTTCAATAAAGTTAACCAAAAGGGATGTCAAATAGTTTTTATACAGTTATGAGGAGTAGAAAGTTGCACAACTAAAAATTGCTTGGACCCCTTAATTTAATCCTTACTCCCTAGGCCTTTTTGCTAGGATGTACATGTACATGTAGCCTCAATCCTGCCAAATCCTCCAATTGGCCTCATGTAAAAATAGCATATAGTCTCCGTCGTGCGAACTCCTCAATTAGTTCTTGAATATGGTCCGTGGAGGGGTGACCACTGCCTGAATCGTGCAAAATCCTGCGGCAGTGACTGTCAATATGTTGAGGCTTGGCCAGTGACATCCTGGAGCAGTGCGGAGGTTTTCAAGCATAATCCAGACCTATATTTATGCATGGCTGAGCAAAACAACACAAGTCCGGCCCAAGACCTTGACAAAGTGCATCCTACGAAATCAGTAACACTCTTTTGCCATGTAACCTCAATCCTCCAAATTCCTCCACTTTGGCAAAGAGGATTTTGAAGGATTCAGGGCAGTTAGGGTTAAGGGATTGGCATGCATGTACCTGTAGGCCATTCGGTCGTTATTTATGATTTACCCATTTTTTTAAAGCCATATCTTTATTGACAGGTTTTTTTGGTTCCATACAGATGCCGTGGCCCAATTTGCCAGGGTGGCGGGGATGGAGCCGTCGGAAGCAAGCTACTATGTGGAAAACATCGTCGAGGTGAATCCACCGTCAAACTCGTCTACCCCAAAAGACAATTTAACCATCGGCTTGCGGGTCATCGTAAGCGGCGATAGGCGCGGCTCCATCCAGTATCTCGGTGAGACGCAGTTTGCCCCCGGTCAGTGGGCCGGGGTCGCCCTGGACAGAGCCTTCGGACAAAATGTCGGAAAGAATGATGGGTCAGTCAAAGGGGTGCGATACTTCCAGTGTGAGCGCAACAGAGGGGTCTTCACCCGGCCGGACAAACTCTCCCGCGAGCCGCCTGCTAGGAAAGCTGTTTCCGCTTGCTGTAATTTTCAGAAATGGATGAATGTGGGGGTTAGTATGTTATAACAAATATTGTTACACTGACATGTTTAACCCTTTCATGACCACATTGTTTATTGACTTGGCTCTCCCTATGACCAAATTGTTTGCTCAGGCTTGCGGAAATCACTAGAGCGTGAACAAAATGACCACAAGTCCAAAACTCACTTTTTTCAACCCAGATTTTCACTGCCAAGGAGTGATTTTAATCATAGGTGTTGTGTGTAAAGTTTGTTCCTTGGACCTTACTCTTGTATGTGATGTAAAAATGAAGTCCATATGTGTAAATATAAGAAAGTTATGCCTGTTTGTTCATCTGGTTCCATTTATCAAACTGCAAGCCATTTCACCACGTGACCAAATGGCACTCCATACCTCAATTTGTGCGTGGATACTTCTGAAGCACTTTTCTCATGTTTTTGTAATGGCAACACTATGAATAAACTACACCATTAGAACAATCCGAAAATACTCTTTCAGCTGGTATATGGTTGATGTATGGACGGCCAAACATATCAAAATGCCGCCTTTCTGAAAAGTAGTGAATATATCTGTGTTGAGGGTGTTCTGTGTGTGGTTTCCTGGTCGAGTCGCCCATGGGAACCAGCAGGGGGGTTCTTCTTGTGGACAAAAGTCGCCCATGGTAAGGAAAGGGTTAAAGGTTTTGTGTTCACAGATGCTGGAAAAACCAAGTCCAAAAAAACGCTGTCTTGTACATGTAGTCTGGTTCCCAGACCCTACCAGTACTTCAGATGAAACGGAGCAATTTATAAATGTCGGCGAATTGTCCGGTCAGGAAACCAGACAAGCTGGCTTGCACCCGTTCACAGATGTGCAACCGATTGCAAACAGCATTTGGACTAACTAAATTTTTGCAAATTGGGGGCATATTTGAAGAAATTTGGGCTTTTCTGCCAGTGATGGTCAGCCAACCATCTTTGGAAATTGATACAAAAACTTCACTTTTCTTGAAAATGACGGCACACCATGTGCCATGATTTCACAGGATGCTTGAGACTACTTTTCACATATGTGACCTGTTCTGTCAAAATCAGACTTTTCTGGGCATACGGTAAAAAACAAGATTTTTGAATATTGTTAAAATATGTTCATTTTCCTTTTAATAGGTGGTTTAATTTTTGAAACCGGTCTTTCCTGGGCAAAGTTATGCTATTTTGAAGTTCATTGTGTTGAAAAGTAGAAAACGGAGAAAATGGCAGTTGAAGTTTGGGGTCTATTTTAAGACAGGTCTGTTTCAAGTGACATTTCTGTAAATGATATACCTTAACAAATCATCAAAAATACTATTTTTAGTGTTCAAATTCGGGTTTCAACATTTTATTGTATATTTTAGACATGTTCAAGATTACAAATATGCAAAAATTAGAAAATCGAAAAAAATTCACCCCCACAGCGTTTTTTGGCCCTATCTCAATTTCAACCTTTGCCCAGAAGCGTCTGCTTTTGACAGAACAGGACACATATACAGTCAAAGAAGGTATTTCATAATAATTTGTAGTTTTCAGTCAGTTGCCGTGTCACGCGTAGCTGCTCTATTTTCTCATCCACACAACGGACAGCAACGCGAGGCCATCGAACGATGGCCGTAAAAAGGGCTTCAGAAAATTCGCAATTTGTATGGCAAACCACAACCGATCCAAACTAACAAAGTTGTTTTGGGTAGTTAAAGACCCACTTCATACATCCATTAAGGTATTTTTTTTCTAAAAAAAAGATTCCGATGCATTTTGACGATATTATTTCACGGACAAATCGACTAAAAATTAGGTCATGAAATTTCCGGGGTTTTTTGAGAACGACGAAAGTCTCCCAAATGTTGAGGTAATCAAAGGACAGAGTGAACCTTCATCTACAAACAATCTTGTGAACGTGATGTCTTTAATATTTTCAGAATTCGATGTACACCTAATGTTTCCAACAACTTCCATTTTTCACAACGCAAAAAGATTGTCGCCATCGTAAAGCATAGAGCGAGAAACCCAAACACCGTGTGACCTTGTGACCCATACGCCCACTGATTGGTCGAGCTCGAGTATGGCCTGCTTAATATTCATACATGTAAGTCATTCATTGCACCGCGTTAGCACGTGCTATTCGCAATGTTTTCAGGCCAAGGTACGTCGGCGTACTTACGTTCGTTCAGACGCGTACATGTGATTGCAAATCATGAAATCTCGTAAAAGTCTTCATTTTTCAACCGGCGATTTGGACCAAACATTAGTCTCCTGCACGTGTTTCACATGAAAATGAAGCCTATACTTTCCTCTACCTACTGAGCCTTGCCGTTTCTTTTGGCCTTTTTTAAGAATCGAATGTACACCTAAAAACTATCGGCCCTCGATTTTGTTGATAAAAAATATGATTTTGTTTGACAGGCCGTGACAACACTTTACATTTGTAAAAAGCAATTATTTTTGGTATCACAATAAAGTACACGATTTCAACTTTTCATAACCATAATGTACACGATTTCAACTTTTCACTTATTTTTAAAACCGTCTTGGCCAAACAGTGTATGTATCCATGCACTTTTTGTGTTTTTTTTCTGTAGTCTTGAATAAATCTCGTAAAATCTCGCGTACGCTTTTGGGCCATGTGTGCTTGACCTCGGGACAAGAAACTGAGGTCAAACAGGGCTGTGTGCGTGACACGGCCACTGACTGTTTTAGTTTTTGAGTTTTGCAAATTGTGTTGTATATTACCCTTAAAAAATATAACTCTATTGCATTGGTATGTTGAGATGACGTTTTTCCCCCCTGTCTTTGGCCTTTCAGGGTGGTGATCGCGTCATGGTCAGCGGCAGCAAGCTAGGTACGCTGCGGTACATCGGCACCACCAAGTTCGGTGAAGGGGACTGGGCCGGCGTTGAGCTTGATGACGAACTTGGCAAGAATGACGGCATCGTGGCAGGAATAATGTTTGTATATATGGAAATAAACACAATAAAGGGGGTCACTTTGCATCCATCACGTTAGCGGTAATTTTTTTTTACAGTTCCTGAAGCCACCCAAAAAGTTTTTGAAATAAGAATGGACATGTACATTTAGGCTTATAAAACACGTAATATGTCTTGCATCATTTCTTTGTTTCTTTTGGAATTTTTAAAATCGCCCTCAAATTTCCATCAAAAGTGGACAGAAAAAGTTGCCCGAGTTTTCCGTCCACTTTTTGATGGAAATTTGAGGATAATGTCACAAAGCAATATAAATAATCCACACAACTCATCTTAAGCCAAAGGCCGGATGTCCATTCATGTGTTGAAATTCTTCAGTTTTTTTGGTGGTTTCAAATTAGAACCATTGGAAAAACTGCTAACGTGACAGTAGAAGTGGCCCCATTTATTGGGATTCTTGTCACATGGCCTGTACCTGAACCCTTGAGAGTGCTTTTCGACCTACATGTACATGTAAGCAAACAATGCTGAAAATGTCAGGGCCCAGTTTGATAGAGACGCTAAGAAAATGATATGGTACATTGTGTGTCCAGTACTAGTGTCCTTGGCAGGAAATGACTGAGAATATTTCTTTTCCTCCTTTGATGGGATGCCAGGTTACTCCCCAGCTAATGCCTGTACTCATTTGTTCTCCTGGGTAGAGAGAGGCAATTGGGGGTGAAGTAGCTTGCCTAAGGACACAACTCATGGGCAGCAGCTGCGTTCGAACCCCTGACCCTCTGAGCATGAGTCACAAACCCTAACCACTAGGCCACACTCCCTCCATAGCTGGCAGGTTACTCCTAAAAATCATAAGAGTAAATTGTAATGTGCAGGATTTGTTGATGCTCATAAAATTTCCTTCCGCCGTTATTCTTACAGGTACTTCCAATGCAAGCCCAAGCACGGCCTCTTCGTTCCCGTCCACAAAGTCGCCAAAGTGCTGCGCAAGCCCCCTCCTCGCTCTGCCAAGCGCAAGACAGTTACCAGGGAGAAACACAGCAGCAGTACCAGTTGCTTTAGCTCCGTGGGCTCCACAGCGTCCAGCTTCACCAGGAACATGGATCATGGGGGATCGGTGGCAGATCCGGGATCACCGCCGACGCAGGAAGCTACGAGGAGAATAAGTGCCGACGTGCCACAGGTAGGCTGTGTTGGCTGAATGCTGGGGGTTTTTTTGCGGGCCAATTTTAAGCCACTCCTCTACGCAGACATTTTACTAAACACATATACAGCAACGCTGCTTTGCATTCCCAATCGTGTACGCAGAAAAGAATTTAAACAGATACAGTGTTGTATTCGTAGAATCCATGTTTGCATACCTTTTGTGAAAATCGTCGAAAATACTTGAGATAATCTCAAGTCTTGTGATTATGAGGAGTAGTTTATTTGACCCCTGATAAAATGTCTTATATCAGTCTTAAATATATTTGCATGCTTGAGAAATCATGAGTTTTTGTAGAGCCTTTCCTTGACATTACGACGAATGCCAAAACCACTGGTTAGTCGTTAGGTACGGCAAGCCAACAATTGTATGTGAGTTGCCACCGAGTATTTTCATGACATTCACGCGCGTGTCCATGATGCAATCTAGGCGAACACGTTCTTGCGAAAAACTCATAACTGAACCTATCTTATGTAATATTTGCTCGGTATCGACTGGTTACCAGCCAAAATGTCATGAAATGCATTTTGGTTTTAACTGGTTCCTAGCTGGTTTAGCAACATTTCCACTGTAACAGCTCCGCGAAAATGGGCCCTGAACCGGAATGTGACATTTTCGTTTTTGGTTCTTCGTATCTTTCTCTTGTTTAAGGAATTCATTGTTACTGTAAAGGCTTGGTCATACGTATGTAGGACCTTATGTCGATTCAGACTATCTGACCTAATTGTCCATTTGGACTATTGGACCGTATTGTCGGGTCGGACTATCGGGCGTTATTTTCAATTCGGAATAATGAACCTTCGGACTAGTGAACCTTATTTTCGTTTCGGACTATTGAACCTTCGGACTAATTAACCTCATTCTAAATTCGGACTACTGAATCTTCGGACTAATGAACCTTCGGACTATTGCATCACTGATCCTAGACACCAGGATAAACGACTGTTCTGTGCTTCAGTACAAAATGCACTGAGTAGACTTGCTTTAATTGGTTAGAGGTGTGATAACAGGCAATAATACCCGTTTGCTTGCAATCGCGAATTTTCCAGGTATGCCATATTGTGTCGTTTTTTTGCATAACATCTTAAACGGAAATATTCATAAAACTGTATGCAAAAATACTCCTTATGTAAGACATAATTCTTCCAAAATTGTTAACAAATAAATACTTCAGGATATAACAGGTTGTATTGTGCAGATTTTTGTCTTCATACATGTCATAGATGAAGTATTTACCCGGAAAATAAACGTCCAATTTCTAGGAGAACACCGTTTACCTAAATTTCATTTTAAATTAGGCTTTCATTAAGAAGTTTTAGACAGATGTGATCCCGAACCGATGAAACAAAAGCGACATTTCATAGTTCATTTTAAAGCTTAGGATATTGTGCTCGGTTTTAACATGGTTATGCAGGTATCACTTATCAGAATTCACTAATGAAGACCAAAAACGTAGACTCGTGATTATTCAAAAATATAATTAGCTGGCTTGACGGACTTTGACATCAGATCGGGCGTAGTAGAGCCATGCAAATCTGAAAGCCACCGTACGTAGGGGTCTTTGTTGACAAGTATTCATGATATTTGCTACCAGTACGGGCCGTTATCACACATCTAACCAGGAGTTGGGCCGAGTCGTTGATCCTTGTGTGTAGGATGCGTGATCTGATAAAGGGATTAGACTCAGGCAACAGGTCATGACCTCCACAGGCCTTGGTCTATGTACATGTAGGTAGCCAATGATTTATGTCATTTTGTTTCTCCATTGTCGTAAAGGTTATTGTTTTGTAAGTAAAAAGGTCCCTTTAGATAAAGTCTGAAGTTTCCCATTTTGAAAAATCAAAATTCCGTTTTGTTAAAATTTAAAATGCTGTTTTCTTTGGTTTCTTAAAAAACAAACACCATGATCACACACAAGTTGACACAACACGAAAGTTTCGCTCTAGATGTCACCGTATGCACGCACACACGAGGTACAATGTAGCCTGCTGGTCGCGGCATACAGAAAATCGTGCATAAATACATACACGTACATACTACATGTATACCATAGCATACAATGAAATGTCGTTCTGTGATGCATAATTCATGACGGACGGCTTGCCTGTGCACCAATCCGGGACTACTGGGCATGCGGTGAGAGCCGAATAGGCCGTTTAGCAGTTGTGATATAATGCGGGCGATCTGACAGTATTGGTTTCTTGGGGCCGTATCATAAGTCCGACGCCTCATAGGTCCGACGCCTCATAAGTCCGAAATTTCGGACTAATGAGGCATCGGACCTATGAGGCATAAAATTTATTTATTCCGCCTCATAGGTCCGACGCCTCATAAGTCCGACGCCTCAGAAGTCCGACAACGGAAAAACGAGGCGTTTAATTTGTCGGACTTACGAGGCGTCGGACCTATGAGGCGTCGGACCTATGAGGCGTCGGACTTATGAGGCGTCAGACCTATGAGGTGTCAGACTTGTAAGCCTTTATTTGTTTAGGGGATGCGATTTTGTCGGACTTATGAGGTGTCGGACCTACATGTATGAAGCGTCGGACTTATGAGCGGACCCCGGTTTCTTTGCGGTCATTCCACATGTTGAATCGCATGATACCGCGCGCTGCACAGACCTCATTGCGAAAGGCGTCGTTGAACCAAGACTAGCAATTTCCATTTTGACACGAACTCAGCTGGTTCCCAATGAAATAAGAATCCCTGCAGTACTGTCGTGTTACCAGTGATGCTGCTGTCAGATCACGCTGTATATGTACTTGCGTACGTTTGGCCATGTAATCGCTTCAGTAGCGCTACGTGCATTTGGTAAGAAAAAATTGAAGACTGACACTACGAAACTGTTTTTAGTTCCTTTTTCAAGTTTCCATGTATCGTTTTGGCAGTTAATATAGAATTCTGTGTTGTCCTTATTTTCCATGAAATTCCGTCCGTTTTCCGTATCGCTGAGGACTTCAGACTTTACCTTTAGAGCTTTGTACTAGTTGTAGACTCATAGTGATCTACGGGTGTTTACTTTCACTTAGCCTCGAGAGGCACACACAAGTGACACAACACTGTCCAACTAACAGAGCTGCCTACCCATTTCTTTGCCTAATCCCTGTTGCTAGTTATGACACATTCCACTTTGGTTAGGTAGACTGAAAATTGTCCTTACTAACTGCCTGTCATGCCTGTATGTATGCAAATTGCCAGCATGTCAGGGGGATCGCGCAAGTTTCACTCGCAGTATTTTTGGAACTTGTGAAGAAAAATGAAAGCAATGACATAAACTTAATTGCACATTACACCAGTCTGCTCTAATGAATTAATTTTAAATTTGTGATTGAACATACCCTAATGTTTTAAGCCACAAACGAAATGAAAGTGAGGCTAGAATGTATAAATAGTCTGGCACCATCCCATTCAACAGTTCGCAATTAATGAAATACATTCAGGGAACCCGACTAAAATGGCTTTCTCGTCAATAAGGTCCATGTAGGTCTCCTTTCACACGAGAAGACACACCGATAAGGACACCAGATGTTGCTGAATACCCATCCGTTGACATCGATGGGGGACTCCAACACATGTCACATACAAGCGCAGTTTGGGAAATCCTCGCACTTTTGTTGGTCACTTGAGAATCCTTATTGCGAAATTCGCAATGAGTAACAAGTTCTAGCTGAGGCAGTGGCTTCCTGCAGTCGTACAATTCCTTGTAAGATTTTGCATGTCGAAAACAGGAACGGTCGTCTAAATTAATGCATGTAATACCTAATAGTGACCAAACAGTCATACAATAATTACAAGTACATATTCTGGCACTCGCTTTAATACTGCTTGCCAACTATGCAAATCCTGTACAGGTATATTTTCAGCCAGCGCCTTCGTGAAATTGGCTTAGCCTGAGAAGTAGTATATATCCTTGATCTCTTTGAAGTCCCAACCCAACCTTCTAGGTCACAGCCTGGGCAAAGTCTGAGAAATTAAGTTCGGTGTTGCTAATTTTTAAACAAAATCATTTGTTTCAGAATATCTTTGCAACGGCCTCCAATGAAGTATCGGCAAATAGCAGCGAGGACCAATGCACTACCGTGGCGCCGAGTGGATCATCTATTTATTGCGTGCCCGATGACCTACTCCAGAACATTTTCCAGCATCTGAGTGCGTCTGACCTGTGTAACTTGGCATCATGCTGCCGTTGGCTACGCGATGCGACCAATCAGGATTCATTCTGGCTTCCTCTTTGTCAAAGCAGAGGATGGGAGCTCTACGGCACCACCACAGACCTGGCCAAGATAGCCTCTTACGGACCTTCCGAGGAAGCCACTGGCGCTAGTGAAGCAAGTGACTGCAGCGTCACCTTCCAGAATGATAGGATCGTGACTGATGACAACACAGCGGGTTTAACCAGCACTTGCAGGTGGAAAGGCGTCTACATGAGAGCTTACCATCTGGATAGGAACTGGGCTACAAATCGGTCTCATTTCAAGGATATTGCTTGGAAAGAGCTGAAACCCTATTGCAAAGTTGTCATCGATGGGGATCTCATGGCAATTTGTTTAGGCCAATACGATATCTTCGTCTACGATTTTCGGACGGTCACATTGAAATGTATTATTTCTGGTTTGGATGATACATGCAAGTTAAAAGATGGCGTTGTGGTTGTGGCTGGTCTAGATGATGTGGTCCGTGCGTACGATGCAGAGACTGGGCAGGAGCTAAAAATGCCGGGGAGATGTAAGCGGGGCAGTATTAGTCCTTTGTTCTTTGATGGTGAATTGTTCATAACATGTCACGGAGGGTATAGGGCCGACAATACACGCTTTGAAGTGTGGCATATCAAAGACGGACTGCAACATATTCTCACAGATATTTCTCTGAATGGATACCCTATTCAACATTGGGATTATCGGGACGGGATGCTGGTGGCTGCCCACGATAATAGCAACGTAGTGTGGGATGCGAGGAGCGGTGAATGCTTGCATAAACTGACCTGCGGGGGTCGGCCAAGCGTCAAACTTGGACAAAATGTTATCGTCTGCGTCAGCCTGAATCAGGACATAGGCATGTGGCTTCTCAACATTTGGAGCCAGGACACCGGAGAGTGTCAACAAGTGATACCCTTATCAGATTTTAACTCGCCTCATCCACTTTTGATAAATAATTTGATAATAGTTCGAGACGAGAGCGGGCAGGGCGAGAATCTTCAGAGGAGCGGATATCCTGTCAAAGTAATTTATGATCTTAATGGCAAATTGGTAATGGAAGAGATAGCTACTAAACTTGGTCGATGTATGTTGGCGGTGTGCAATTATCAGGAGTTTCGTTACATGTACAGCGTAACTCACCACCGTCCATATGCAACGGCATATCTGAAGGATGGGAGCCGAAAGGCCTACATTTTTAGTGCCACTCCAAACGGCTTTGTACGACTATTTGCTTTAGATCCTGAAGCGAGAGCAAGCACTCTGTCATTGATCTGGATGGACGAAATCAGAATGATAATTTTTGACCGACGAAAGTGCAGTCTCCTCATTCATCATTACTGGTGAACCAGTGATCATGATCACAGCCTATTGGATAGAAACACTATGGTGATCATCATGACATTCTGTTCAAAATCGAATTGAAACTCGCAATAAACCTTTAGTATACCGTCGCGAAACGTCCAGTTTCCTGAAACCTTTTTCGGAACCAAACAATTCCCAGGTGAAAATTCCAGTTGAAACCAGTTAAAATTTCAACTGGTTTCAACTGGTTGCAACTGGTTTTAACTTGGATTAACTGGTGTCCAACCGGTACCCATTGGATTCAACTGGTATCAACTGGTAGCTCAACTGAATTCCATAGAAACCAGTTGGAACCAGTTGAATCCAACGGGTACCAGTTAGACACCAGTTATCAACTGACAATTCTTGTTGTTAAACCAGTCACCAATTCCCATTTCAACTGGACCAGTTGGGACCAGTTGAAACCAGTTCAACTGGAATTTTCACCTGGGAAGGGCACAGAGATTTGATAAAGGTGCAACCCGAAACTTCTTTACCCTTTTTTACACAACACCCATTGACAATCCACCGTGCAAACTCTCATGACCCTCATAGGAGAACTCACGATGTTTTACCTTATCAGTTCAAGGCAAAAACAAATGGTTGCTTTTCGTGTATTTAGTTTATTCTCAATCATAATACCACTGAAAAGGTCCAAAGCAGAATGTTTGAAACCTCGCCTTGTGAAATTTCAGTGCAGCTAGTGGAATTAACTCTGTAAAAACAAATATGCTCAAGAAAGATGAGTATTAAACCATAGTATACTCTTCATTTTCCCGAATAGGTTGACTGACTAAACGTTGCAAACCATTTGACATTTCTTGATGATGCGGTAAGACTGATTTCGTACATGTAGGTTGTTCAGTACTTCATGATGTTCGATATTAAAGCAAAGTAACTTGTTTTCATAATACTTCCTGGGGTTTCTTTTCGGATAAGTGCAAGTATGATCCCGTGTGCCTTTTTTTATGAAGGGACTTCATCTGTTATCCTTCCCGGTGCGCGTGAGGTAGAAATTAAGACTTTATTATTGTATGGGGGTAATAATTGGAGTGGCTATAAGTGTGTACTTATATATTTTCCCATCTGAAATAATAGGTTTTCCCGGCCAACTTCCTAAAATGTTCATTCACTTCTGAAAATCGGGCATTCATTTTCGTCTGCATTTAATCGCTCTGAACACGCGTTTCATTTTCGCTACCAGAGCCTTCGATTCCATTTCAGTTATGGTGATTCAGATTCGTTTACAAGACCTCTTTTTTTTTTGCTTTTAGAGGGCGATTTCAAACATTGACCTTCTATTTCGCCTTTAGTTTAATGCTCTGTGGTGCAATCTGCTATTTTGAATGAGAAAAACGTACTTTTGATTGCACATTCACGAGATTGTAGGTATTCCAGAACTCTGCGCGAAAAGGTATGCTTGCTTACATGAATGCACTGGTAACGTAATTGGCCGTCTGTTTCTCAAAACCGAATGCACGAACAATGAAAACGATTGAAGTGTCGTTAGATTGAAATGGGATTGAAAACGTGCATTCAAATTCACACGGAAATGAATGACCGATTTTCAGAAGTGAATGGACATTTCAGGAAATTGGCCGGGAAAACCTATATTTCAGTGCTTGAGCGAAAGATTTGTTGAATATAAATGTGTGGAAAATATTATTTCATTATAGATTTAATTGAATAACTAGCTGGTTTTTTTTTTCAGAGTATGTTATTTCTTGTATTAGCAGGTTGGTCTGTCCCAACTAACGGCTACAGCTGATATAACTTTATGGGCGAGACATGGGAGGTGGAATTTTTTTTTTTTTTTTTTTACATTCCTGTGATATTCGTGATTGCACTGAAAAATAAGTAGGCTGATTCACTGGATATGTAGGAAATGACTGGGTTATCTTTAAGATGAACTGCAGGATAATGTTCGTAACAGGGACGGACATTCTTGAATCTCTTGTTTATGATTAGTCCAGCCCTAGTTCAATTAACATTACTTGTTCAATGTAGAATTGTTATTCAACATTTAAGGAACCTGATAAGTTATGAAATGAGGATACAACTTGATACATGTTCGTAACATGGACAGAAACTTGTGACAAAATTTCGTCCCTGTTGTGAACATGAAGTCTTTAAGATGTGTACACCCTGTAGTTAAAAATACTAAGAGGTAAACCTAAGATTGGCCAGTGGCAATCCCTCAATGGATAGCTTTGTTACAACTGATAATGTAGTAACCAACGGATACTGTATCACTAACCGATAATGTAACAGAAATTGACCGATAGTGTAGTAAAAATGTACTACATCAGTCGATTGTTGTTACATTATCGGTCTTAACCGATAATGTAACAAATATTGACCGATAGTGTAGTAACATTTACTACACTATCGGTCAATTTTTTGTTACATTATCGGTTAGTGATACAGTATTGGTCAATTTGTGTGACATTATCGGTTGGTGATACATTATCCGTTGGTTACTACATTATCAGTTGTAACAAGCTTTACATTAGGAACAGAGTTCATTTGCATTTCATTCTCTGCTTCCCAACACTTAAAAATGAAATGCCTCTTCATGTTATGTTATATCTTGAAGATAATCCTCTGTGATTTCTCGAAACCTGATTTTTTTTTTCAAACTTGTTAGTGGGCCAGGTTCTTACTAGGAGATTGGATGTAGAAAGAGAAAAACATGACAGATTAGTGGTACCTCGTGTATCGACTTTTGTCCATGGTTCCCTCTATTTTGTCACACTTTTGTTAACTTTTTGTGTGGAAAGACTCAGTTATCCATGTCAGATCAATCTGTTTCGGGGGATAGCAATTGCAATATGGTTGGATGCAAACCTCTTTGAATTTCAAGGTCATAAATTGAATTGTTTTTAAACTAAGCGTAACCAGATCTCACGCAACATCCTAGTTGTTCATGCAGAATGGAGCATATTATATACTTTGTTCTTTATTGCAAATCAGATATTGTGTGGGTAAAAAAATGACTACTTTTGATTCAATGTGTAGGATTCCATTAAAAGACAGTGTACTTAATAGTATAGCTTATTGTGTTGGGTCAGTTTATAATTTAAAGCCAATGTCATAAGCTACTTTTGAATGCATTAATTACTGAAATACGATCAAAGAAACACATTTTAAATACAATGGCCCTAAAACCCGTCTCGTCCAAAAAAAAAATGCAATTTCAACAATCGTCGTCACAATTGTCTTCAAACATCGCCAGCGATGAAATCTTACTAACTTAAACGTTAACAATATGCAACAAAGTCCCTTTGAAGCCCCGTCTTAAAAACAGTTGGTTTTATAAATCATATTGTTTGCCTAAGCAGGGTTGTTAATCAAAACATTGTGTACTATACAGTTGGCGACAATTGTTGAAACGAGTAGTCTGTGTCATTTTCTTTGTTGTTCCAAACAGTCAAAACACACAATAAATCGCTTTTTTTCCCAACGAGACAGGTTTCACGGTCATTGCGTTTACACGGTGATATTCTTTGAACGGATTGAACAATTTCAATATTTTTTTTTTCATCTTAAAGTAGCTTTTGAAATTTGCTTTCGAGACATTATTATTTTTGGTGCTACATATTTTTTTAAATATCCAACATATTTTTGGGGGTTTGGGTTCCGTTTTTTTATTTACCCTGTATAGTAAGGCAAATGTTCTGTTTGGACTGTGACTGAAGATCACAAGTGTTCAACCATGTTGACACAAAGTGCTATTGAAGGAGAGAAAACTAATATTTTGTCTAAATATTCTGTCTTGTTTGTCTATTTGCCAGAACCAATCATCTGGCTTAAATTCAATTCAATGCATCATTTAATTTTTGAGTGAGCGTGGCTACGTGGACTATATCGTGTCTGTGCAATAGTGAGGCAAATGTTCTATTTGGACTGTTTCTGCAAATTCATAAATTTTTGTCCGTGTTGACACACATGACTATTAATGGAGAGAAAAACATTATGTTGTCTAAATATTCTGTCTTGTTTGTCTTTTTGTCATTACCAATCATGTGGCCAAAATTCAATTCAATGCATCATTCAACTTTTAAGTGAGCTTGGCTATGTAGACTTCGTTTTTTTTTTCTGTGCAATAGTAAGACTAAAGTTTTGTTTAGACTATGACTGCAGATTCGCAAGTTTTGGCCCGTGTTGACACAAAACACTATTGTTGGAGAGAAACACAATATTTTGTCAACATGTTCTGTCTTGTTTGTCTATTGGCCATGACCAATCATCTTGCCACAATTCAATTCAGTACATCATTACATTTTGAGTGAGCGTGGCTCAAGGGCGGATCCAGAACACATTTTTTTGGGGGGGCCCAAAAAAATTTGCCCCCCCCCCCCCAATAAAAGAAAAGTGGGTCAAAAAAATTACGGCATGGGGTTCGGGGCTCGCTTAGGGGCCCCAAAAAATTTTGGATTCTAGATGCTCTGTGGTGCGATCTGAGGCAATTTCTGACCACTTTAACCAATGTTTTTTTGAGGAAAAGATGGTGGTGTACTCATTGCCTGCCTTTATTGCGATGTCACATAAAAAAAAAAAAATTGGTTTCGTTTTTTTTTGGGTGGGGCATGGCCCCCTTTGCCCCCCCCCTGGATCCGCCCTTGGCGTGGCTACGTGGACTGTGTCGCTTCGGTGCAATAGTAAGGCAAATGTTCAGTTTGGACTGTGACTGCAGATTCGCATTTTTTCCCCCCGTGTTGACGCAATACACTAAAGTTGGCATAACTAAGCTTGCACACAATTTTGTAACCGAGGCTTCTTTGTGTAACATAGTCACGAATTCCGTTCAACAATACCCAGTTAAGACGAAACTGTTTTTCTGACGTATTCAACGTGATGGCCAAAACGTAATGTTTCGTCAATAATAAGTCCCAAGCATTTACAACATTTTCAGTTGCTTTTACAATAAGATTATTGACATTGGAACAAAAAACACCAACTACACGATAAAATTCCATCACTTGCTAATATTGCGCTTTAATCAGGATACAGGAAGCAAGTTTCAAACCTAAAGCTTACTATTGGAAATGAGGTTAAAAAGCAAAGTAAGTCCTGTGTACAATAGGGTCCACAATTCCCGAATGTCTACAATTGACGATCGTGTACAAAACATATGGGAGGTCTGCCTAAAACAAAGTACAAACAAAAGAGAGACAAATAGGGCGTCGAAGATTGAAGGAAAACACACACTTGTGTATAAAATATCCAACATTTGTATTAATATCATGTGAACTCACCTCGCATAAATCACAATGGTTTGAGCACAGCTCCATGGTTTGAGCTACGTATATTGAGTTTGCTTGTCTTTTCATTCAAGATCCAAGCCTTTAAGTCAGCACTGAAAAGAATTTAACCGTAATATAATCTGTATGTCGGCAAACATGCCACGCCAAGCCTATAGCTCGAACAAACAGGTTGAGAAAAATCGAAGTTAACTGCCCATCCTAAAGGCAAATATCATGGGTATTTGTCGTCTGCCCAAGTTATCAAGAATGTAATACAACGGTGTCCATGACAAGGGCCGATTACTGGTATGAAGGGGCATATTATACAGGGTGAGGCAAAAAGAAAGTGACTCGGATTAACGATTTGATTTCTTAATTAAAAGCAATCAAATTTGATCCACCAATGAAATATGTCTTAAAAAAAGCATCTTCTTCCTACTAATCCATTTTTTTTATACCCGAAATCTATGCCATCAGAAGTTATGCATGTTTTACTAAAAAAAACACCTTTTTTTTATAGCTGCCCATGGAATGTCATTGAAAGCTATTGAACTTAGTGAAAATTACGGGTTAAACAGAAGAATTCAAATACAAATTAAATTTTAACAATGAAATCAAGACTGAAACATTGTATTTACTGTCTGATTTTGTGTTTTGAATATGAGGAACAAGTCAACCCTTTTTTTTCTGAAATATTGATAGCGATTTATATATGTTTTCCTTTGCAAGTTCTCGTTCATTCATTGAGCTGGGACAATCTCCATGTTTCCTTGTACTCAATGGGCATTCCTCAGTTCGTAAAAAAAATATTATCAGTGGCGGACACCCGAGTTTTGTGATATTTTTCAACTGAAATAGTCATAACTTGGGAGTAGAGTATGCAAATTACGTGAAATTCTCAGAGTTAAATATCAATAAGATGTACTTTATCTGTTTTTTTAATAGAGCGAGCCAACTAGATTTTGATTGTTTTCCTTGTAATTCGGTCACTTTCTGTTTCACTTCCCCTGTTCGGTGAAGAAACAAAGTTGTATGGACGATTGGGATGGTGATGACCACATTTTCCAGACATTGGAAATTCAAGACGCGGGGCACACATCTGCATCTGCATCTGCAAACTCCTCGATAGGATTGTCCCGCACAGGGGATATGCGAACTTTCAAACTTGGACAGTAAACCTCTATTATTAAAAAAAAAGGCCGAAAATATAAAGCCGGTAATTGAAACTATAGCTGCGCAAACACAAAAGATCTGCCTCGGTCGCAATGTGATGAAATAAATACATACAACTTGCCTTTCAGTTTATTGCAATGCATTTAGGTGGGCGCGGACATCCGGGATTTTTTTTTTCATTGGCTTATCGATAGCTCCCAAACCCATATTCTTGAAATTCAATGGTTTTTGAGCTAGGGGTACTGAATGGTAACACATAGCAACCGATGAAAACTAGTGTGCAAGTGTATATATGTTTTCATCAGATGACGTCACTCCGCTCCCATCTATACACTTTGTTTCTGGCCATGGAACATCTGAAAATTTGAGGGGAAAATGTCAAATGTTGTATTGATTATAATGTGCACCTGTACCGTAGTTGGGGTGACTTTGCTAAATACGTCGGCGATGTAATGTTTGCAAAGCGGAGATTACTTGTCTTGTCTTGACACCGGCGCTAAATAAAAATTCGTTGTCAGAGGTTTGAGTTTGGGTTTTGGATTTTCGCTCAACTTGAAGCGAAAAATCAATACGAGAACTGAATGACAATGCAAGCCGTGCGACTATGTCCACCCTTATGCAAACAAGTAGGATGGTGCTCAGCACATAACGTAAAACAACATCCCAAGAATGCACAAGAGAAACCACACCCGAGGATTGACCAATGAGAACTACGCGTCCTTTGGGTAACCGTGGTGACTGTGATGTCATCGCGGCCATCCGCTACTCTAGACCAATCGGAACAGTCGGAAGGCGCAGAATGGAAGGGTTGAACACCGAGCCCATTGTAGAAAAGAGGCCAGCTCGAGGCTGCTGAATCATTCGAGATTCGTCATCATGAACCGTCTACTACTCATAGCGTGCCTGGTACTGGTCGCCGTAATGGCGGCCCAAGCCAAGCCTGAGAAGAAACAAGGGGTGAGTATAGAAAGTTTGTGACTAGTGTTATGATACACGGTACCCTGTGGAGAAATGTGCATCATAAGGAACACGATGTTGCATACGTTTCCACGGAGCAATTTCTATGGGTGTATACGTCTCCACAAGGTTATCACGAAATTCCGTCCGAATTTCAGCCCAGTTCTGGTTAAAATAGGAGCATTTTGTAATTACACTTTCAAACTCTGAAGGTTTAGTACACGACAACAAAAGAAATGACTCCACAAGGATACACATTCCAGTAGGTGTCAAAAAGTTTAGAAAATAATATCAAAATAATCCCAACAATTGTGCTGTGACTAAAAAAAACCGTAAAAATCTCTTTGTGAAATCAATTTTTCTAACAAGAGGTGAGTCTTAAAGTTTGTGACTTTCGTGGTTTCAAAAAGTTAAGAATGTATCAAAATAATCCAACTCGTTGTACTGTGATTGAAAAAGAGTAAAAAACTCTCTGTGAACTATTTTTTTTTCTAGCCTGTTTTAATTATGAAGAAACCACGAATTGTACTTTACGCCAGATTGTTGCCTTTATTATTATTGTTTTCAGGAATTCTAAATTTCAATTGGATCGATCGTATATTGCAATTTATTCTACGAAAGTCTCTTGTGAATTTGTTCGCGTTTGACCAGTTAAAAAAAAAAAGAGACCCTGCATAAATCATGTTTTAGATCTTTACATTAAGTGGAAAAGGTAAAACTGCACAATTCAATATGCAGCTGAAACCAGGTTACAACTATAATCCTGTGCAACTGCATTTTTGTCAGTTTTAAAAGTCACAAAGCATGCGATCTCCTTCCAAGTGCAGCCTCATATGTATGAGGATAAACGCACTTGCGAGAGACACCGGGGCAAACCCCTTCTCTTAGCGATGTTACTGGGTTCATTAACGTGCATTACACAACACACGGGACCCACGGCTTTATCTCCCATCCTAAGGCGAAGCAATAATTGTAAAATGCCTTGCTCAAGAGCACAAGCACCATGTTCCCCATAAGGATTCGAACCCGTGTGCCGTGGCACGCGAGTCGAAAACCGTAAGCTTTGGACCACAGCCCCATCCCTTCCGATGCGCTCTTAATTATGACAAAGAAACACTAGTGATCTTTTAACCTTCCTCTTAAGAAAACTTGTCTAAATATAATTAATTTCATTTTTTTTAATGTTTCAGGAAGTGAAAGCTCTAAAGAGGGCGCTGGAGCATGCGAAGGAAAAAGCACTAGGTGAGCCATCAAATTTCGAGCATTTTGTTGTCATGTGTTAACTTGATTCTTTCTGTCATTTGCCAAACTGCCTCAGTCTGATGTGTTTTCATCTTCCTGTCTTAGTTTTACTAAAATGCTCTCAGTGTTTTGACGCACTGCAGATATGGAGCTTTTAAAACCAGTAACTAGCGAGTCTAGGAAAGACTGTTCCTCTACAGGGTAGTGCAAAATGATTGCAAAGACATATTTTGTCTCTAAGATATGGTATAGTTTTAAAAATGTTATTTGCCAAACCTGTTTGTCTACGGACGGCTTTATTCCATCGGCTTGACTGAGCTCCGGAGCTTGATTCGGAGACACTACTCGACTTAATTCCACGTGGACAACATGATTTGTGGTGACTTGTATTCAAATTAGCGTAATAACGCTATTATGAAGATTGTTTTAAATATTTTCTTTGCACCACGTATGGTTGAAGAGCTATATAGTTCACTACATTACAAATATAAGTGAGGCATTAAGTAAGTTACAATTTCTGTAAAAAGTGGGTTTCCTTCTTTTTGCACCACCCCAGGGCGCTTTGTCATTAAGCTTCTATGAAGTTCTTTGAGTATAACATGGTTGCCGCCAAAGTGAATTGCCATTAGACAGAAATGATTAAAGACATATCTCATCTCCAACATTTGGAAAACTACCTCATGATTATATAACGATTCTTGAGAACAGACGCTTTTAATCATTATGAATTTACTATCAATCACTTTCTATTTGATTTTTAGGGTAATTAAATTTTGTGATTTGCGGGCAATGTTTCTAACTGAAGATGATCACACGTAAAACTAGTCCTGAAGCCTAAAACTCGAGGTCTGGATCTTGAGAAAAGAAAACAAAAAGATCCCTGCTGCAAATTTGAACAACTTGTTAGTCAAATTCCGCCCCTTGTGCGGGATAACTGTCATGTTCGGGACTTATTTGATATTTTACTTTCACAAAGCTTCAAGTCGCCATGCGCCGGCCACAAAACCGGCAAACAAGAGATAATAAACGCACAGGACGGGCGAGCATCTAGGGCCTAGCCTATGGAGCACCTACATCTTACACATCACCCACTTAATGCCGGCTCCACGTTACTATGCAACAACGTAGACCCGTTCAAACAGTGCTATTGACGTCACTCTATATGCTTGCCTTACGGCTCAAGCATCGTGTGTAGTTGTTTGTTTGACAGATAACTGTCGATGGCGACTTGAGAGTAGTTTGTGGGTACGTCGAGAGAAGTACATGTAATAAGAATCCTTGAAAAGTCCGAGCCACTTGGTTCTATCCGCAAACAACCAGACTGATAGAACCTCAGTGTTTAGATCACTGTTGTGTGTTGTCTATAAGAGAACTGTGACAGACATCAGAAACCATAAATAGTTCCCTCCGTCGGTCAAAGCATAAGCCTGTTTGCCAATACAGGCTTATGCCAATCAGACTTTCAGTATCCATTCAAACTCAATTTAAGTTTCGAGACGAAAAGAGAGATATCTGGAAACAATAATATATAGCAGGCTGAACTCCCCGCCGAGGAAATACTAGGACATTTTAAACAACTTTTGTTTTTAATGTAATTGGTTGCTTGCTTCCAGGGCGATTATGACAAATCCAACGCTAATAAACCCATGACTTCTTCATCCCAATATACAGCTGACAAGAAGCGTGAGATGGCCAAGGCCCTCAAAGTACGCGCCATGAGCAGGAACGCCCTCAAGCGTCGAGCTGGTATGTTGCCCTCATTCACATAATTTGTTTTCTTACAAATACCGACCGACCGACCGATTACCGACCCACCTCCCAGCCACCAACCAACCGACCGATTTACCAACCCTCATAAGCGAAACAATAGTTACACAAGTGACAGAATTGGTAACTGCAAGAACACATTACTTTGTTATCGGAAAAGTCAACAGACGTGTTATTTACCCTTTAGCTATAGCATCTTGAAGTGGAGCGCCGCGGCCTGGTATTCATTGGTGGAGCATTGAACTCATAGTCTGCGGTTTAATTCTGCCGGTTGTGGGTTCGAGTCCAGCCTGGGGTTGTAGTGTGTGTGCCCTTGGGCAAGGCACTGTGTCACTCATTCATTCTCCCCACCCAGGAGTTAATGTGTACCTAGGGCAGAGATGGTTATTGCATTGATTCTAGCTGCTTTGCGTCGAAATCGATGCATCGAGATCCACACTCCCCTGGAAGCTGAAATTGTCATTGGAATATCTCGTTACAGAGACATGTAAAGTGCCCTTCAGCTTTTAGAGACGTTCCGTCGCCAATTGTAGCATGGCCATGAGACGGATTTGACAATAACGCCCAGGGCAATGACTTGTTACCCAGATATAAGGGAGTTTTAAAAAAAAAACGCAAAGATTTCAAACAGTAATAAGCAATATTTGTTTCGCTTTCCTCGCCGTCAACAGAGCTGGCAGAGAGCAAACGCGAGGACAATCGCCTCCCGTTCCCGCCCAAACCCGACCGCGGCCCGAAGCCTTCCGATCGCCTCCCGAAGCCAGAGCAGCCGAAGCCCCGTCCGGAAGACGAGCCAGAGGGGTCAGGCTTCTCATCCGACATCGAGTGGAAGGACTCGTGGTCCAGTGACTTCTCCGATCTGGAATGGAAGGAATCCTGGAGTTCCCTGTCCAGCTGGCTTCCGGAATCCTGGCTCGAGGAACTGGAAAAGGAAGAAGGTATGTGATTAAGCACACTTTTTTTAAGACGAAGAATCCGAACCTTACCCCGACATTCAATAAGGATAGTTTTCTCACACAAATATGCAGGTAAACGAAAAAAAACAATAATTCTAAGAAGGCGGTCAAGCGAATAATTATGTTCAAGATGTATTACCTTTACGTTGAAGCCTGTACTTGAACACAAAGTATGTTGGCCAAGTAGGCTATACCGATCCGAGTTGTCCACTTTTTGTGATCATTAGGGCGGCCTTCTAGCAGCTTTACCGGAAGGCCCCTAATTTCGTTTTGGTACTTCAATAAGGCACTTACTTTTGTAACGTGCAGTGTTCTCCGAAACGAACCAGCAATTGGCCTTCAGGTGTATAGAAGCGTCCCCATGGCGATTGAAATCGAAACCGCTATCTGAAAATCGGATAGGTGTATTAGGATGATGAGTCAGTGATGAGTCAGTACATGTTCAAACGTTTAATGCTCATGTTTATGTGTTTCCAGATGAAGGCAAGCGTGGCCTCATGGGCAAGAAATCTTTGTCGACCCTCAAGAAACTCAAACTGGCCAAGAAACTCCGGGAACACGCCAAGAAGACACGCGCCCTCAAGCGTCACATGACAGGTAAAAATGTTGGGAGATCGCGATTGTGGTTTCAGGCGGGTCCAAAATTGCAATTCGTGTATCTATACTGCGGACACTGTTCCAACTAATAGAAAGTTTTGATGGCCTTTTCGCTTGCGAGGTTATAAAATATATATGTTTTAGCTTGTGCTTCTTGTCATGCTTGTGCTTCACGAATGCATTGAAGAGTGAAAATGTTGCAAGCAGAGGTTCCTTCCAATGGACACTTCCCCAGCTTAATCGGTACAAGAAAGCTCTAAGCGTCCAGATATGAGGCGGCAAAATCGTTGGGGGAACATTTTACCCACTCCCTCCTCCTTGTTTCTGCCCCTTTCCACCCCCTTTAGATATCTCGCTAGAGAGCCATAACATGCATTACAGTGCCACAGTAGAAACATCCCGGCGCCATTCTCATGTTCAGGAATACATTGAGCACAGCCGTATACTCCACAATAAAGCTTAAAACTATCATCACGTCCATGATATGAGAGAGTTTTGACAAACCTTAAATGTCCTCGCCCAAAACAGAGGCAGAGAGCAAACGCGAGGGCAGTCGTCTCCCTCCCAAGCCGAAGCCTTCCGATCGCCTCCCGAAGCCGGAGCAGCCCAAGCCCCGTCCGGAAGACGAGCCCGAGGGGTCTGGCTTCTCCTCAGACATCGAGTGGAAGGAATCGTGGTCCAGTGACTTCTCCGATCTGGAGTGGAAGGACTCTTGGAGCTCTCTGCCCAGCTGGGTCCCGGAATCCTGGCTCGAGGAACCGGAAGAGGAAGGTAATTGATAAGGACTAAGGCAAAAACAAAAAATTCTCGGTCTCTGGTCAGCGCGCGCGTCGGTTTTAATCATGCGCGTCAACCTTTTTTTTCCCTTCAAATTAACACGGAAGCTACAACAGCGCCCTCTATTGCCGCACCTCCTCAATTTTTTTGTACAAAGGAGCACCAAGGAATGGGGAAATTGCACCAAGGTAAATGATAAAGGGCACCAAGGCAAATGGAGGACACCCATGTACAATGAGGACACAAAAACAACAAAATAGTACCCACCTTGTCTGTACAATTCAAGCTTGAAAAAAAAAACCAAAAAAAAAAAAAACTACGTCGCCGCATCAATTCCGGAACTTCGGTCTGACCAGAGACCATTTTTTTTGGCCTATTAAGCAAAGATTTTTACACAATGCACTTACCTTAAGTGAAGTATTCAGAGCTTTACAAAATGCACCTGTGATGGTCGATCATTAGATATGGAAGCGTGCAATCGAAATGGAAACAGTAATTTCAAAATCTGATTGATGTATGAATCCAAATATAGCTATACAAATAAAAATGCCTGTGAAAGTCTAGATCACTTTGTTCATTATATACTGAAATGTGCGTTATTTTACAGCCAATGCATAATGAGTTAGAGCAGTGCACATTATTAAACGCTCCATGTTCATTTTGATATGTGCAGGTGAGGGCAAGCGTGGCTTCAAGAGCAAATCTGAGTCGACCCTCAAGAAAGCCAAACTGGCCAAGGAACTCATGAAGAAAGCCATGAAGATACGTGCACTCAAGCGTCTCATGGCAGGTATGGGGCAGTTGCAATATTCGCTTGTATCCCCAACTTGCACACAGGACGCTGGGAAGGGCTGGTGAGCTTCACAGAAGCTTGGGAAGGAAGTACACATGACATTCTGGGTATACTTACCAAGACATTTGCATGCATCGCATGCAGCAAGCGCGCGCTAGTTTCAGCTGCAGCGAGTTGTGCTGCGTGCTAGGTTAAACAGGTCAATCAAAATATATCCAATGGGAGCTCGAAGAGATCAGGCGTTCCCAGCGTCCTGTTTGCAGGGCGGGGTACGAGCGAAAATCGTTATTATGTCAATCTTGTCCTTAGGAATTACTTTACTTTCAACCACGTGTCCAATAGTAACCCCTAGATTCGGAAAACTCATTCATCCTGTATCCTGATTGGATACAGAAATAGCAAATAATTGTTATGTTTTATTATTTATATTTCCAAAGTCTATTAGTATTACACATGCTGACGTTGGCTGTGAATTATCACGTCCACTTAACCTGAAATAAATGTGGTTTTTTTATTTTGCTGATAAAATATTAAGTGTGACACGTCATAATTGGTTGGATAAGATTGTATTTTTTTTTTTTTTTGCATTTAAGGCATATCCGGGCACACGACTATTTCTAATTTACATACGTGTGCAAGATGTTTAAACATGCAACAAATCCAATGCCAGGGTGAGAGAGCATGTAGTGATGGAAGCGTACTGCTCGACACCATGGGAACGGTGTAGATTTGTTTCCTAAATCAACACAATGTAGCTCTACTGCCTGAATCCCATGGTAGGCGGAAGTAGGAACCCAGGGACTATCTCCATCCCCCCACCCCCGCCCTGCGTTTTGATATTCCCCCTTTTTCACCCTCGGCCGGCTACAGAGATACCTAACTGTGAACTAAGATTTCAGAAATGTTGCACCGCCATTTCCAGGTGTGGGCATTTAGCAGAGTTAGACTCCACAATAAAGCTTGCTGAAAAACCGATAGACGTCCGTGACAGAAACACTTTAGCCCTTGTCATCATTTGATCGAGATAAAGTTATTTTTTTACACAAACCAACTCATAGATTCGAAGACAATAATTAATAACGTGACTGTCTTCCTCGCTGATAACAGAGTTAGCAGAGCACAAAGACGAGGAAGGTGACCTCCCGTTCCCGCCCAAACCCGACCGCCCCCAGAGGCCGGACCGGCCGAGGCCCCCTCCGGAAGAGTCTGAGGGGTCTGGCTTCTCCTCGGACATCGAGTGGAAGGACTCGTGGTCCTCCGATCTGGAATGGAAGGATTCCTGGGGTTCCGTGCCCAGCTGGGTCCCTGATTCCATGCTTGAGGAACCTGTTGAGGAGGGTAAAATAATGATTAAAACATTTTTATTAAGATGGAGAAGAAGAGCTTTTTCTCCAACATGCAGTTGAAGCTAGGCACGTTTGAAGGGCCGACAACAAATTGCACACGTGCAAAAATGGCACGAGACGAGTGCACTCGTCTTTTACCAGTCATTCATGATCAAACTGTCTTTTACCGGGAACCTTCACCCAACAAACATAATGCAACGATATGTCCAAATTCTAAAGATGGCGGCTTATCCTTACCGTCTAAGCCCACACTTGAACAACAAATTCTGTTGGTCAAGCAGACCGATATGGCGATCCGAGTTGCCCACTGTTTGTGATCACTGAGGCGGCTTTATTTCTACCGCATACTACTGGGAAGCCTCAAAGTTCGTTCTGATATTTCAAACAATAATACACTTATTCAGAGCTTTACAAAACGCACCTTCCATCCCCATTGTTTTGTTACATACATGTACAGTCGACTCTCGCTATAAAGAACACTTTTATATAGAGGTTCTGCTTATAAAGAGCAAATTCTGAGGTCCCAAATCTCAAGTTCTCTTTTGTTTCTTTGTCTTGCTGTCCTTTTATAACATCATTCCTGTTATAAAAAGGTAATCTAGCTGGTCCCATCGACCTTGTTATAACGAGAGTCGACTGTACATGTTTTTTTTTTTATAATCCAGTTGTTTGTGTTTATATTCATGTTAATCTCGGGGTATGTACCCGTACCCACAAGCTTAGCTTTTTATGGATCAGCTTTTCTTTAATTTATGTTATTAGCTGCTTTTACCTTGTACTCATGTAAATTAAGAGATGAAATAAGTCCAAAGTCAAGTTCACCTACGATGGGCGCTCACCTGTGGCGTATCTAGAGGGGGCGGGGGAGGGGGGGGGGCAGGAGGGGGGAACTCCCCCCCCTTGCGGATGTTTTTGACAAATACTTTTTTTGTCAGCAATTATTTCAATAAATGGTTAGATAGTTCTGACATCAATACCAAATCCAAAATTTGAAAACGCGCTCAAAAACCATACAATGCTCCGTGAAAATGGGCTTATAATATTTGCAGTATGCAAAGTAATTGTTAGTTTGAAGAGGGCCCCCATTTGGAAAGTGGTTACTCCCGTGCCCCCCCCCCCCCCTCCCTGATTTACGGAGGCCAGGTGCCCGGAGAAAACAAACATGTCAACATGTCGGCGTTGTGCAATTGCCTCCCCCCCCCCCTGGCATCATAGCTGCATGGATACGCTACTGGCGCTCACCAAATACAGAAGCGTCTCAGGAATGGGCAATGAAATCGAAACCGTATTTTCAAAATTGGCTTGGTGTACGAAACGAAATAGCCAGACGAATGAAAATACCTGTGAAAGTGTAGGTACTATTTTGCTCACGGACGTCATTAACGAAATGACCTGTCGTACCAGTAGTCAATGCAATGAGTCAAACCACGAATTAAAACGCTCAATGTTAATTTTGGTATCTCCAGCTGAGGGTAAGCGTGGCCTCAAGGGCAAATCCCAGTCGCCCCTCAAGAAGGACAAACTGGCCAAGGAACTCCAGGAACGCGCCATGAAGACACGCGCCCTCAAGCGTCACATGGCAGGTAAAGTAAATTTAAGGTTATGAATGTATCTCATATAATCCACATCAGGCGGCAAAAGGCGGGGTGGGGGGGGGGGGGACACATTATCTGCACACTCCCATCCTCTTTCTTAGCCTGAGTATCACCCGTAATATGAGCAGACAAGAGTCTTATGTCTAGATATGTCTAGACATGCAGATATAATGCAAGCCGCGCGCCAGCCGATCGGAGTCGACTTTACTAAATCATGACGTCATTTCGTTCCCAAATCAGGACTAAATGGTTTGATTGGTCAATTCGAATGCAGTGTTTTGTAATACAATAGCCAGGCACATTATCGCGTAACATGATACAGAGCGCTTGACACAGAGTTTTTTTTTATCCATTGTCCATGACGCGCAACGGGTGCATGACGAAAGACCCGATATAGAAAGCGCCGCGGATTGGTCAAAATCTAGAGGTCAAGAGGCGGTTGTCTTGCCTAATAAATCGGCGAATCTGCTCACGTATAATGGTCTATTACATACCTTTTTCTACCCTTAGTTTAATACCTCGCTTATAAAGAGACACCTTTGTGGAGAAACGTTCCGCCGCCATTGACAGGTGTAATTATTACACAGGTTCATACTCGACGATCAAGTTTCAACTCAAAGCATTTCCATGAGAGCAACACGTGAAGCAATATCTAATCGCAATATAATATAGCGAATTTCAGACAAAACCAAAACACATAACTCTTAAAGTTCCTGGTCGGACTCAACACAAATGCGAATCAGATTTTACCTGAATGTCTCCTCCATTTGACCACGAGGGGTTCATTTGACACCAAACTTGTCCTAATTAATGACCTAGAGAAGTGTCAGCCTGAGGTCAAAATGGAATGGCCTGGCTACGTGGTCGAATCTGACCCGGGTGCCGAACTCAGAGATTTTGAACCACTTCAATTAAATTAATCGCGTTCTTATTTTGTTTCCTTTCCTCACTGGTATCATAATCAGAGGGCAAACGCAAGGACAACCGCGCCCCGAAGCCGGAGCAGCCGAAGCCCGAGCCCGAGGGGTCTGGCTTCTCCTCGGACATCGAGTGGAAGGACTCGTGGTCCAGTGACTTCTCCGATCTGGAGTGGAAGGAGTCCTGGGGTTCCCTGCCGAGCTGGGTCCCCGATTCCTGGTTCGAGAAGCCGGATGAGAAAGAGGGTAAGAAAATAACAACGCGAGATACAAAGGCCCCGCACCACCATATCGGAAAAATATATCCATTGCCCAAGACCACAAATAATTTTTGGCCAATGGGCCAAAACGATATCTCAGTGGCGCATGACTACAACGGCATCCTTGTACAAGCGTTATATTCTCAATGTGGACTTCCGAACAAAATAATGTCCACACGGACCAGTTTTCAGATACGTTGTGTGGACTTGCCCACGTCCACACAAGGTCCCCCTGGTTTAGAGGCATTTTGGGGTTAGGTTTATCCGTTGCAAAATGAAGGGAAACCTCGAGGGGGTTATAGTAAAAAACAATTGGGTTATCTGCCGTCTAATCACTGGGGTGTATTCCTCGAAATGTGAAAACTGCATTCTAAAATGATGGTAGCTTGAGCCTCTAATATAGTGTCTATGCTTTCTCCTTCATAACCTAGAGCTTTAGGCCAAAAAGGTCTCCGGTTTCTAGAATGGAGCTTGCTCCAAAAGTGGTGCGGCGACGCGGCTTTTTTTTACCTACTGTTTTTCTTCTTCAAATTTCGCCCGGTGACTGCAAATGGTGCCCGACTAAATTTCGTGCAAAATGTATGGGAGCCCAGAGAGGCCACATAAAGCTTATACTCGATCGTAACCCCATCTAAAAACACGTTGAAATTGTGCAGCAGCAGGATTCCAGTCAAACCAGTGAGTTTGGTGGTTTTGAAACATCATCTTACATTGAAAAAAAAAAACCCATTAATTTTACCGACGCGCATGGCTACGGCGACGCGCACGCATACCAGAAACCGGAGACTTTTTTTTTTGGCCTTACTGCAAATTCGGTCCCCAGCACGATATCACTGTACTACGTAATCTCCTTGAATTTCCTTCAATAGCTAAAACATACTGTGCCAGCTATTAGTCAGACAATCTGATTCCGACAATCTGTCCGCGGGCAGTTTCGACATACACGCATGTACATATACAATAGTTGGGCAATGCTTTGATGTACAGTGAAAGTCTGCTCGGATTTGGATAGACTAAATACAATCTCTGCTCGTATTATCATCACAGTTTTCTTGTCATTTACAGATAGACCAAAGGCCGAGGATCGCCGAGTCAAGTCGCTTGAGGCGGCCTTGAAGAAACGCAAGATGGCGGGTCACTAGAGACGACAAAGATGAGATACAGAGACTATAGAAACCGACTCACCATCGACTGAACCAACATTTTTATAAAATATAAGATATTTCTTTTAGGGCATACAAAGGAACTGTAAACTAGGCAATGACTTTGCACGTAAAGGCTATCGCTGTTATACTCGGATTCTGTTGATGCAGACTATTGCAGCATCCAGTACAGACATGACAGACGTTAATCTCCAAACGTCCGCAGAAATATGGAGAGTTTAGCAAACATTTGCTGCTACAGCGAAGTACTTTGTATTCTATAAAAGAGACATGAAACAGTTAATATATAGGGATAATATACGTACATGTGTAAAACCGACACTTTGCTGTCAACCAGCATTTTGGATAGCTTTAGCTCGAAACGTTATTGAGATATTTTGGTACAGGAAAATTTGAATGGATCTTTTCATAGTCTGACCGACCGTGTTCCAAGACAATGAATTGAGTTTCAATGTACAAGTATTTTACTGAACTTTCTTTGTATTAGATGAAAACAATTTGTAGTAAAATCCAAAGCAAACCAATTTGGTGTCAAGTGTATTTTATTTTCATGAAGTCAGATAATTTACGCTTTACAAAAATTACATACTGTACATGAAATTGAAATGTGAAAGGATATAAAAATCCCTGACTGTGGGCAGTCCTGGTAAACATTTAAAAATGGCCAAGGGTTCTATTGCCACTTTCCACAAGACAAGACTGTAAAGCTAGTCCTGAAAGAAAACAAAAATCAGAATAGATATTCATTGAAATTCTTCTCATGCATCTGGTCTAGCCTATTCATTGGTGTAATGGGGTAATCCTATACAACAGTACTGCCCGGCTTAAAAGTGACAGTCGGTCAGTCAGTTAAGGAGATACCGGACGTACATGTACATAATTGTTGGAAAACAGAGAAACTTTGGCTAACTCTAAACTCTGTTTAAAGGGAGTGTACAACATTTGCTTTAGTGATGCAATTCTCAGAATTACATGGATTTAGAGGAATAGTATGTTATAGCAAATATTGTTACACTGACTTGTTTCACGTTTCGGGCTTGTAGATGCTGGAAAAACCAAGAAAACCAATCATGTTCTTGTAGTCTGATTCCCTGACCCTACTTAAGATGAAACTGCAATCAATAGACTTCGGGGAATTGTATGGTCAGAGAATCAGTCTAGCAGGTTTGTACCCCTTCACAGGTGTGCAATCAATTGTAAAGAAAATGCGGAATAACTAACTATGAAAAAGTAGGAGCAGTTTTTGAAAAAGCCGGGTTTTCTCCAATGCTGGTCGGCCCACCAGCATTGGAAAAATACAATTTTTCTTGAAAATGTCAGCACACCAGGAGCCACGACTTTACAAGATGCTTTAGACTGTCAATTCCTAGAAATCTAGAAAGGTATTCTGTGATAATTTGATCATTTCATTTTTTGATGTTTGCAAAATGTTGTACCTTCCCTTTAACTCGAAATTTGAGTCCATTCTCCTGGGGTTTGATTTTTCGAGATGGAATCACTGTTCACAAAGAGGACACCAGGCTGGGCCTCTTGGACTAGAGGAAAACATACTTTCTATAAATCTGCAAAGCATTACAATGAATTGAATTCACTCCCCAGTTATGGGCCAGTTCTTAATAGTTCCTGGTGTTTTGTTTTTGCAAATTCCTGTTTTAATACCGTATCTAAAGAAGACAAAACCAATACACAAGTATTGGTACATTATCAACACACCCGTCAACTGTTCTATTGGCATTCAAAGACAGTTGTTCCAGGCAAAATGTGGAGGTGCGGCACAGTGGTTAGGGTTTGTGATCAGAGGGCTAAGGGTTCGAATCCAGTTGCTGGCCATTTTGTTGTGTTTCCTTGGGCAAGCCACTCCACCCCAATGTGCCTCTCTGGAGCCAGGTATGAATGGGTACAGGTATGAACTGTCGAGTAGCTTGTAATGGGCAGGCATATACCCTATCCTGAGAGAAACGAAACAGTTTCATTATGTTTTTAAACTGGGAGACTGACCTAATGAACTATGGAGTACCGAAGTGAATACGTCACGCGCACAAAATGTGAGTGAAAGACATTAGCGCGTGATTCAGACTGCAAACCAACACGCGCACGTACTCGATTCGTTTGCACTACACTTTCAGGTACGAACTGTCGAGTAACGTGTAATGGGCAGGCATATACCCTATCCAGAGAAAAACAAAACAGTTTCATTATGTTTTGTAAACTGGGAGACTGACCTAATGAACTATGGAGTACCGAAGTGAATACGTCACGCGCACAAAATGTGTGTGAAAGACAGCGCGTGATTCAGACCGCGAACCAACACGCACGCATACTCCATTCGTTTGCACTACACTTTCAGGTATGAACTGTCGAGTAACTTGTAATGGGCAGGCATGACCCTATCCAGAGGGAAACGAAACATTTTCATTATGTTTTTAAACTGGGAGACTGACCTAATGAACTATGGCGTACCAAAGTGAATACGTCACGCGCACAAAAAGTGTGTAAAAGACATTAGCGCGTGATTCAGACCGCGAACCAACACGCGCCGTACTCCATTCGTTTGCACTATACACTTTCTGGTTCTAAATGATGTCACACTTCGGTACCCCATATTGGCATCTAAATTACTTTATGGTCACCTCGACCATTCAGAACCAGCCTACTGAGGTTGATGGCATCGCTGATTACCGATAGACCCCTATCATAGACAGCCATCTTGTCCATGCAAATTACAACTGTGTATAGGTCTCGTTCAAATGACTTCATTTCCTACAGACCATCCACGTGCATTGGCATTTTGAGCGTCAACTTGCATAACGCACATCGGGTGTGTCGTATTTCGAACACATTTCGAGCAACAAGCGCGCGTGTTTGGAACATTTTCAACACTGCGCAATGCGTGCTTGATTGCCTAAAATATGCAGTTGCAGTTCTCCTACAGAGATGGCCGTCACTGAACGAGCCCCATTCAACGCCATCAGGTATTTGTGCGCACAGTGTGCAAAGCCGATGCATGTCATGCAAAATTGACGCCCAAAATGCCGATGCACGTGACAATCTCGAGGCAGTGACGTAATTAATTTGAGAGGGGTCTATGGGCTCCGTGCACAGGTACGCCTTCATCGGTTAAAAAAGGGGAATTTGGGGAGACCTAGACTGGTTCCTGGTCCATCCACTGCACATTTCTAATGATCCAAAGTTATTTTGGGGCAGGGAGTAGTCTGGGAGACCATCGCAAATTAAATTCAAACGTTTCCGCGCGCAGACAAAGCCTGACGCTCACGCGAAGACGCTGTGGCTATAGCTTTTGCACATTCAGGAAGTCCTGCGTACTTCGCGGGTGAACCAGTACAGTACAGAAAATCACGCTGCGAGTCCAGTCTACGGAGCTCTCAAAAGTGGTAAAAATGCACCCTCTTTTGTTGGCACAAGGAGCTCATAGCCTTGTGCATGATAATAATGCATAGCATGGAGCCTGGACCAAGACGTTTATAGATGATGTTTTGACGACTGTTTTGATGAGAGTTGTTGACACATTAATGTGTAAAGCGCAGATAAAGTTTTATCAAAAATCAACTGCTAGTTGACCAATCACCCTCCGTCAAACTTCCTCCATCGATGCACATCATCATCAGCTGTCCCCAAAATCGGGCAGGATGGAGGCCACTTTCTTCCTCATGTTTTCCAGTCGTTTGTCTCGTGCTCGCTCGGCTTTCAGCATCTGGGGATACCGCTTCCAGGCCAAAAATGATGTCTTCATTATGCGTCTGAGGACAAAAAAAGGGAAAATTAAGGGATCCTGTTATTGCACAACTTATCAGGGTTTATGCAAGACACACAGCTTCGTGTTTGAAGTAAAAGAATTGCTGTTTTACTCGTGACAGAGTTTTTAAGAGTTGCTGCACGATTCCGAAGAAAATCGAACAAAAATATTTTCAAAATGGCAGGTGCAGTCGATTCAACAAATGAACAAAATAGTACACAAACAGCCGTTGTAAATGCTGTTATCATCCTCATCCACAATGTTTAGATTATTTAAAAGACTGCGCAGCTACAACAAATTTCACAAAATTGATCGTAAGTTTATTGCGCAGCTGTGCAACATATTTGTTGCACAAGTCCTACCCGTGGTGTACGTTACGCACTGTTTTGTGAAATAAGCTGCAAGAGTTGGGAACCATGGGTTCACGAGGCCCTTTCAATCGAGAAACCATAGTGCACAGAGCAGTGTTATAGGTCTTGGTCTCTGTCTCGAGACTGGTCTTGAGACCACTTTTTGCAGGTCTCGGTCTCGGAAGCTGTGGTCTCGGTCTCGGTCTCGGTCCCCTTTGGTCTCGATATTTTGGCAGGTCACATGTCGAGACCGGCAATATGTAGCATTTACAGCTCAATCAATTTCTTTGTGTTCACTTTGTTGAGTTCGTTCAGTTCCGTTGATAGTTAAAACATTTGCTAGCCCGTAGATCATGTTGTCAACCTTCATGACCTTATCGTTTCGGTTTGCTGTAACACCATGTAGTAATAAGTACTGCTTAGAAGATATTTAGTTCTGAAAAGAACTTGTCCTGCTTATTATCACCTTTTGCTAAGTAGTTTTTGTTCTGATAAGAACAGTCCTGCTTTAAGTTCTAAAAGAACTTGTCTTTGGTCTCAACGTTTCGACTAGCCTACTCTAGTCATCGTCAGGAGACTGACGATGATGACCTTGTTAATGAATTTTTATATATCGTGGTTGGTTCGGACTGCACATGTAACCACTTCTTGCTAAAGTAAGGTGTCATGTATATGTCCATTTTTCAACGCTGCCACTGGTCAAAATGTGGTCTGTAATCTTCGTGAATCAAAAGGTTACAACTTACAACTGTAATTATGTGTCTTGTTTTTTATTTAGATTATTGTTATTTATTATTCGCAGTCTCGGTCTTGGACCATATAGGTCTCGGTGTCGGTCTGCCTTGAAGGGGCTGGTCTCGGTCTCAGTCTTGGTCTCGAAACTTCAGGTCTCGGTCTTGGTCTTGGACTATCCGGTCTCGACTACAACAATGGCACAGAGTCTATAAAAAAAGCTACATAACACTTCACAGCTGAGCTTACATCTCATTGTGCTCCTCGGCGGCTTCTTCGTTCTTCCACATCCGGAGTTTCTCGTCCGTGACGTGCTTTTGCCAGGCCTGGAACACCTTCCCCTTGAGAGTAAAGGCGTAATGCCTCCGAGCTTTCTGGAGCTGAATGGACTGCAGGTGACCATACTGAAAAAAAAATAATAGAAACAGCTTGCTTGGTTGTTTGAAACATTTGTGATGCGATCAAGCCAAATGAGTCGTTTGTCGACCCTGGTCAACTTTTTTTTACAGATTTGAAAAGAGCACAATCTCAGCATTACTGATGTGAAAACTGCATGTTGATACCATCGTTAGTTCAAAAATTACAGAAGTCTGAAATCCAAGAGATGTGATCAAGTGATGTGATAAAGTGGCCCTATTTTGGCCTGAATCTCCAAATGAACGTTCCCAACAAACAACTGATTTAGCTTGATCGCATCACATTTGTGAACATAATTTCCAGACTAAACAACAGATACAGCTTTGTGGACTTCTCTTGAGGGCTCTGGTATAAGCACACTGTTTTGTATTTGTCACATCTCTGTTTGCTACAGTTCTCGTGATACTTGTGTAAAAAGTCAACAGACCAATGCAGCTACCACAATCTGAAGCTTTAACAAGGTTGCTCCACTCTTTCATTCCATGTGCATTTTCCTAAATGGATTCTCTTGTCGTTGCGGCAAATGAGTAGATTAGTTGCTGGGGTGGGTCCCTATACCACCCTGACTGTTACTCCTCATATGTGACCTACTGTGGCAAAATGAGGAATGTCCCCCAAAACCTTGTTTTGAGTAATCGACGCCTGAAGTCGGATATAGCAGAAAAATCATGTCAAAATTGATAATGGTTGTTTTGTATTTTTGAGTAGTCAAGGTATCCAAGATTCACACTATGCATTTTTGTTATGGAAAAAAAATACCCCCATGAGTGGAAAAACTGAAGAACGTTTATCACTGTCGGTGGAGGCGCAATGCATTTCTTTTTTTTCAAAGCCGTTTTTCTCGAAATGAGGTTGGCAAAGATTGGCGGGACACCGTTGAAGTTCCTGCGGCACATCTTTGGAATAAATTCAGCTACAGAAATAAATTTGGTATCATTGGAAAGCCAATGATTTGCGCTTTAACATGATGTATACAACTTGAAAAGTCAAAGATGGAGGTTATTCCTCATTATGCTATGGCAGGTCACATATTGCCTCAAACCACCCCAGCACTCCATGGTTTTATTGATGAGTAAATACAATGTACCGTAATTTTCGGAATATAAGCCACGCGGCGTATAAGCCGCAGCACGCAAAAATCTGCAAATTAAGATTTGAAGTCGGCGTATAAGCCGCACCGGCGTATAAGCCGCACCGACGGCAGCGGTTTCAATTTTGTAAGGCCTCCAAATTCTAGCCAAAATGCTCTGAACCAGTTCCATTTACACTACAGAAGCTATAAAAAGAGCCACAAAAGTTGTGTCAAATCATTTACAATCGATACTCTCACAAACAAATGTGGAAATTGATGATGAGAAATAAACACCGGGAATTGCTGCCGGCTGCCCCGTCCGGTCCCCGGCCGTGAAAGTTAATACATCTCTCGGCGCTGCAGCCTGCGCCGCGCCGGCCTATGACAACATTTTCCTGCAGCACGTGAGAGAGTATGCAACCCACCGTGATTTTCCCCCATGGCGTGTGTTGTCTGACTGGAGCGCTACGTACAAATCTTGCTTTGTGGCAACAGATGCTGATTTGTTTTGTCCTAAAAATATACAGGTCCGTTTTTATCTCAAAACTTATCAATTTTTTGTGATTACTAACGAGCAGTATTCAAGTTTCGATCGTAACTTTCTTCGAAAATAGTCAAAACGATGCTGCCATTTTCATGGACGAATCCATTAATTTTGTTAGAGGTGATGTAGTCCCTGTTTTGAGGTTTACATCGTTTCTTGAATACATTTGAAGTACAAAAATTATATTGTGACGTTGAACAACTGATTATCGAATACAGAAATGTTTCGGACACCATAAAAAGTATTAGTCGTCTTTTTTCTTTTTTTTAAACAGCGGAAATGTTGGTAATTATTGTTTCCAAGATAGTTCACCCCTATTATTACCTCAAATGGTGTGGTCGGCTGGGGAAAGCATGCTGCATGCAGCAGCACTAGTACAGTACATGTATCACGTACGGCTTGTTGCAAGCGTCGATCAAGACAGCTTTCACCGTACTTTTTACCGCTCGGCACCTTTACGTGGCACGTGGTTTCGGTTCGTTAATGACTTTCTTAATTGATAATTCATTTCAGCAACATATCTCTTCTTATACCAGTACATTAAATACACATGTGAATTTCATTTTTATTCTTCAAGGCTCGGCGTATAAGCCGCCCTGTTTATAAGCCGCAGTAAACATTTTCATGGGCAAAATCAACGTATAAGCCGCGGCTTATATTCCGAAAATTACGGTAATACAATTTAATACAAGTTGCTCAACCAACATGACTCGATAAAGATATAAGTGGCAAAGTGGCAACAATGCTTATGATGGTGAAAGTTTATCTGAGATGGTGATGTTGATTAGGAAGGTGATGCAATATCAACAAGGAAAAATCCATGGATGCTAACCCTCTTCAGAGACTGAAACGACCGTCTGAGAAGGATGACCTCGTACTGCTTCTCTGCCATGGCAAGCTTCTCCTGCAAGACCTCATCTGCATATTGTCTCCACGGCAACAGGCACTTCTTCAGTAGCACACTGCTATGGTGATCTTCAGCAACCTTAAATTTGTCAAACATTCAAGGAATGCAAACAAATTTGTTTCATATAAGGCTTTGGAAATATTTCAACAGCAGTATTTTATAAAAAAAAACATCAGAATGTTCAGGAAACAGTTTTGATTATTTTATAAATCTGGAATCAATTTCATGACACACTTCAACAGTTGGCAGAAAGTTGTGCTAGCTACAGCAGAAAAAAAGGTGCTATTTAAGCTGATTTCAGGAATCAAGTGTGAGCAATTGTCCAAATGTTTCGAAAACTTTGTTAGGCCAAAAAAAAAAAAGGTTTCCTTCCGATTACATGGTATTCCAAAATAGGTTAGGTAGGTAGGGAATTTTTTTCTTTTTGTGCTAATTTTTGTGTACGATCAGATGGAGGCGTCTGCGCATAAAGTGATGGTTTTGGGTGTTTTTTCCCATTTTCCCCATTTTTTGTTGTTGTCAGAATAGGGTAGGTAGGGAAACCTGAAGCAGAACTATTTTTTTTTTTTTGGCCTTATTAATTTTGTTGGGCCATCTTTTTAAAATGAAAGTCTGACACTGAAGTCATCTTGTTCTTTGCTGAACTTCTTTTATTTGCCATAGTGCTGTGCATTTTCAAAATAATTTAGTATTTGATTATTCCAACTTGGACTGGGTCGAACACTTGAATATTCTAAATGCCATGATCAAGTTTTACATCCACTAGCAAAACTGGCCACTGATCAGGAATTGGCGCCTGCGCTTGTGGAAAATTGGCAAAGAGCTTTAAAAACAATGTAAAAAATGCTATGTGTGTCTAATTTTTGTTGAAGGGGGGTGGGGATGGTAGTCTATGGAATGTGCCCTTAACACAGCAAGGGACTATGATATGCGAGCAAACTTGGTGATTAATTATGCAAAACAAGACTGCGTCTTGACCTCGAGATTCTGATTATTCAGCTGGCGCCTTCTATATCGGGTCTCCGGTAACCGTTGTTGTATTGCAAAAACATGGCATGCAAGTTAACCAATCAACAGCTTAGTCCACCTTTCTGATCGAAACACACATCACAATTTCTATAGTCGCCTCTGATTGGCTGGCGCGCGGGGTTGCATTAAATTTGCATGTTAGGATTTGTCAAATGTTTGACCGTGGCTCTGCACACGTAAATGTCTGATCTTTGTCAGGCATGCAACTGGGAAGTCACAAAAAAAGAGGAAATTCAAATCTTTCCAAGACTTTGTATAGTGTTTTTCTATTTTTAATGGCACACATGGGAAGTAAAAAAAAGAGGAAATCAGCTGATCCGAGGAAAAGTTGCATGCCTGTCTTTATTTAGACTAGAGGAATGGCTGATATGAGACTGATTTGAAAGAAGCAATTTGAGCTATGATATTCCTTGCGAAAGTTCTCAAAACCATTTTGCGTATTAAAAAAAGACTTTCAAAATAAACGTGGCTTTTGACAACAATAAAACCATGCAACTTATACGATTAAAATGACATTGTGGCTCACATTTTCGGGATATTCAGTGGATGATCGAATATACAGATATTGGGTATATGCAGCACAGCCCTAGCACTAGACCTTGATTAAAGGATAACCCGCTACAGGAGTGGTGGCAAAAGTAGTCTGGTCTCCATAGACAATCTTACCAGTGCAGCGACTACAAAACATCGGTGCCAGACTAATCTCTCTCACTAATAAACATTCTCACATCACTCCTGTATTAGCACATATCCACTGGCTTCCAGTATCATACAGAATCAAATACAAACTTGGCCTTTTCGTGTTCAAAATCCTCCACAACAATGCGCCGGAGTATCTCATCGAGCTCATCCACCCGTACTCAACAGCACGCACCGGACTCCGCTCCAGTGAGCTCATGATGCTTCATGAGCCCAGGACCTCCACTCTATGGGGTGACAGATCCTTTACTGCAGCGTCAGCCCGAGTGTGGAACCAACTCCCTCTGGCTATCAAATCATCTCCATCCATCACAACATTTAAGACAAACATAAAATCTCACCTGTGCAAACAGGCTTACTCTCACAACACACAATCCTAACTTGACTTTCCCCTCAAGCGCCATGAGCGCCTTTTTTAGGAGGATACCAGTGCTTTACAAATGTTCTTTATTGTTATTATTATTATTACCTACCTGCATGTTTTGTCTGGCCATGTGGACCAGCCTCATCCAGGGGTCCAGACCCTTACGTCTGAGCAGGGTTTGTCGGTAATGCTCGTCTGCTCTGCAGGTTTGCTGCTGAAGATGCTCAAGGCGCTGCTGTTTCTCCAACTCCCTCTAGAAGATGGTGAAAAAATACAAATCGGTCTATTAGGCCAAAAAAAAAAGTCTCCGGTTTCTGGTATGGAGCTTGCCCAAAAAGTGGTGCGGCGACGTGGCTTTTTTTTTTTTTTTACCTGTTTTTTTTGCTTCAAATGTCGGCTGATGACTGCAAATGGTGCCCGACTAAACTTAGTGCAAATATTATGGTAGACCAGAGAGGCCACATAAAGCTTATTCTCGATCATAACCCCATCTAAAAACACGTTAAAATTGTGCAGCAGCAGAATTCCAGTCAAACCAGTGAGTTTGGCGGTTTTGAGACATCATCTTTCATTGAAAAAAACCCTTTTTCATTTTGCCGACGCGCATGGCTACGGCGACGCGCGCGCATACCAGAAACCGGAGACTTTTTTTTGGCCTTACTGGCAAACCTGGCAAAATGCAAGTGAAACATTGTATCCAATATCATGGTACAGTAAACTACGGCCAAGCTGGCATCGTACAACTCGTCAAATCGCTCAAGTCGGCCGTCTGACTAAAGTCCCGTAACTGTACACGTACATGTTTTACTATTTTGTACACGTGGTCTCCACTATCAATACCCAAAACGTGATGATAAATTTGAGGATTAATTTGCTGGAATCAACTCAAGCATTTACCCTAATCAGGCCAGGTTATTTTGACCATCGAGTGACGAAAAATTTTGAAACTCAGTACATGCATAGAGCAACTCATCATAAACATACCCAAGAAATTTCATGACTACAGGTCAAAGGATTTTGGAATGATGGTTAATTAATTATTCATATGTACGAATGGTAATTCTCCTCTGTGTACACGACGTATATGGAAAAATAAGTTTTCACGGCGCGTAGTGCCGGAAAATTTTTCACTATGCGGCAACCCCTGGTCCAATTTTTATGTTTTTGGTATCAAAAGATGTGCAAGGCTCGAGGCTAAAAAGTCATAACAGCTCGGGTGGCGAACATTTTTTTTTAAGGCCATCGCGGAAAAAGTTGAGGGGGTCCGCCCCCCCAGCCCTTTTAGGGTTAAGGAGATAAAACAGGTTAAATTGAAGCCAATTAGTGCAATGAAACATGTGCAAAATGGCCATTTATGTAAGTCGGCAAAATGATGACTTACAGCAGATGTCGGCATTCGCGTAAGTCGTCACAAATTTCCGGGTCCCGAGAGTGCCAACTTGGCCGGAGTTTACTGTATATTGAGAGTGGATATTTCCAACTGTGTTTGTATTTAAAAAAAAAACCTCATGTATATACAGGGGAACGCCACTATAACGAACATCGCGGGATCCACATAAATTGTTTGTAATAGGGATCATTCGGTATAGCAATTTTATGCTGCCATACTCCAGTTCCCCAGTACTCACTATTAAAGTAGCACCCTCCGGAACTTCACCCTGCCAACCTGGTAGTTACTGAAAGACGACTTGAACACGTGCAGACTATTGAATTATGTAATTACACAGTTTTTGAGCTTACTACCTACAGCAATAGCTGGCTTTCCCCTTCTATTCCTTGGGGAAATAATAGCCACTTGTCGCTCTTCTGTTGACAATTTTCAACAACAATCATTCAACAATGTTCAGTACATTTTGTACACAAACTTCGGGAACCAAAGACGATGTTCGGTATAGCCTAATCTTCGGTACAGCGGTGTTCGGTATAGAGAAGTTACACTGTACCATACCGGTAGGTAGGCCATACTTGTATATCCCCCTTGATAAATATTTGTACACCATCGTATCTCAGGTATTAGTATTCTATCCCACATCAGTTTATATTTAGTATAATCTGCCATTAGAACATTGCTATATGCCTTCCCAACTAATGCATCCATACTCTTTTCGAAACCAAAGTATTTCATAACTTAATGTAGGTATACCTTTAGGTATCTGTACAGTGCATCCAATATACCATTCTACCGGGGAATATAGACAACTCACATTTCTCTGTTTTATATCGTCCTAGCCACATGGTAGGCATGCTCGACGTTATCTTTCACTAGATCCTAGTTTGGACCAAGGTACATCCACCAGAGGGTGTGTCACTTGCTGGCCCTAAGGGGTGACTTAAAATTGGCGGGAAAACCTACCGCACTTGTGCACATTTACATAGGCTTGTATTTTTTTTTTAACAGCTCGCAACGCCATAATGAATTTCAATGTTTGTTTTTTATATACAAATGACAATAAAGAATTCTATTCTATTCTATTCTATACAATTGCCCCTGTTCATTGTGGATTGTTATGGATCGCCCCTGCTTATAAAATGAAAGAGTATTGATCATCACATTGCAGTTCTTTGGTTTTAATGGCTATTTGGGGTTTGAAGGATACCAATGGTTGGGGTTGGAGGGCAGGGTGGCTCAAATTACATTGTGGTAGGAAACCAATGCCCGGCAAGGTCAGATATGTGTAGACTAAAGGGGTAGCTCCGCTTCAAGTACATGTATACTACCCCACCTGTTTGGCTAGTCTCTTCTCTCCTCGTCTCTTCTCCATCTTGGCTTTCTTCTCGTCTTCCTCTTCCTGCCTCTGCCTCTCCTCTTTAGCCTTGATCTCAGCCTAAAAATGACATCAAGACAACTTTAACCCAATATCGAAGCACTTGCATGAATGGAATTGCAGGTGTACAAACTGGTGCACGGTGTAGATAATGCAAAATTTACATTTTAATTTTAAATTGTACAAGAGTCTACAAATTCTATATCTCTATGCCAAATATTCTGTCAGTCGTCAAGATCCAATATATGCACCTGAAGAAATATTCTGTTGACCTCATTCTCCCCATCCAAACAAACAGAGCTGAGGTTGATATCAGTGTCCAATGTCAGAGGCCATGAGACCAGTTTTGCAGCTCGAGATCAGCGCATTCTGCCCTTCACAGGTACCATTTATACTCCTGGGGTGAAGAGTACCATATGTGATGCAATCAAGCTACACGAGTCGTTTTGTCGCCCCTGGTCAAAACGTGTTTTTTTTTACAGATTTGAAAAGAGCACAATCTCAGCATTACTGCTGTGAAAACCGCATGCTGATACCATCTTTAGTTCAAAAATGATGGAAGTCGGAACACCAAGAGATGTGATGAAGTGATGTGATGAAGTGGCTCTATTTTGGCCTGTATCTCCACATAAAAATTCCCGACAAACGACTCATTTAGCTTGATCACATCACGTACTCCTGGGTGGAAAGTGGCAATTGTAGTCAAGTGGCTTGCCCAAGAACACAAGCACCATGTTCCCCGTCAGAGTTCGAAAGGTCTAAATAGCAGGGTTTGAAAGGCCTTTAAGGTCTAAACAGCAAAAAAAGGATACAAATTGTATATATTCAAATTGTTCAAACTTCATTAGAACTTTAGGTACATTTTGTAATTTACCAGTTTTTCCTGTTCTCTCTTGAGTTGTCGTTCCTCCCTGTCTGCTTTCATCTTCAGCCGCGCCGCTTCCCTGTCCTTCATGCCTGAGGTCAACAACACAAGTATGAAAGAAAAGAAAATATTTTGAATCTTTTTAACAGATAAATAATGAAAGGTTTGCGGAAATACCATGTGCGAATAATTTCTCAATTAAGAGAATGGTTCTGAAAAGAACCAGAGGTATAAACTCGACGTTCCGGTCAGTATGATCTGACCGTCTTCAGGAGAGTGAAGACGGTCAGAGCATACTGACCGGAACGTCGAGTTTATACCTCTGGTTCTTTTCAGAACCATTCTCTTAGTTGAGAAATTATTCGCACATGGTGTTTCCACAAACCTTTCATTATTTAGTATCTCCACCATGCAAAGCATCAAATCTTACTTATACAGATAAAGGTTTTGGGGTATTCAGAAGGGATGAAGGATATACACGCAACGAGCGAGGCCGAAAATATCTGTCAGCGACCCCCTCGCAGCGAGCGAGGCCGGAAATATCAGGGTGGGCTACCAGCAGATGACGGCCTGAACCCGTCTGGCATTGAGGTTCTTGAAAAACAATCCCTCCCCTGGGTCCGGTCGATGTCAAAATAATCCCGGCGCGAACTGGTTAATTGGAGTGCCGCATGGCAATCACATTTTACGCATGGTGCAGAAACTGAAAATGGCGCTATGGACTCGGTGCAATAACAACAGGAGGTGCTATTCTTTACCAGTTTCGAAAGCCGAGAAGAGAACTGACAATTGAAAATTGAAATTTTCCATTTTCAAAATCCCAAGTAGAGAACTGAAATTTTCCATTTTCAACATCCCCAGTAGAGAACTGAAATTGTCCGTTTTCAACATCCCCAGTAGAGAATTCAAATATTCCATTTTGAACATCCCAAGTAGAGAACTGAAATTTTCCATTTTCAACATCCCATGTGGAGAACTGCAATTTTCCATTTTCAACATCCAAGTTCATAATTAGAAAAAGTTTCCATACCAGTGTCACTTCAATTTTCTATAATTTTAACAGCTGCAATCCAAACAATTACATTTGTAGGGTTGGCACACAGGGCACTTTTCGTCCATTTGGGGTCGGCACATTCGCAGGGCCTAGCTAATGAATGCAAACATATTCTACTGTTGCCCTAATCATTCACAAACAAATCCTCGGTTGCACCACGAACCGACGTATCGCATTTTTTTGTGTTTCGAGAAAAACTGATTTAAAGTTGGTCATTATTTTGTAGGCTCATTCCATATACTCCCTGTGTAAGAATTCAAGATGTTTCGTTTTTGCTAGTAACTTATAGATTGAACTTTATTGTATGCAATCCGTGTGCATCTGAGTTGCTTAGTTTTTGAGAAATTCAGTTCCAAAGTTATTCGTCACTTCGTGAAACAAATTTTTCTCATGTTTATCGTATGTCATACAACGCGTGTAATAGTGGCCGTGTGCCAGATACGGAGATACGTCGGTTCGTGAAACGCTAAATTCCAATTTTTCATGTCGATGCTCCTTTATGACGTCATACCACTATGGGAATTATGAGTGTAAAGCGGCGTATCGGGATACGCCACTTCGTGGTGCAGCATTTTTCATTTTTTTAGAGATACGCCGCACAATCTAATTAGCGTTCTTAGTTAATAAGACCTCAGATCGGAATAAAACTTTCTGAGAATGAGCACTTTGATGAAATAATAACGTTAATGAGAAAAACTCAATTTGGCAAAAAATCGAGATACGCCGGTTCGTGGTGCGACCGACGAAATACACAGATCATATGGCAATAACAAATACACTGAAGAACTGTTTCGCCACAAAGAAAACTGAAGCGATCAATGCTACCTTTGAGCAGTGGTGGCCTGGTGGGTTCCTTGTTCTTACTTCCAGCGCTGGTCGTGCTGGAATCGCTAAGGTCTGACCGTCCAGTGGACGGCGCCGTGCCGGCTCCAGGCTGTGACCTGCAACAAGAGCATAAACCAGGGCTCAAAACCAACGCGTGCAGGTGGAAAAATAGCGCCCATGAATTTACAAAACAGCACCCATAACCCATGATGTAGGGAGCAAGTGCTGGCCCCTGTTTTCCTCAAGCCTTGTTTAGTTGAGCATGCTTGCAAACGAGTATTTCTACTTGTGGTACCAACATTATCGACAAGCGAGTATTTGATCCAATGAGGCTGAGCCCAATTCTGAGTCCTGTAAACATAGGTAAAACACTATAGCAAATAACCATGGGCTCCATGGCTGAAGCACAGAACGTGATTTTTTTTCCAGAGCATGTAGTCGAGCCCTGTATGAGGCTGAAAAAAAAAATAGTTCTGCTTCCGATTACATACCTTTCAAAAATAGGGTTGGTCGGTCGGAAGAATTTTTTTTGCCAATTTTTTTTATGCAGATTGAATGGGGTATTCAATCATATGTGAAGTTTTAGCCTGAACTATTTCCATTGCACTACGAAAGCTGTAAATTGGCGCGGCCGGAACCAGTCATCGCTGCATTGAGCTGGGTTTACGCACGTGATTATAGTCACCGTGACATGGAATTGTGAAGCGAATTTGTAAAAATAACGGAGGCTTCTTTTGAAAAAATAGTGAATGTAAGTAAAAAAACAAATAAGTAAAAGTTTTTTTTACGCAAACGGGTTGTTGAGAGGTATTTTGTGAAGACAGAAAAGACAACAGGTTTTTATTTTTATTTATTCAATCATTATTATTATTTTGTTTGGAATTGCCGATAACATTTTTAGGGTCGCAGCCTAAACATTTGGTCAGTCGGGTAACCGGAAGCAGAACTATTATTTTTGTTGGCCTGAGTAGTCACTTGCAGTATGATTCATCTAGCCTCAAGTCAAGTAAACACCCTTGCCTAAAGCTAAACAAATCTTTATTGTTTTCTCTCTTGGTTTCTTCTGGCCAGGTGAGTCCATCACAAGTCCCTGCAAGTCCATCACAAGTCCATCACAAGTCCTTCAGTCTCAAGTCAAGTCACTAGCTATTCAAATGAACTGTTACAAAAGCAGTCCTTTGTCATTGTTCATCCTGTTACTTGTGACTGGACTCATGAAAGGACTCGCGACTGGACTTGTGACTAGACCTGTGAAAGGACTTAAGAATGGACTTGTGACTGGACTTGCGACTGGACTTGTGACTAGACTTGTGACTGGACTTGTGACTAGACTTGTGCCTGGACTTGTGACTGGACTTGCAACTGGACTTGTGAAAGGACTTGTGACTGGACTTGTGACTGGACTTGTGACTGGACTTGTGACTGGACTTGTGACTGGACTTGCGACTGGACTTGCGACTGGACTTGTGACTGGACTTGTGACTGGACTTGTGACTAGACTTGTGACTGGACTTGTGACTGGACTTGCAACTGGACTTGTGAAAGGACTTGTGACTGGACTTGTGACTGGACTTGTGAAAGGACTTGTGACTGGACTTGTGACTGGACTTGTGACTGGGCTTGTGACTGGACTTGTGACTGGACTTGTGACTGGACTTGCGACTGGACTTGCGACTGGACTTGCGACTGGACTTGCGACTGGACTTGTGACTAGACTTGTGACTGGACTTGTGACTGGACTTGTGACTAGACTTGTGACTGGACTTGTGACTGGACTTGCGACTGGACTTGTGAAAGGACTTGTGACTGGACTTGTGACTGGACTTGTGACTGGACTTGTGACTGGACTTGTGACTGGACTCATGAAGGGACTTGTGAAAGGACTCGCGACTGGACTTGTGACTGGACTTGTGAAAGGACTTGTGATGAATGGACACGACTACAACACTGCTTCTGGCTTTCAAGGTAAATTGCCTGTGCACTTGACTACTTGGTTTAGTAACCAAAATGAATTAACCAATAAGTCCCTGTACCGCCTGCCTGCCCGTTACTCCTTATACCGCCCCAAGCCACCCAAGCGCTCCACGATATTATGGATTCATCAAGGAGTAAATACATTGTAGAACAATGTAATAAAATACGGTAATACTAAAAGATTTACATGAAAAACACTAGGTTTGCCTAAATGAGCTGGACCCACAATACTCAGTTTAGGACATTTTTTTATACTAAGTGACTCGGGGAGTCAGTCAGTCAGTCAACAGTAGGGGAGTCAGTCAGTTTAGTGACTTGGTCAGTCAGTCTGTGACTCAGTCAGCAGTCAGTCAGTTTAGTGACTTGGTCAGTCAGTCTGTGACTCAGTCAGCAGTCAGTCAGTTTAGTGACTTGGTCAGTCAGTCTGTGACTCAGTCAGCAGTCAGTCAGTTTAGTGACTTGGTCAGTCAGTCTGTGACTCAGTCAGCAGTCAGTCAGTTTAGTGACTTGGTCAGTCAGTCTGTGACTCAGTCAGCCGTCAGTGACTTGGTAAGTCGTTCTGTGACTCGTGAAGCCGGTCAGTCCGTGACCCAGTCAGTCAGTGACTTGGTCAGTCAGTCAGTCAGTGGACGATAGGCTGGCCCTTCTGGTCCACAAGGTTCAATCATATTTACTCTGAAGGTTTACCTTCCACTATCTGGGAGTCCTTCAGGAAGTTCGTTTGGATCCCTTGTCACATCACTAGTTGCCTCCGCTCCTCCTCCAAGCTGCGCTCGCAGCAGCTGCTGCCTCTGCGCCGTCTGCAGGTCTTCAATCAAGCGCTTCTGCTCGCGTAGTTGCTGCTGCTGCTCCTGCAGGACGCGCTGCTGCGCAGCATAGCGGTGCTCGAAGGAGTTGGGCTTGTAGCTGATGGACCTCTTCGATGTTGCACCTGAGGCGCTGGTCTTTGGATTTGCTGCAGTGGAAAAAAAGTAACAATCATCAACTTTAACTTGGTGCACTGTGTCCATCATGTACAAACAAAGTCAATGGATGCCACAATGGACGAGAGGCATCGCATAGTTGCAATCGGCTAAATGAGAACTTTCCCCGATGCCGATTTTGAGCGCAATTAATGCGGCTCCGCAACTTTTGAATTGAAATTGAGATCCTAGAATACTGTTTTCTCCGAATATACAGCATTCATAGAGCTACAACTTCACCGGGTTAGTTGTTAAACACCCGTCTTTGGATTTTGGGCACTTTTGTTGCTCCATACGAAATAAATGCACAAATGATCTACTTTACCTTTACGCGTTGCAACGTGGAAACTCTAAAAACACTTATTAGGCCATCCTGCCCGACTAAAAATTAATACCTATAAATTACTACAACTGCATGTTGATTTTTTTTATGGTTCTACGAAGACCCTCATATCGGTTTTTCTGTACTGTATATTTCCTGCCTTATCATGGAAATGTAGGACTCACCGTTGTCGACGGCATTATTCTGATTCCGATTCGGCTGGTGCTCCGCGTTGTCGTCATCTTCACCGGCTGCTAGAATCTCCTCCACTGGAAGGTCCACGTGTTTGCGCATCACCTGCCAGGCGTACTTGGGCTTACCGGGACCCGCGGAGTGGTTAGGTTGCCGTTTGGTTTGGGATACTTCGGACGTGGTGGAGACATCACTGCGGGCTGTGCTTGGGACTGAAGCTTTGGGGTTAACTGGTCGTGCTGGTTCTCCGAACAGGTCATCCTGGGCATTGAAGGACAAATTGATAGAATCTCACTACAACATAATATACAAGGGGGGGGGGGGGTTCAAAAAAAGGACACCCACATTTGACAACAATTTTCACCTATTTTTAAAAATTATTTTTAACTGTTGATTAGTAGCTATTAAAGTACTGGCCTTTAAGCAAATGTGACGAAAAAATTGTTGCATTTGCGCATTTTGTCGTTGAGCTATGCTTATTTGAACATTTCATGTGCAAAAAACCTGTTTGTCCACGGAGGTATATATTCCCTTCGCTTGACTGAGCTCAGCTATCGGAGCTTTATTTGAAAGGGCATGACATTTGATTGTTATGTTATGTAATGTTATACAACAATGAACTTAAGCGGACAGCTCATTGAGTAGAGGATCTGAACACCGACATAAATAATTGGACAGCTTCAATAAAAGTTACCAGGGCGAAAAATTTATTTTGGTGGGAAGGTTTTTTAATTTTGATGAACTACGAAAACGTCCAATTTGCATAGAATAACCTGTGGACAAGACTGATTTAGGTGACTTGTATTCAAATTAGCATAATATCACTATTTTTTTGACTTTTACTAAGCTTTTTTCCACCATGCATGGTTAAAGGCCTTTACTTTACTACTATGTGAAAAAAAATATTTTAAATAAGCTCAATAAGTAGGTGAAAATTGCTGTCAAAAGTGGGTGTTTAGACCATATTTTGCACAATCCTTTAAGGGACCGTGACCATTCAGCCCTGGTATGAAAAGGGCCCCCCGGTACCTCGTCCGGTCCAGAGCCAGTCCGGTCTTCAGCCCAGTCTCGTCCAGTACATGGTCCTGTCTGACCAGAAGTTTTGAAGTCAGTCAGGCGCATCAATTTATTGCCCTTCAGAGAACCTCCAGAGCAGAACAATAGCAGACGAAAGTGTTCTATTGTTTCGCGCTGAGAGATGAAAACCACAAGCGGGTTTCTTCTTGGATATATTGTGTCAATACTTGCAAACAATAGACCCCAGGATAGAGGAGTTCCTGATTAGCAACCGGATCAGCTCCTGGGCCGGTAGCTGGGACGGTGCGAAATGACTTCTTGGGAGGGGACGAGCTTACCGGGGGGCCCTTTTCATACCAGGGCTGAATGGTCACGGTCCCTAAGCAACCCAGACAAAAATCACGATGACTGTTGCAATGGGTTTGGATAATACAATTTATACCCTTCTTCTCAGAGGCACTTTTGTTACATACATTTCCAAATCCATCAACTCCTAGATGCAAAAACCCAGATGCCGCATATTGCTATTTTTACTTCAAGGGCTTTAAAGGGAATGTACATCATTGGCTTTTGCTGTAATTTTCAGAAATGAACAATTTGAGGGGTTAGTATAATAGTTCAAATATTGTTACACTGACATGTTTGAAGTTTTGTGTTCGAAAAATACTGGAAAAACCAAAAAAACCGAAAATGTTCAAGTAGTCTGGTTCCCTAACTTCACTAAGGATAAAATGGATCAGTTTATAGATGCCGGAAAATTGTAAGGTAAGGGAACCAGTGTAGCTGGCCTGCACCCGTTCATGAACATGTTACCAAATAGCAAACAAAATTTGGACCGAAAAAATGGTAAATTTGAAGCAAAAGTTGAAAAATAGTTAGGTTTTTCCAACGGTGATCGGCCGACCACTGTTGGAAATGTATACAAAAATACCAATTTCTTGAAAATGACTTCACACCAGGAGCCATAATTTTACAGGATGCTTTTGACTGTCATTTACCAACATCCAAGTAAGGTATTTCGTAAAAACTTGATAGTTTTATTTTTCGATATTTGCAAATGTTGTATATTCCCTTTAAGCCTCATGTAAAGTCCTGCAACCACTCCCAATGAGACTATCACCTCACTGACGATGGGTGTGTTTGCATGTTCCGATGACCCATGAGCTACACCATCAGAGTCTTGTCCTCCTGGTAGGGCCACCCAAAGCAGAAAGGTCACAGGGTACATGTAAATCAATATTAGATTTTGCCCTTCAACGACGTATAAGCACTGTGTACTCAGATATAAACATCTACATCACATTCGAACCAGCCAACCGATGCCGCAAGCTCGGTGGTCGAGTGGTAAGACCTCTGCACAACAAAGCAGGAGGTCATGAGTTTGAGTCCCACCCGAGTGTTTTTTTTCCCAACTTTCACTCGGAAGGTAACACACTGAGTATACAGTGTTTATACGTCGGTGAAGGGCAAAACCTAATTTTGATAGAAATCTCATCTTGTTAGACCACAAAAAAAAAACAAATTCCACAAACCAGTTTTTGTGCCACTGAGTCGGGCCTATCAGAGGCCCCCTTCTTTCCAGCCTTGGCATCACCATCTCCCTCTTCCTCACTCCTATTGGTCCACAGCTTCCCAGAGGCTGCCGCCTCCAGGAAGGCGGCCATCTTGCTTTTGGTCTGGTGCTGCTGTTGCTCCAGTTCCCTGCTTTGTTGTTCCTGCCGCAGCCACAGGCACCAGACGGAGAGATATTTTCTCAGGATTGTACGGTGGTAGTGATCGGCGGCGATCTGCTTTTTCCTACAATTGTTCAGGGCAGTAAACAAATTATGATAAATATAAATAAAAAGAATTATGAAGAAAAATGTACTAATTGTTGCAATGGATATATATTGATATACATTTATATCTCAGACAGGTTCCCAGCTGGTTTTTTGCTCAGCAAGAAAATTATATGTTCGTTATTTAAAGGGAAGATACAACATTTTTTTTTGCAAACATCAAAAAACGAAATGATCAAATTATCACGAAATACCTTACTGAATTGCTAGGGATTGACAGTCTAAAGCATCCTGTAAAATCGTGGCTCCTCGTGTGCTGACATTTTCAAGGAAAACTGTATTTTTCCAACGCTGGTCGGCCGACCAGCGTTGGAGAAAACTGGCTTTTTTCAAAAACTGCCCCTAATTTTTCATATTTAGTTATTCCGCATTTTCTTTGCAATAGATTACACACTTGTGAAGGGGTACAAGCCTGCTAGACTGATTCTTGACCTTACAATTCCCTAAAGTCTTTACATTTCTCCGTTTCATCTTAAGTAGGGTCAGGGAACCAGACTGCAAGAACATGATTTGTTGTCTTGGTTTTTCCAGCATATACAAGCCCAAAACGTGAAACAAGTCAGTTTAACAATATTTGCTATAACATACTAATCCTCCAAATCGCTTTATTTCTGACAAGTGCAGCAAAAGCAAATGTTGTACATTCCCTTTAATAGTTCTTTTAAAAATACACAATTACATGTAGGCAGAGGGTTGTGGATCTGAGGTCCATCCATGCAATCTTGTTATATATTTTTCTCACAATCTCTCAAACAGCAATGAGTGTACCCTGCTCATAAAATTACATTTGTGAAGGGCACAATCCAATTGTAAAAATTTACACCCTTTTCAGATAAGTTTATGTTCCAGAACTGCAAATCAAACTATTCTGAAGATCTGAATTAAGTACATCAAAAGTCTGATGTGGAGTGTCATGGCCTCATGGTCTGGAGCATTGAGCTCATGGTCTGCCGGTAATTCTGCAGGTTGTGCTGCAGGTTGTGGGTTCGATTCCCGCCTGGGGTTGTGGTGCATATGTCCTTGGGCAAGGCACTTTGTCACTCATTGCACCGGAAGGAGTAAATGGGTACCTGTGAGGGCAGAGATGATTGTGATTGATTCTAGCTGCCTTGCACCAAAATGGCAGCATCGAGCTGTATACAGAGCTGAGATTGTATTTGGATTGTTTCATTGGCCCAATGAGCAAGAGTGATAATAATGTAAAGCGCTTTGATCTCAGTTAAAAGCGCTATATAAGAACCTGTTATCATTATTATTTGAAACCTGCATGCGTCCCAAATGATTCAAAGTCCAATCAGTGGAACAATTATAAAGACATTTTTTATTCCTGACTCAAACAAAAGTAAATTTGAGGGACCCTGGTTTCTCATTATACTACTTGGTTTAGACGAATCTGGAATCCAAGTCTACAGAGAGTTTTACATCTCACAATCGCACAATTCCATAGTCAATTTCAGAAATACTTTGGATGCATTGAGAGTCACTTTGAAGAGTTTCCAAAATGTGATATACGCCATTTTATTCCCTTTTAGAATCCTGCATTCTCTTGGCTGCCCAACAGCAATTTCGACGGCTGTTATTATATACTTCAACACAACTTAAGAATACAATGAAGAGAAAAATAAAGTTTAGAAACAGCTGTTTTTATTCTTTAAAGTTCCACAACCCTGCAACTTTTGCAATGTTTTTAAATGAATATGTCGCGTTTTGGAAATAAACTCTTCATTTTGTTTTGGTCAACCTTAAATTCAAATAACAATATAGTACCTGTGGAGGTCTTTGAAGTTTTCTTCAATCTCCCTGGTCTCACGCTCGGCCCAGCTAGCCCTGACGTAGGCCCGCCAGGCATTCCAGGCTCTGAGTAGCGTCCGCCAGTCAGCCACGGCCCGGGCCTTGCCCAGGGCTAGTCGCTTGCTCAGGACCAGCTCGTACCAGGCATGGAAATGCCTCTGTAAGCTCTGGGGAAAAAAAATTTGTTAAGGCCAAAAAAAAAAGTCTCCGGTTTCTGGTATGCGCGCGCGTCACCGTAGACATGCGCGTCGGCAAAATGAAAAAAAAAATGTCAATGAAAGATGATTTCTCAAAACCGCCAAACTCACTGCTTTGACTGGAATCCTGCTGCTGAACTTTAACGTGTTTTTAGATTGGGTTATGGTCGAGAATAAGCTTTATGTGGCCTCTCTGGACTCCCATATATTTGCACTAAGTTTAGTCGGGCACCGTTTGCAGTCATCAGCCAACATTTGAAGCAAAAAAATCAGGTAAAAAAAAAAAAAAGCCGCGTCGCTGCACCACTTTTTGGGCAAGCTCCATACCAGAAACCGGAGACTTTTTTTTCTGGCCTAATACAAATGAATACAAGAGAATAAGAAGGGCCAAGCTGCAGAGGTTTATCAGTTCAGGAAATGCTTCACCAAAGACTTCAACAGGCAATTACTGTGCTTGCACCTTGGCCACACACTTGAAAGCCAATGCTGCAGCAGATTTCACAAAAAAGTGCGTAGCTTGCGCCATGCGTAGGACTAACGCAACAAATTTGTTGCGCAGCTACGCCATGTTTCGTGAAATAGATCGTAAGTTTATTGCACCCCCTGCGTGACAAATTTGTTGCATTAGTGCTACGCATGGTGCAAGCTACACACTTTTTCGAGGATAATAACAGCATTTATGACGGCTGTTCGTGTATGATTTTTTCGATCACAAAACAGTCGTTGAGTCACCCCACCCTACCATTTTGAAAACAATTTTGTCCGACTTTTTTCTGAATCGTGTGGTAACTCCAAAAGCTCCGTCACAAGTAGAATAGTAATTCATTTACTATTCAAACCCAAAGCTGTGAGTGTCAACCTTGATAAGTTGTGCAATAACAGGTGCCACGACGATCACGATTTGCTGGTAAAATAAGTGTTTAAAACCAGCCAAGCTCATATTTATTCCCTAAAAAATAAATAACAGCAGGCCATGTGTGATGCGATCAAGCTAAATGAGTTGTTTGTCGACCCTGGTAAAAAAAATGTTATTACAGATTTGAAAAGAGCACAATATCAGCATTAATGCTGTGAAAACCACATGCTGATACTTTAGTTACAAAATTATGGAAGTCGGAACACCAGAGATGTGATGAAGTGATGTGATGAAGTGGCCCTATTTTGGCCTGTATCTCCAAATAAAAATTCCCGACAAACGACTCATGTAGCTTGATCGCATCACATATATAGTCCCAATCTGCTTTTCCTGTACATATTCCATAATCTAAACCAGCCCCTTCATTGTAAGACATACCTTCAGATCCTGGCCTGCCTTCATTGCCCGTGCATTCTCAAGCTTCTGTTCCATCTTGCGTCTCTCCTCCTGGATGAGGGACTCCGCGTTCAGTCTGGTGTGCAGCTCCTCCTGCCGTCTTCTCGCCTCCTCTTGCCTCAGCTCTTCGTGCTTTCTGGCTTCTATCTCCTTCTCCCTGAAACAACAAAACAGAAGCAGTCTAGGGGTGTGCAATAACAGGTAGTATGGGAACCACCCGTTAAAGAAACCCAATCCCAAAATTAAAATCTCAGAAGTTACTGTTTATATTCTTCACAAAGGTCTGCACGATAATACCGCCACATTGGTGCATCAATACGGCAAGATACAAGTGTGTACAGTGAGCTTTATAGCTTTACGATGTTTTCCTATGTATCCCGGTTTTCATTCTCAAAATTCATCCAAACCTTTCTTTTTCATTATAGGAGAAGTTAGTTAGTAATTTGTAAAGTTGGTTACAGGTACCCGATCCCATAAAATGGGACCGTTTTTTTTTACATCAACGGTCGGGCACTTGGCTACCCGGTTCTAATGCAAAGCCCTACTAAGCAGACCTTTTGTGTTCAAGCATGATTATAATTATTTCGACATCTAAATCTTGAGCACTAAACTTTTAGTTTACATGTAAAAAAATTCATAATGCGAGGCTTTCTACATGCCTCGTCATTGCGCCTCACAGACGTGTGTGCCTCAAGGGGCTCTTCCTCATCTCTGCCTGGCTTCTTCAGCCAGCCCATCCTGCCTGAACATGTCCTGCCTCAGCCTGTCCAATAAATAATATCCCTTGAATCCCCTTTCTGAATTCAACAAAATAACGTGTGGTTTCCATAACGTGAGGTTTTCCAAGAGCCTCGCCATTGTGCCTCAGAGCCACAAGTGTCTCACCATTGAACCTCAAAGATACATGTGAGGTTTTCCATGTACCTCGTCATTGTACCTCAGAGACACACGTGGCTCGCCATTGAGCCTCAAACACACATGTGCCTGTGGGGCACAACAAAATGAACCTCAAAGACAACATGCCTATGGGGCTGAACCTCACTGCTGGCTTTACTCCCAGTTTCACAGACAGATGTCACTAGGACAGAACAACACCTATGTCTTGCTGTCACTTTCGCAACACATGTACCTCCGAGGCTGAGCCTCACCTTTGCCTGGCCTCCTCAGCCAGCCTCCTCTGCTCCTGCATGTCCTTCCTCAGCCTGGCCATCTCCTGCTGCATGAGGGCCTCCTCTCGCTGCCTCTGCATCGCCTTGCTGCGCTCCTCCTTCATGACCATCTGCCGTGCCTGGGACTGGGCCTCCTTGTGCTGCTGCTGTTGCCGCAGCTGCGCCTCTCTCGACTGTTGTCTCTTCTCTCTGTTCTCCTTCACCTGCGAAGGTGATAGTTCAGTTTAGAGTGAAAAAAGGAAGTCACTGTGTAACCTTTCAAATAAAAAGAAGGACACACAGACTGCACTCTAAACAGTAAACCATTCACCAAAAGTAAACCATGTAACAAAAGATAAGGTTTACGCTAAATGTTGGTACCTGTACACAAATTATATCTGGTGCCACAGTACTTCAATATTCTTGGAGGTATCAGTACATAGAGTCCTATGGGTGATTATAATAATTATCGAAGTACTAATAATGTTAACTGCAAGTTCAAGAGGCCAAAAATGACAAAAAAGTCTTCTTTTTTTCAGCCATCAGGAACAAGTTTGTTTGTTAACATGTTACATGTGTGTATTTTGAGTTGCTAAACAGGCGTTGAAGATTTTTTTTAGAATTGCAGGGGTATTAAAGTTTGAAGGATATGGGGCTTGATGCCCCATAGCCTTTAGTCAAGTCCCACGTGCTACGTGGACACGTGATGCACCCCGGATGCTGACACGTAAAAAGACTAGCATGAGCGGCGAAGCCGCGAGGGCCTTTACCATCTCGTGGAGAACGCTTATGTTTTTCTTTACATTTGTCTACCGATTTGGTAGACATACATAATGCATTACCCGTTGTGAATTGACCAATGAAAATACAGAATTACTAACGTAAATCAGCTGTCATCTGGCGCCAGACAGCGCGCGCGTGCTGTTGCTGGTTACCGCAAACCACCGTTAGATGATTGGTTTATATTGCTTGATTTACATTACGTGAATGAATGAATAAGTGATTAGTTTCACGAGATAGGAAAGGCCCTCGCGGCTTCGCCGCTCGTGCTAGTCTTTTTACGTGTTAGCATCTGGGGTGCGTTACGTGTCCGGATGGTCCGGGTATAGGCACGTGGGACTTGACTAAAAGCTAGATGCCACCAAATATGGGAAATGCTAATAAATTAGCTACCAAATATGGGAAATGCTAATAAGGATCAGTCTTGTAAGACTATATTCTCCTTACCTTTTGCTGTCTTGCAGCCATTGTGGTCCTAGGGTCATGTCTCTTCTTCGTGGCCTCTGCTCCGATGCCCAGATCTTTCTTGAAGCTGCTCTCCACAATGTCTTTCTTCATCAGTTCATCCAGGATGCTCTGGACGGATTGGTCATCATCCCGAGTTTCTATCTGGCGAAAGAGTTCTGTGGACAAAAAGGTAAATAAATGCGGATAATAATCTAGCTGTAGCATGGGGAAATGTGGCCTAATGGTTTGGATTTGTGACTCATAATCAGAGGGTCTGGGGTTTGAATCCAGCTGCTGGCCATATGTTATGTCCTTGGGCAAGCCACTTCATTCCCACCAAGGGCGGATCCAGAGGGGGGGGGGCCCAAAGGGGGCCATCCATCCCCGCCCCCCCCTCGCAATTAAGGCATGGCAATGAGTACACCACCATCTTTTCCTCAAAAAACATTGGTTAAAGTGGTCAGATATTGCTTCAGATCGCAACACAGAGCATCTAGAAATTGTGTTCTGGATCCACCCTTGATCCCCGCTTGCCTCTCTCTCTCCACCAAGCAGTATACAATGTACATGGGTACCGGCATTATACCAGGGAGTAACCTGCTAATGGCATTCCATCCAGGAAAAATAACAATATTCTCAGTCATTTAATGCCACTAAAATACTAGAAAGATACTGGCAAGATTGGACACAATGGCTAGTGAGACACTTTAGGCACTTAACCATAATTGCTTCGTCCTTCGTGCATTTTATAAGGCCTAACGCAAAAGAACATAAAAGAACCCAGTGACACTTATCGCTAACAGAAGTGGTTTGCCCCGGTGTTTCTGGCCTCCTAGTTATACTCCCTTGTGGAAGTCCTTAGGAGAAGAATCAACCAAGTAACCAAGTACCAAGAATGACGAATTACAAAGCTCAGAGGCAACAGGGACAGGAAAAAAAGTCACAATTGGACTCAAGTTGAGTTGAGCAACTGAAACATTGAGACTCAAGTCACGAGACTCATCGAGTCATACTTGAGTTGAGTCATTGATTTGAGTTATCACGACTCTGCCACAACACTGGTAAATATTTAGATACTGGATACGTACCTTCAGAAGACATCTTGTGGTAGGGGTCGGCAGCTACCGGATCGTTCTCAGCCAGGAGGTTGTTCCACTGGTCTTTCAGGTCGGTCTTGGCGGCCTTCTTGGATGCGGCGTAGTCCCTGACGTCGACATCGTCCTCAAAATACCTGAGATCATCCTCCTCCTCGTCATCGTCAAGGCCACACTTCTGGGCCATCCACTGACTGAGAAGGTCTTGCGCTTGAATTGGAGTTCAGAAAAAAATGAGGACACAAATGAGCCAAGAGAACTTCACAAGTGCAACCCCTTGTTGTAATAGACCACGGCGAATGCGTAAACAGATTTTACTGATTAATTAGGCAAGATTTTGACCAATCAGCGTGCGCTTTCTATATCGCGTCTTCGGTCCTAGACAATGGATTAAAAAAAATGTGTCACGCTCTGTATCATGTTACGCGATATTGCGCCCGGCTGTTGTTGTATTACAAAACACTGCAATCAAATTGAGTAATCAAACCATTAGTCCTGATTCGGGAATGAAATGACGTCACGATATTAAAGTAAAGTCGTCTCCGATTGGCTGGCACGCGGCTTGCATATATCTGCATGTTTAGACATATCAGACGTTATACAGGAGATTTGGCTCCATGGATAACAGGTGTTACTCCAACTACACTGTATGGTTGGAGGGGGGCCTGGACAAAAATTGGAGCGGGGCCGGTCTGTAGTCCCCGCCCATTAAAGGGAAGATACAACATTTGCAAACATCAAAAAACGAAATGATCAAATTATCACGAAATATCGTACTGGATTGTTAGGGACTGACATTCGAAAGCATCCTGTAAAATCGTGGCTCTTGGTGTTCTGACATTTTCAAGAAAACTTGTATTTTTCCAACGCTGGTCGGCCGACCAGCGTTGGAGAAAACTGACTGTTTTCAAAAAGTGCCCCTAATTTTTCATATTTACATGTAGTTATTCTGCATTTTCTTTGCAATTGATTAAACACCTGTGAAGGGGTACAAGCCTTTTAGACGGATTCTCTGACCTAACAATCCTCCAAAGTCTATAAATTGCTCCGTTTCATCTTACGTGGGGTCAGGGAACCAGACTTCAAAAACATGGTTGGTTTTCTTGGATTTTCCAGCATCTCCAAACCCAAAACGTGAAGCAAGTCAATTTAACAATATTTGCTATAACATACTAATCCTCCCAATCCCTTTATTTCTGAAAATTGCAGCAAAAGCAAATGTTGTACATTCCCTTTAAACCAAAAAATAGCTATTCACAACCAATACTGAATGGATTTCTGTGACTTCGGATTCAAGTATGTAGATGTAGCAGTGTTACTTTCTTTGATACCTTCTGAATGAGCTTCATCATGATCATGCACGGCCTCCAGAGTTGCAGCCGCCGTGCCGTAGCTATTGGCTAGCGAGTAACCATCACCACGACGACTGTTGCCGAGGCCAAAGGTCACTGCAGCTGCTCTGTCTGATGCTTTCTCCACCTTCTGTGAATCAGATCCAAAGGGAAACCATCACTCATGCACTTTTAAACTTTTTCTATCTATTCACTTTCATGTTTCTATCTATTCACTTTCATGTTTCTAAGTCTATTCACTTTCATGTTTCTATCTATTCACTTTCATGTTTCTATCTATTCACTTTCATGTTTCTAGCTATTCACTTTCAAGTTTCTATCTATTCACTTTCATGTTTCTAAGTCTATTCACTTTCATGTTTCTATCTATTCACTTTCAAGTTTCTATCTATTCACTTTCATGTTTCTATCTATTCACTTTCAAGTTTCTATCTATTCACTTTCATGTTTCTAAGTCTATTCACTTTCATGTTTCTATCTATTCACTTTCATGTTTCTATCTATTCACTTTCATGTTTCTAGCTATTCACTTTCAAGTTTCTATCTATTCACTTTCATGTTTCTAAGTCTATTCACTTTCATGTTTCTATCTATTCACTTTCAAGTTTCTATCTATTCACTTTCATGTTTCTATCTATTCACTTTCAAGTTTCTATCTATTCACTTTCATGTTTCTAAGTCTATTCACTTTCATGTTTCTATCTATTCACTTTCATGTTTCTATCTATTCACTTTCATGTTTCTAGCTATTCACTTTCAAGTTTCTATCTATTCACTTTCATGTTTCTAAGTCTATTCACTTTCATGTTTCTATCTATTCACTTTCATGTTTCTATCTATTCACTTTCATGTTTCTATCTATTCACTTTCATGTTTCTATCTATTCACTTTTTAATGGCACACAAGATGGCAACAAATGCAACTTGACATTTGGATGTTTCAAAATGGTTTGGATATATGTTCATTAAAATTGTACAGCATTTATGTATTCCGCAAGAAAATCAGTTAAATTTGGTGGAGGGCTTACACATACATGTACCGAAACGAAATTTCAATGATACAATTAGTAAAAAGATGCCTCCCTAAAGCTTTCTACAACTGTTTAGCGATTGTAGAAAAAAAAGCTGACTTTACGTTTCTTGCAAAACACCTTGAAATGCTTTCAGACTGCAGTTTAGTTACAGAAAAATTGACCTTTTCCACCTTTTCATTTCATTGCATTTCACCTTTATTTAATTAATAAAAAAAAATAAAAAAAATATTAAAATATTTGATAATTGATCGAATATTCAAATATTTGAATATTTAGCACAGCCCTACGAATAATTATTCATGGATTTGCGCCGGGGGAGGGGGATGTTAATTCAACATTTAGGATGTTGTGTACATGTATGTACATGTGTATGTACCTTGATCCAATTTTGAATGTTGTCACTTGCAGGAACGTGAGTTTTCGGCTGAAACAGAGGTAATGAAATCAGAATCAAACAAATGCTTGTCTTGAAAACAAAATTAAAAACAACAGCAAATCAATGGAACCAATCTTTTCATTTTTCGGACATTAATTAATCAAACAAATTACAAAGAAAAAACAAATTATAATACTTTCATGGACATGTTTTTGTTCATTTTGTACTTTGTAATGATAACACAATAAGTAGGGAGAAAACAGAGCATAATTTCTATTGGCATGTGCATGAATTCAACAACCAATGTAATGTTGCAATCAACTTGAATCAACACAGTGGCATCAACATCAAAAGTCCCACTTGGTATTTCTTTGTTTATGGAATTTTGACTTTACATGACATGTCGTTTGGAGTTGATTGAACTGTTTGGGAGTGAGAACCGAATCGCTTTCTTTTTGTGGTGGCTATCGTTACGACAGCCCTAACGCAATTTCCAAATACTATCGTTATTGTTAAAGATATAGTCCATCATTTGTAATTTGTGCATTTTGTTCGTTTGAAACAACAAAAGTGTTCAAAATCTAATGAAGGATACTGAACAACTACATTTGTAACTTGATGAAGTTTCAGCTCAGCTTCAGCTGTAGATTCCGAGAAAAACAGCATTCCAGGATCTCAATTTCAAATCAAAAGTTGCTGAATCGTGTTTAGAATTGTTTTGAATTGCAGCTATACGCGATGTCGCGCACTGATCCGACGAATTATAGCAACCGCGCGCGCCTGTCCGTCGTGCCAATGCTTGCGCGCGCTGCGCCAAATAACAAAACGAACTACTAATTTAAATTTTCCTACGGTGCGTCTTAAGATGCACCGTTGGAAAGGCCTTCTTTCGTTGATTACTTCAAAATGATAGCTTGCCAGAAAGATTAATTTCACAGGGAGTTTAGTCCACTTACTATCTTTCAACCAAGTATGTTTTTCAACAATAATACGCCAGTTACTTTTTCGGATGGCTGCAAATGATGGACTATAGCTTTAACTGCCAGTACTACAATGCTTTGGCTGCTCGATTGGTACAGGCATTATTAGCTCAATGAGCTGAGGGAAGCTGGTTCAAATCGCTGCAGCGCTTCATAATTTTGTATTTTTTTTTTCCGGAATAGATTTCTTAAATTTTAGGTGTGTATTTTGTAATCAATTTTTTTTGGGAGGAGTTTTTTTTTAAAAGGGAAATAAAGTCTGGGAAAAAATTCCGTACTCGGACGTCACTTTTTTCAATTAATTTTCTAGCGCCAAAAGTTACATCTTTTATGGTTATTCCCTCCACTTTCCCTCCTCTACTCTCACCCTCTCCTTTCCTCAATTTCTATATCAGTCAATACTTCATCGGGATTCGAACCTCTGACGCTTGCTTGATACACGAGACGCTTAACCGCTAGGCCGCGCACGATCGCTGTTGCAATAATCAATCTTTGGACGTATTTGAAGTATCCATCGAAATAAACTAAATATTCATGAGAAAATAAATATTCATAATGACGTATTGCACTATCATTGGCAGGCTCATGCGACGTCATGGTTGTTGATGTCACGTGTATAACGTACCGCTGTCTTTCAGCCACTACAATCAGTTTTGACCGGCTGCTTCAAGTTAGTTCTCCACGACGTATGCATCCAAAATGTGCTCTAAAAACACATTTTGAGTAAATTTTTTTCACCTTTACACAGCTTCCTGGATTTCTCTTGGTTCAAATGACAAGGTGAGGTGACAATTAATATGTTTGGCAGCAGATAAATTGGCATCCGAGTATGGAACTTTTCCCAAAGTCTGAGAACCATTTGGTTAATAGTGTGGTTACAACAGGCAAATGGAGATCGTGATGTTGAATACTACATGTACTAATACTATTACTCATATTAGAGCTTTACATCATCGTTATACATCTGCATCTGTATACTGTTAGCTTCTGTACAAATGCCTGGTGTGGCTAGCTATCCCGTATACGATAGCATAAGCATTAGCAGTTGAAAATCACATACGGCTGCCGTAACTAGTATAGTACAACCACTGCGTAATTAAGGGCGATCGTGTAGTGTAGGGCCCGGTTCATATTATAAGGGAACAAAATCCATTTTAAAATTATTAGTACGACCGAACTAGTTGGCGACATTCTCAATAAACAGGTATGTCATATAGATAGAGGGCAGGGTTTTTATTTTTTGAGGGAAATTTTGGGGTAAAATGATGATGGCAGCGCGGCGACAACACGCAACCCGAAAATGGCGAAAGATGGCGATCGCTGTGCGATGTACCGTGAGCACGCACGGCGCGCTGAATCGCAAGGCACAAACCGCGCAGGAAAATCGTGATTTCTACTCCAAGAAACTGTTCAAAATTGCAAAACGGGTGTCATTAATAGAATTGAGAAAAGTCTGCTTTTGATTGTAAAGGTAATCTCTGAATTTGAGCAATAACAAACAATTTGACTCTAATCTAATTTGATCAAAACAAAACAGGGGCCCTACACTACACTACACAATCGCCGCCCTTATCAGTGCTAATCATGCTAATAAGACATGTAAGAATGAAATGTTCTTCAAATTCTCCCTTTTATCTAACTTGGATAAGTTCTATAGTTTTAACGTATGCTACTGCCCTACTTCATAGTGCCCCTACCCAATGGCAGAAGCCAGTAGGACTTTACAATGTGCCATGGACTGGAGGCCGGAGGAACATGGAGGAATAAGAACACATTCTTATTCCTCCATGGGAGGAAGATGTGCTTTACTACTTACCCTCGTGTTCATATGCGCGCTGGTACTCGATGTGTCTTTTGTGGACCATCTTTTCCAGCGATATAAATCGCTACTTCTGTTGTTCGCCATCGTGAAAACAAATTAACCTGAACTATCGGCTTAAGCCTACACATTCAACAACATCACATCGAAGAAATATCACGACTTCTGTGCGATGAAACTTGTGATTCCACGAATTTTTTTCAACGGTCGCGAAGCCGAAAGCTTCCCCCGCCATGTTTTGTTGACAAGGAATTTTCTATGACTGTTCCCTGTGCAATTTTTGTATGCATGACAAGCTTTGTAACTAGCCTTTGTAAATGCACAACGTTCCGGAAAAAAAGGAGGAGTAAAACAGTCGTAGGGTTCCTTAAAAAAGCAAGATGGCGACCTCCATGGTTCACCTTTGTCGGTCTAATTTTCTGAGGTAAGTTTTATGATTTTGTAAGGCTTTGCAAGGCCTGAGAACGGTATAATGTACTGTTTAAGTAGGAACAACATTCCTCATTACTTCAGTTGGAAATTTTTCGATAATTGTTGACACCTTATCGTGGAAAAACGAGGCCCAAAATTGTAACGCTGGAAAGATAGGGAACATTATTAATTGAACAAACAGTCCACGCGAATGTCAGACAAGTCGACCGTTGAGACAACTCGACTCGGGACAAGTCGACCGTTGAGACAACTCGACCGTTGAGACAGGTCGACCGTTGAGACAACTCGACTCGGGACAACTCGACCGTTGAGACTGCTCGACTTAATGGAAATGAATACACGTGGAGCAGAAAAAGTTGCACAAATCTGTGGCAAGACCGATCACGGGTGCGGCGCGGGCATACTCGATGTACAGAGGGCGTCGCGTCGGGCCGGTGCGCCCCGCCCGCGCCCACCCGCGAGGACCGGGCCGGGCCCGGCACGCGGGCACGTCGACCAGCGCGGCAAATGGGCGCACAGGCCCGGCACAAACGATGTCACCGTGCACGGTACGGCCACGTTGACCGACCGGGGATGAGATAAGTGGGCGCACAGGGCTGGCAAAAACGATGTCACCGTGCACGGTACGGACAAGTTGACCGGCAAATGGGCGCACAGGCCCGGCAAAAACGATGCCACCGTACACGGTACGGCCACGTTGACCGGGGATGCGCGCACGCGTGCCTTGAAAAAAACGAACGATGTGCACGGACAATCACGCTGCGCTATATCGGCTCTGTTATATGCAACAAAAAAACTCATGTGTCATCACTCCCAAACGGCGATCAGCCGCCGTCAAAATCCCCGGTACTATCCCCGAAACTAGGCCCAAAACATGCGAGGCGACTTGTCTCAACGGTCGACTTGTCTTTCCATTTATCGCACATACGGTCGAGTTGTCTCAACGGTCGAGTTGTCTCAACGGTCGACTTGTCCCGAGTCGAGTTGTCTCAACGGTCGACTTGTCTGACCCCCGTCCACGCGGCATGCACGGGGCTGGGGCCGGGCACATTCGCCCCACTTGTGTGGCCTCAGTATTGCTGCGCTGTACATGTACGTTCGGCCACACGCCTGGTTTTCCAACCTACTGAGGAGTTTAGTCCAAAGCCTGGCGCACCTTTTTGGGGCCTTTTTTCACCTGTTCACATACATGACATACCACTGCATACGGTCATGACGGTTGTATTTCTATGATGTCTTATCTTTTGCCCTCCGGGTAGATAAGGTAATCTTTCTTCAATTTTTTTTAGAGAAATTTAGACATCTTTCAGGAGTCCTCATGTGACGTGTGGCCTAACGTACAGCGCAGCAATACAGAGGCCACACAAGTGGGGCTAGGGGCCGGGGGGGGGGGGGGGGGGGGGGTGTGCCGGAAAGAATGTTGCAGCCTGACGCTACTTCAGGGGTTGTGTACAAAGGGGTTGTGTACATAAATTGGAAATGTTTCTCAGTCCCAGATTCATGTCTACTCACAGTCTAGTTATCATCATTTTTGCAATGACTGACCTTCATTGAGATGATATATGAACTAAAAAGCCACAACAGGTTGCAACATTCTTTCGTCATGCCTATGAAGTGTGATGATCCTGGTTTTTTTTCAGCTGAGGAGTGCACTTTTAACTTGTTGACGCTTTGTTGACGCTGATCGTGGAAAGGATTTTGCACTGACGCCACTTTTTTCATTCATTTTTAAAAGGCCTAATGAAGGCCTTATCACTCATTGCAAAAATGTTGAGAAGACATGTGAATCTGGGACAGAGAAACATTTCCAATTTTGCTATTAAATACTTTAAAAATGCACTCAACTCTCCATAGACTTAACTTTGGTCACAACCAAAGAATGGGCGTCTGAACGCCACACTCTTTTCCTCAATGGTGTTTGTAGATGCTTTTTTGTTTGTCACAAAAGTTAAAAAGCACTGTGGAAAGGAAAAGGGGCCACTAGGCCTATATTTGGCCAAAAAGAAAAATAAGTCGGTCTCTGGTCAGTGCGCGCGTCGATTTTAATCATGCGCGTCGATCTTTTTTTTTTCCAAAATGTTCCGCGGTAGCTCCAACAGCGCCCTCTATTTCCGCACCTCCTCAATTTTTTTTACCAAAGAGCACCAAGGAATGGGAAATTGCACCAAGGCAAATGATCGAAAGCACCAAGGCAAATTATGGAGGACACCAATGTACATGAGGACAGCAGAAAAGCAAAATAGTACCCCACCTTGTCTGTACAATCCAAGCTTGAAGAAAAAAGAAAAAAAAGCGAAAAAAAAAAAAAAAAGCCGCGTGGCCGCGTCAATTCCGGAACTTTGGTCTGACCAGAGACCGAACATTTTTTTTTTTTGGCCTTAGTCCAAACATTTGGGACTCTCAATACTGTGTATGAAAGTCCCAAAACATAAGGTACTGAAAATATTAAAGAAAGGTCTCCTTTAAAAAATTGAATTGAGTCTTCAAACTTGGTTGGTGAAATACTGTATGAGGACCTTTTCTTTGCCCAATGAAAGTTTTGGAGAAATTTGCTGGTTAAAGAGTGAGTACAGTTGGCCTGATCTTCTTTTGCATCGTTTTGAGCACTTAAGGTCCCAGTCTGGGCCTAGATGTGCCTCTGTTCTCACAATACTTGTTATCCAACTTGTGCAAATTCGCAAATTATTTGGCAATGACCAAACATTTTTAATTTGTCTTTGCAGAATCCCTTGCCTTTGTTCACAAACAGCGCGGAGTTTCTTCACAATGAATGGGGCGCTTTGCTTCAGAGCAACGCAGCTTTTGTAGTAAGTTCTAGCCACAAGAGAAAATGGCAGTTTCCCCTGAAGAAAATGAACCGAAAGATACATACATGGAAAAGATTATATGGACACCCTGCTGAATTCATAAGAACCCTATGTGAAGCCTCCTGAAACCATCAGAATCCAACAGATCTGAAACAAGTACAGGGTATTGTTAACTGCCTATTCATAAATACCTGAGACAGTTTACCTACATGTATTCCCATTACATGAGAGCCAGTCACGTATCATGTGGAGTACTGTGGCCTCGTGGTTAAGGGCACTGATTCGTGGTCTGCGGGTAAAGCTGCAGGCTGTGGGTTCGAGTCCTGGCGGGGTCATGGTGCGTGTGCCCTTGGGCAAGGCACTTTGTCACTCATTGCTTCTCTCCGCCCAGGAGTAAATGGGTACCTGTGAGGGCAGAGATGGTTATTGTGATTGAATTAGCTTCCTTGCGCCTAACAGGCTGCATCCAGCTGTATACTCCCCAGGGAGCTGAGATGGTATTTGGAATGTTTCATGTGCTCAATGAGCAGGGGTAATAATGATGTAGCGCCTTGAGCACCAGTCCTGGTGGATACGTGCGCTTTATAAATATCCATTATTATTAGTAGTAGTATTATGTCTTTTAAACAACAGATGATAAAGATATGGCTGCTGGTGGTCTTGTTAAAACAACTTTTGCAGTGTAACATGAAATTTAGACTCCTATGAAATCTGTTACCGTTTATTGGTTGAACGTTCACAATCCTCACATAGGCATGCGCAATACTACAAATGAATCAATATTTTATAGTCCTAAATTCACAACACACTCATGTCAGCTGCATCTGCGCGTCATCGCGCAGTATGCGTGCGCCAATCTCCATAAAAGGAATTGTTTACGTCTTACTCGCGGGCTGGACACTCATATGGCTAGAGGGGTGTTTCGAAAAACAGAAAGTAAAATTGTTGATCCAAATTGTTGGAAATGTTTAATTTTTGACTTGTTTTGACTTTTGGACCGAAAGGTTTTGATTTTTTGACCGAATGGGACTAAATATGTGCTTGGACGGTATTAAACACTATGTTTAAGACTGGTTGGAGTCTGGAATGCTGATAATTACCCTCTGCTTTGCCTTGGGTAATTATCAGCATTCCAGACTCCAACCAGTCTTAAACATAGTGTTTAACACCTCCCAAGCACACATGTATTCCTATAAATAACAGACACAAAACTTACATAGGGAAGCCTTTTTTTATTTTGCAAAATAAACTGTTTTAAAAAGACATGGCAAAATGTAGCAATAAAAAGTTTGAGATCAGCAATATAGCTATAAAAAAAAATCCAGGTACATGTAGGTCGGGTTATGGTAAAACAAACAATATTATTGTTGCCTTAGCTTGTGTGAGAAATTGCTTTTCCCCTGACGACTAAAATATGGTAGATGTGACACTTTGGTATTTAACTGTTGACTATAGCGCTGAGCCTCCAAAGAAGAAGAAGAGGGTGGACCCCAAGCAGGAGATGATGAGGCAGCAGAGGATACTGAAACGCATGAAGAAGATCCAGTTTAAGATGGGGGACCCGGAACTCAAACCCATAGAGGAGTTCAGGACGGACAAGAAGCTCCTCCTGGATGACAAAAGGTATGGAAGAGCACTCGGGGGAATATGTGACTGTCACAAGCTTGGGCAGCGTAGTGGTGTGCATTTGCGGGTAGTACGGGAACCGGGTATCCTATTGTGATAAAACACGGGTACCTGGGTTCCCCCAAAAAAGAAACCCCACTCCAAAATTTAAATCCCGGAAGTTGTCTGAAGGGCTTTATAGCTTTACTGTGTAAACTGCAACTTTCGCAAGTGTCATCACACTTTAATAGATAAAGCAATTATTCTTTGACCATATGAAATTAGGCCAATATAATTCCATTCAATTCTTTGAAATTAAATTTCCAGAAATCTGGTCAAAATTATATTTAAGGGCCTTTCTCCAGTCCTGAATGTTTCAAGTCCATCCCAAGTCCATCACAAGTCCATCATAAGTCGTCCCTCACAAGTCCTCACAAGTCCTTCACAAAGTCCTTCTCATGTCCATCACAAGCCCTCACAAGTCATCACAAGTCATCACAAGTTATCGCAAGTCATCACAAGTCCATCACAAGTCATTGCAAGTCCTCACTATTCCACCGCAAGTCCATCACAAGACCTCACAAACCCATCGCGAGTCATCCAGTCCCAAGTCAACTAACAAGCTTGTCAAACGAACTGTGACAGTGGCATTCCTTTATAAATTACTGTTCATCCACTGTTAGGCCTATTACTTGTGAACAAACTTGTTCATTGACTTGTGATTTACTTGTGACCGAACTTCTGATGGACTTGCAATGGACTCGACCACAACACTACACCTTTGCATCTGTCTGCATCTGTTAGCTTCTGTACAAACGCCTGGTGTGGCTATCCCACATGCAAGGAGTCGGTGCAGACCTTTCACATGTATTTATTGAATGATACTTCTTTTTTAACCAATGCAGAAAGCGAGACACCCCGGCCCTGACCTACGAGGAACAGGAGCGACGGGCCCTCCTACAGAAGGACTGGGCGCGGCACAAGTTCCAGGAGCACGTGACCGAGACCAACCTGATCCAAGCCCTCCTGAGGTCCCAGGAGAAGGCGCTGAAGGAGCTGAGGGCAGAGTCCGAGGAGCTGTACCAGCAGGCCATCCAGGCAGACAGCAACCTGTTCCCGTTTGAGGTCAAAGGGCCGGTCTACACGCCGCCGATACCGGGCTACGCCAAAGACAGCCCCGACGGGGAATACGTGGACATTTCTAAACAGTATAAGTGAGCTGGAGCGAACACTGCAGAGTTTGTAGTCAAGTCGGTCACACGTCATTCACAAGTCAAGTATCAAGCTTTTCAAATGAATTGTGACTTCCTATGTGTCTGTGTTCATCCCCTGTTGCTTGTCATCTAACGATTGGATGTGAACATGAATAAGTCACAAACTGAGTCGCAGCGTTGTGCGTACTTTGAGGAGACATTCCTGGAAGCCATGTACGTAGGACCATCCATTATCAAATAATTGAGTTTCAGATTATTCGAAGCTAGGTTTGACCAACTATTCAAATATTGGAAACTCACCGATCAAGTTTTATACGTGCCAGCTGCAAATGTGTGCCATGCCAGGCAAAATTTATACACAAAGCACTCCAGTTAAAATGTATGTGCAGCGATTGTTATTATGGATTGTGATCGACATTTTCATGTGCCTGTTCCAGTATCAAGATTACCATGTGTACATTGACATATTTTTAAGGAATTGACTTGCTGCTGTATTAAAAAAAAAGTGGCGTCTGGCAATAAAGCATCACAACTTTATTGTTCAAAAGAAACCTCAAGTCGTGTGTGTGTATGCTACATTTAGGTTATTTTCTTCAAATATTCAAACCGGCAAAAAAGCTTCTCGAATATTTAATTGATGATCGACAATTCAATATTACCGGACAGCCTTAAAGCCATGTATCATTCACAGTGTTTGTTTGCACATTGATATTGGAGGTTCTCCAACCATATACTGTTGGTGTCATGGTCAGTATAACCATTGTCATTATTGCGTTTCGTCCCTTCCAACTTAAAGGAACACTGGGTCCTGGAACAGCCCAATTGGGCTATAAAACGCGCTTTGAACGAGATGATGTTAATCGGAAATAACATTTAAAAGTAAGATATAAACATCCACACAACTAACCTTTAAAACTGGGCGTTTTTGTGTTATTCCTGTTTAATGCGTGCGAGAACGAATTTCGGGGTCCACTTTTGCGACCCCATAAATTTGATCTGTTTCGATGCTAATTGTGATTTCATTCGTTCACCTTTTGTGGACTTTGAAGAAACAACTATTTTTTGCATTGTTGATTGGTCACCGCTGTTCCCGAGACACACAACATGTATATCGTACACTGAGAACGACACGAGAAACGTATTCGTGCTCCGTCATGTCCGATGTAAACAAGCGGGGTTTGTCCGTCTTTTCTCGGGAACGGTAAGACATTGTAGTTAGGTTGGTTCCCTTTCAACCAGATGTTTGAAATAGGCTAAGTAAACAATCCAAAACATAAAATTTTCGGGGATTTCAGGACCTAGTGCCCCTTTAATGCAATATTCAGCACTGTGATTAATAACAAATTGTTGAGTGATTCGTGACCAGGTCCTTTATTGAAAACTAAACAATAGTTGACAAACATATCGGTGCAAATCACATATGCTGTTACAGCTGAATTTGTATAAATACTGATAATTCTACAAAAACTGGAATGTAATTTAACTACTCAAATATCTGTTAAATTCATTCAAAAAGTCACTTTCTATGTAGCAAAACAAAACTCTGGGTAAAATGTACTCCTACGTATATATACACTGTAATGATCAAACCTTCTGCACTGTTGTACCACTGCTCTATGGTTGTACAGGCAACAAAATTTTGAATAAATCATGTTGATTGGGCAACAACCATTCAAAAACTCTTAGTTTATCATTTCTTTCACCAATATTATGACTTGCACATCCGTATCCTTTTTTCCTTGAGAAACAAAAATGTGCATGAAATCAACAAAGGGCAGTGAATGAAGTTAAACTTGGTTAGAATGATCACATGTTCCCACTGTTTGTGGAAAATGTCTGGATCCGTTCTTGTGTATAGTAAGTATATTTTTAAGCTATGGCAGGAGTTTCTACATGTCGCTTGGTGAGCGGTATAAGCCCCCTATGGCCCCCCAAAAAAGTCTCCGGTTTCTGGTATGCGCGCGCGTCGCCGTAGCCATGCGCGTCGGCAAAATGATTTTTTTTTTTTTTTCAATAAAGATGATGTCTGAAAACCGCCAAACTCACTGGTTTGACCGGAATCCTGCTGCTGCACAATTTTAACGTGTTTTTAGATGGGGTTATGATCGAGAATAAGCTTTATGTGGCCTCTCTGGACTCCCATTATATTTGCACTAAGTTTAGTCGGGCACCATTTGCAGTCATCCGTCAACCGACATTTGAAGCAAAAAAAAAAGCCGCGTCGCCGCACCACTTTTGGGGCAAGCTCCATACCAGAAACCGGAGACTTTTTTTTTTGGCCTAAGTTTCTCATAAAATATAAACAACCAAATTTTATTTTAAAAAAAAAGCAAACAAAACAAATGAAATACTTTAAAAAAAATTGTAACAATTCGGAAAGATGTTTATGAAAAGTGTGTAAATTGAGGCAAAATATTTGCTATAATGTATGTATCACCAATGACTATAAATTTAGGTATAAATCTAAAGTATGGGGTTCCATATGTGCCATCACATTTTTGGGCGTCGCATTTTTGAGCTCTGCCAGGGATCATTTTGATAGATTTCATGCAAGACGGCCAGAGCTTATTGTGCACTCGCACTTGTTTAGCTTAAATCATGATAAATCTATGTGTGCCTTCTTCTTTTCTGCTGTGTAAAACTTTTCATATTTTCTGACACATAGGGTTGATGTCGATTAGTCAAAATGCATTAAGTGATGCAAAAAAATAAGCAAGCACAAGTTGTTTCTTGGCAGCACTCACAGTGCAAAACCCAATAATATGGTACACCGCAAAAGATTTTGGGGCAAGTTTACTACTAGAAAGCAGGAGGTCGTGGGTTCGAGAACCACCCGAGTGATTTTTTTTCCAACTTTCACTCGGGAGGTATCACACTGAGTATGCAATATTTATACATCGGTGAAGGGCAAAAACCTAATTTGATTTACATCACCCCGACGCAAACATTCCTATGAAGAACTTTACTATTACTAAGCACCCAGTAAAACACAAACGAATAACTAATAGGTCAGGGACTTAATTTAAAAAAAAAAGGTATTCATCAGGGTCCCTTCATGCCTATCTGTAAAATGCAGCTCACAGTGCTCTTGGTGACATACTCAATATTCATAGTAAATTTCCATATATAAACCAAAAACGTGCCTTATGGGTACGACAATGAAGATAATTAATATTCAAGAATTGTTTTTTTCCCAGGTTTATTGTACACTCGTGTACACTCGTACATATTATAGCCACTTTAATCTGTAAGGACATTCATTTAGAAAGAGAATGTGGGAATTTAATACAATGTCATAGCTTTTATTTCATAATTATTAAATGATGTATCTTTAATTGAATCACATTTTTTTTTACAATGAACACAGCAAAAGCAACATGAGCCCAAGTGCAACTTGTACCAAAGTGCCGAAATATGGGCGTGGCTTGATGCCTGTGCTGGTCACTGTAGTGCCTGGGGGCGTGGTCATTTTTCCTGGGGGCGTGGTCATTTGGACATCTGACCGTAGTCTGTCTCCGTATTGGTCGAGCAAGGTTAGAATGACGCCGTTGGTCCATCCGAAGCCAGCCTTGTTGGGTTTTTAATGGCAAAAAAATAGATCAACTTTTTTATTCAGGTTCAGGGGCCAATTTCATTGAGCTGCTAAAAGCATCTATAGGAAGTTGCTTAGCAAAAACAGGTTACCAGCCAATGTGTCATACAACTGAAATTACTTTTGACTGGTTCTCAACACCAGGCAGGTTGCACGGATTTGCAATCTGTTTCGGGGGGGGGGGGGGGGGATAATTTGAAGTTGGATGGTTTGCCTAGGCATGGGTTGGGTTGAGTTGCGTTTGGTTAAGTTTGTTAAGGATCGAGTCCAGTATAGAGTTCGGTTAAGGCTGGGCTTGGTTCTGTTGTGTTGGGTCAGGCTAGGCTGGGTTGCCTTGGGCTAGGCTGCAGTATGGGCTCGTTTTGGTTAAATATATTACGTTGGGTTGGGATAGGTTAGGTCAGGTACAGGCTAATACAGGGTGAGTAAAAACAATTCGAAACCCAAATGTCGGGACCATTTTTGTAGTGAAGTTCTGCATGTAGCACTTTCAAGATCTAGGATATGAACGCCCAATTTGTAAGCTTTACTTTAGTACAAGAACACCCATATCACTCATGTACATTTCAAGTTACAATATTTTAAACACAAACACCGTTTTAAAGTTCTGTCCACGGATCACAAAAACAAGGTAAGTGTTCTATCAGCAAAACGAAAACAATTTACATTCATACCTATGTGAATTGTTTTCGTTTTGCTGAAAGAACACATACCTTTTTTTGTGATCCGTGGACAGAACTGTAAAATCTCGCAACTTGAAAAGTACGTGGATGATTCGAATTATTCTTGTAATAAAAGAAAGCCTATTAATTGGGCTTTCACATCCTAGACTGAAAGTGCTACATGCAGAAATTCACTTTAAAAAAATGGTCCCGACATTTGGGATTCGTTGGTTTTTCGTTTTTTTTAACTCACCCTGATTAGCTTGATTGCGTTAATTTATGAACGTGTCCGATCATGTTAGAAAGTCCTGCAAGTTATATTAAACATATGGCTTCTGCTCAAAAGAGGATATGAAAGTTAAAAGAGCAGATGACTAGAATTGTAAAGATTTTTCCCCCACGTACCTGCACTCCATATTCACCTCCATGGCCTGGGACACCCTGATTGGTCACATCATACTGTCGAAAGCAATGAATAATTCATAATGAATAATTCATAACAATGAACATACATTTCATGAATATTCCTTGAAATGATATTCAGGTTGGTACTAAAACTGATTTCCCCATTTTCAGTCGTAAAGCTCACCTTTTCGTACATCACTTTCTTCTCCTCGTACGCAAGGAAGTTGGTCAGCGTCCATTTCTGGGCCAGGTCAAAGGCCAACTGCTTAGCCTCATCCAGCCGGCTGTTGGCCAGCGCTTCGATGAGCATGTGCTGGAGCGGAGGCCACGCGTTGGGGTAGTCCCACTGCTGACCCGTATTCTGTTTTAAAGAGGTCGGCACACCCCCTGGAAAGTCTAGAACGCCCTCTGCCTGCATGTGCGATTAAAGGGAATGTACAACATTTGCTTTTGCTGTAATTTTCAGAAATGGGTTGCTTTGGGGGGTTAGCATTTTAAAGCAAATTTGTACTTGTTTGAAGTTTTGGGTTCGTAGATGCTGGAAATAAAAACCAAGCAAAACATTCATTTTCTTGTAGTCTGGTTCCCTGACCCCACTTAAGATTAAACGGAGCAATTTATAGACGTCGGGAATTAAAGGTCAGGGAACCAGTTTAGCGGGCTTTTACCCGTTCATAGGTGTGTTGATTGCAAAAAAAAAAAAAAAAAAAAAAATGCGTACTCACTAAAGAGGATAAATTGGGAGCAGTATTTGAACAAATTAAAAGCTGTTTTTTTTCCCAACGCAATGTGATACCGAAATACCACTTTTCTTGAAACTGACAGCACACCAGTGCTTTGATTTTACAGGAGTTTTTAGACCGTCATTTACTAACAGTCCAGTAAGGTATATTTCGTAATTATGTGGTAGTTTTGTTTTTTGATGTTTGCAAATGTTATATATTCCCTTTAAAGTTGGCTCTGAATAATCTAAGATTCAGCAGAGTTAGTCATCGTTCACCGCACTTAAACCTCTTGACCATTGAAATGGTAACAACAACCATCCCATCAACCAACTAACAAAGCAAGTGACTATTTCTAAGCCTTACAATGTATACGAACAATGCTTACCAAACACATACGGGACCAACCACGAATGGAACATTCAAAGTCATACTCAGTCAATTACTGGTCATTTACAAGTCTATTCAGAAATCAGTCATAAGTACAAACGGGATGAAAATAATGATGTTCTGTTTACAGTTGGCTTTTGATGGCTTGTTATTTTAACTTGAGACTAAAACTTTTGATTGAATTGTGATGACATACTTTATTGATTGCAAGTGTTTAACCAGACGATTTAGGAGAACTCACCATTCATTCAACTAAACAAAAAACATGCCACCGACGAAATAACGAACGTTTTAGTGACGTCCGATTAAAAATCACCGTGCATGTCAATCAAGGCAGCCATCCGCCCCACACAACTAATCACAATATTAAATCGTAGAAAACCACACCGCTCACACACACTAAAATACCTTTAGATAATTCATCACGGCCCTTTCGGTTTCTTCCTCCCCGCCTTCGTCTCCCCCGTAGCAGCCCGCCCACATCGGCACGACACACGAGAGGTAGAACTGGTTGTTGTTGGCGGAGGACTTCAGGTCGTAATCAAGCCACGCGCCGGACGTGTCACTCCAGAAGATATCACGGATCGCCGCTCGCCTCGCTTGGTGGGCGGTTCGGAATTCTGCAGCCTTTGATGTATCACCTGTTATATCATTACATTAATTGTATGTAAATGCAGCGTCACTCTGCTGCCTATCCGGTTCGCAAGTATCATACATGCACGCGCACGCACCACTGATTACTAGCGCCCATTGGCTAAACACTCCACTTTGCACTACTTCCGGTTCCACTGCATGGTTCCCATGCTACTCCGTGTGCAGTGGGCGTGGTCTATTTAAGTTGAAATGACGCCACACTTACGAACCGTATACACGAATCCAGGCACGTGATCACTGTACCCTCATGGAGAAACCATTCGCTCTGTTCACGCTTCCGCCATAGGCATGCACAGCCTCGATCTGGCAGGTTTACACAATGAAAATAGCCGGTTCAGTGATTCCCGAGTCGGGGTTCAGATCACAAAACCGGTTACTTTCATTGCGTAAACTTGCCAGATCGAGGCTCTGCATGCCTGTGGCGGAGCGTGAAAAGAGCGAATTATGCACGACGTGACGAATTATCTGAACACAGCTTTCACGATGCTTTCGCCATTGTAAGAGGCCTCCGCGACAGAATTGATAACTTTCCCGAATTGGTCTATATATTGGATTAGGAAGTTCTGACATCAGTGCTTTTCGGCATGCTGCTTGGGTTTGAATGATGAAATTTAGCTAGTAACAAATTTGGTTTTATCAAGTAAGCCCATATACGATGATTCAGTTGTAACAGACATCTCACTATCTGATGTACCTTACGTATCGTCAGTCCTCACAACAATCATTATATTATCCCAAAGGCAACAAGAAGTACATGTAAACAAAAAGATATCTATAGAGAGTCTGCGAAAATATAAAATGAAAACCTGCACTGCGAAGATTCGTGACCAGTTCACTTACCCGCCCTTTCGTAAAAGTCAGCCATCAGTTTCTCGTTGAGGCACAGGATGCTGTTCAGATCCACCGGCACTATTTCTTTGGTGCGGATGGATCGCAGTGTGCCCTGCTCGCCGAACCACCGACTGGAGAAGTCCCAGCCGCTCTCGGCCGCCGAGGCCAGGTTGGAATATAGCTCTGCCGCTTCAGCTAAAATATTTTAGAAGTCAAACGAAAGTCATGTCTTTTTGAAACCTAACTTCATGCAGATTTTTATCTGTTCCTGAAAAAAATAATTTATTTATTCATTATGTCAAAGTATTTATTAAAGTTGAACTTAGATTTTAACGGGGTTTGAACCTGCGACCTCCCGATTGCCGATTCGGTGCTCTACCAAATGAGCTACACAGCCCTATAGCGTCCCCATTTTGCCAGCGTCTTTGTTCAAGGGGCGCTAGTCAGAAGCCATAAACCCTTATTTGCCATGTAGCCAGGGTTCACACCCAAATTTAGTCACGATGCCAGCAACATTATAAGCAATGCTACAAACTTGGGAAATGGCAAACAGGGATGCAGAGAGGATGCAGCTTTTGTTTTATCCATTTTCATTACTACACATTTTATAGTGTAACTTATTTGATATTATTTACAAACCTATTGATATATGCGTCCTTTTTGGATTCTTTATAATACAATGACATTTTTGAAGTTGGTAATGGCAAATTAATAGATGAGAAGTGCAAAATTATAAAATAAAAAAACCCTACCGAAAGGGATTATTGGCTGCAGCATGACATTGAGTGGAGACATGTCAGGCTTGTTGAGGAACTATGGATTCAGGATTTTCCGAAGGAAGTGTCTGGATTGTTGAAATCAAAGATCTCAAAGGGCAGGGATGAATGGATGAGGTATTATAGGCATCGACGTTCAAAAAGAATAAAGGCATATTCAAGATTATTTGCAATGATTGAGTGATGACTTTATTCAAGGAACATTAGGATAGTTAACTTTGTCGGTGGTGGGGATTAGGTAGCCATCCCTTTCAAACCGACCCACCCAACCGGCTTCGCTATTACCTTGCGATAGTTCCGATGCAGTTTCCACATCTTCTCGATAAGATTCTGGTCTGTTCAAAGAAGGAAGCAAAAACGCACTTAAATGACATTGTACTGATAATGTTTGTTGGTTGCATGGCGAAGATAAGAGAATGCCATCAGACAGATAATAGGCTCAGTCTCCTGGCGACGGGCAGAGCATACTTTCCGAAACGATGAGTTTCCCTCTGTTCTTTTCAATACCTCGCAAACTCTTAGAAGAGATTTGTCACATGGTGCTACAGTAAATCACTCTTTATCTTATTGTACTGCGTTATATTTACTCCTTGACGAGCCCGTGAAACCGTAAGTGCCGGGCAGTTTGGGGCAGTACAGGGAGCAACAGGCAGGACGGTTTATGACGGTGTATGTACTAACAGTGTTTTCATCGCATGATCAAATACCCTATATGTCGTCCGCCTTAAAGTTGGTCTATTTAACCATTTTGGTTGATGTGAAACAACTGGAACAGCCAGCTGCGGTGTACCGTGGTTTTCCCATGAAGACGTTGTAGCGGTTCAGTGTGTGGCTCACGGAGCCTGCCTGAGGCTTGGTGACCACCACAGTCCGATTGGTCATCCAGAACTCGTATTCCTTCTGCAGGGACGGGAGGATTGACTGGACGAACGCGAAGTCATTGGTCGCCTTGAGGTACTCGTTGACCGCCGGGATGAGGAACGGAGGCTGGCTCCTGCGTTGGTAGTAGACCCGGTTACCATTAGGAACAAAACCAAGTCTGCACAATGAAGATCAAACAAGGCAAATAATTAGCTTGAATGGGATTCCCAGGGCGTGTCCAAAAGGACGGATGGGTTGGCTTACCCTAGCGAAGCGGTGCTTTCCTCGCCTTCCAGCGCTGTGATGACCCAGGTTCGATTCCGGCCTGGGCCAATTATGTGGATTTGGTTTTCAGTCCCTACCTGATTCCATGGGTTTTCCTTAGAATATTCTCCTCGGGTTTTCCTCCCACATCTAAAATTGTAATTTCTTCACATTGTCTACTTTTTACTGGGCTCATTGGAGACCAGTGGATTCCACTAAATAGGCTATACCCAGTTAAAATAAATTAAATACCCCGACTGTCCAATGTTAAGGAGAACAATGATGTGGTTCGGTCATATAACTCGCCACAACTCTATTGATAAGACCATCCTGCAAGGCACAATAGAAGGAGGAAGGAGAAGATGAACACAGAGAAAGAGCTTGCCTGACAACATCAAGGAGTGGACAGCCCTGGGCATACCGACTCTCCTCCAACAGGCAAAGGGTAGATCACGCTGGAGACTGCTGTCCGTTTCAGCATCCGTCATGGCCCCCATACGTCCTTGCAGGAGTCAGGGTGAGTTAGGGAGTGAGTGTAAGTGATGGGTATAATTTTGTTCTTACGCTTTATACCTTTTTATGCGTTGATTGCAACGCCTCATCACCCCTTCCCCCGAAATATCTTAGACCTCAACACCCCATTAACCCTCCTTTTGGAAAATCCTGGCACCACCACTGCATTCACAACCTTACTCAGTTACCAAAAGGTTAACTTACGTGTCCACCATCGAGACGAAGTTAGACAGCATTCCCTTCACCGTGTCTGTCATTTCGGACAGGAGTAACCCTTTGATAATCCAGTACGAGTCCCTGGAGACGCAAATTAGGAAAATGTCTGATCATGGAAATGCAGGAGTATCCCGTGCCTTTGCCTGAGCCTATATACCTACTTGTTTTAATTCACAGAAGGCCCAGAGACCTCAATAGGCCTTATTTGTGAGGAGTGATATAAGCAGTCAAGCTTTACTTTTATAAACGAAATAGTATAGAGTAGAGGGCGGTGACCAAGTCCCGAGTTGGTGTAGGTTAGGCTGCACCCTCGCATCGTATCGCATATTCGAATACAAAATGAAGACTGAAAACAAATTATCGATTCCAAACTGCACGTAAATGAATACAGGGTTGTTGGTTGCTTCAACGCCACGCCCAGTGGTAGTAATGCGCATGCTCCAATTACCCGGCTATATGCTGGCACCAAGAGTTCCAAGAGTGTCTTATGGGTAGCAGACCAGCAAATAAACTTCCATAGACCCCAATGGTAAATGCTCCCACTTCAAAAATTCGGGAAAAATACTCACAACTCTCCAAAGTGTTCGAGACACACATCAAATTAAAGCTTATTTCATCATCTTTCATTTTCTTTTCAATTTTCGGGGGGTCAACTGATGACTTTTAGGACAAATTTCCATCTGAAGATGATCACCCCTGAAAATAGTCCTGAAGCCCATCGCCATTTTGAAAAACGATGCCTACACACTCCATTGCAAAATAGAGCGCTTTTAGGGTCCAAATTACATCCAAATTACACAGAACTGCAAGCTCCCAGTCCTGTGCACGGCTTCCACCCATATTTCTTTTTACAAACCCTCAAGTTCATGGCCCACAGCATGCTCAAATACTGAAGATTTTGAGGGCATGCAAATCGTGATTTGGCCGGCGTAGGCAATTTCGGACCGATTTACTGGTCTGCACCCTTATTTTGAAAAGAAGTATGGCGTCCGTATCACATAATGAGAACTGTCTTTACCAGTTTTTGTTTTCATTTAAGAATGGTTTGTTTACCAGTAATAGAATTCCCTGAAGCGACCACCTGGCACGACAAATGGCTGGTTGACATACATGAGCGAATAACGGTCGGCGTTGTCTCTCACGTCGTCTTTAATCTGGTGAAGTGCAAACAAAATGTAAAGTTGTCCATTCCCGTATTTAGTACTGCAGATAGGTGATAGGATTGTGCCTTTGATGATCCAAGCATTGCATTTGCCACACAGTCAGAGTACGTCATGAAAAAGATATTTGGCTAAAGGGCCAAGAGTATTTCATGAGAAAGATATTTGGTTAAAGAGCCATCGCAGATTTGTCGTTTGAAAAAATAATAGGGAGAACAACAAGCAATTGCAGCCATTTTGAGAATTTGAAAATTGCTTGTTATTATATAGCTGTATTTTTCTTTTCAAAGGACAAATCTGCGACGACTCTGACTTTGTGCCAATGCCATGCTTGTATCATCAAAGGTAAAATTCCTCCAAATATTGACCCTATCTGGCCCACTATATCGTATAGCAATCGTACATAAGATCCATGTTCGCAGTTTTCACTGTTGCAACCATCTCCACTCATAGCTTGGCCGTTTGCAAATTGATATACTGCTGTTGTAAATTTATAGTAAAGTGCAAATGTTTGTTTCCCATTATAATGAGCTTTTAGCGAGCAAGACCTACAACCTTATACAAAGGCTTTGTGTTACAAGAGACAAGATTGTCTAAGAAGCCTGACTCACAGGTCTCTCCTGTAACATTTGCAAAAATGTGCACAATGATCGCCTGACCATCGCGAGCAAAATGAGAGCAAGATTGTCTCGCATCAGAGAATGCCAAATGATGGAATCTGAAACTCACCTGCCTGCCGAGCTCTTTCCAAAGATCGTTCAGATCGGAAGCCCAAGCCCTAAGCTTTTCGTCGTTAATTTTCTCGAACATTGCAGGGCTGGTATTTATGTAAAAAACAATAATAATAAATGAAAGAGTACTTTTTGAGGGGCAGTTTTCCATCTCGAGAAGGTATCGCGAGAGGAGCACTATTTTTGATGGCCAATGTTCCATCTTGACAGAGGTACAATTTTATTACTGCGAGAGGGTTTTTGTGCTTTCGAGGGGGAAGTTTTACATCTAGAGAAGGTGCACAATCTTGTTAATGCGAGAGGGGTACTTGTGTTTTTGAGGGGCAGTTTTCCAATACAAGAGAGGAGGCAATTGTATTTGTAGCGCGATCATAATACGTTTGCGTTTGAGGGGCAGTTTTGTTTTCATCTCGACACGGGGGTTATTTTATAACCAAGAGAGGGGCACTTTTATTGGCCGGGGGAAACCTGGGGGCAGGCCCGGATTACCAATAGGCACAGTTGGCACTGTGCCTATAGGGCCTACGAAAAATGGGGGGCCAACGAAAACTTGGGGGAGGGCCTACGAAAATACCGCAGTGTGCCATAAAACACATAGGCCTACCCACAGACACCCACACGCGCAGAGAACAGTTTTTAAAAACGTTTAAGGGTATCTCTCAGAATTTTCGATTTCACCAACTAACGCTGTACAGCATGTATGCATTGGCCCTACGTATAAAATGTACGTGTAAAGTATGTCGTTCTGTAGCACGGTGCCAACCATGGGCGTCGATCGGTGGGGTGGGATTCGGGAACGGGGAGACAGATCGTTCCACAACGGTTTTCGTCCCTGAATAAAAATATGTAGCCTATATTTGATTCTATAGCTCAGAACAGCTCCAAATAAACTGAAAAAAAAAGATGTTTAAATGATGATCTTGTGCTAAAACTTTGGCAGTCGTCAGAAATTGCCTCAGATCGCACCACAGGGCGCCTAGAATCATTTTTTTTTCAGGGGCCCTTTTAGCGGGCCCCGAACCCCGCGCCGTTTAGGCTTCGCAGTCGCACAATTAGTACTGATCAAGATACACATGTATGTACCACCCCCACTTTGAGAAGCGAATGACGCCCTCGAGAATTGGTGCCAACAGGCTGTTTTAGCTAGGACCTATACCAGTTTGGCCTGGCTTGATTTGCACAGCCCCCCCCCCAACAAAAGTGTGTTCTTGTACCCCCACTCCCAATAGGCCTAATCTATAGCCACACATTTTTATTATGTGTTTTTTTAGACAGGGAAATTTTCCGGTTCTTATTACATGATTTTCCTAGTGTTTTCAACTTCTGGCGTTGATTACTCATAACATGGTTTTGGGGGACATTCCTCATTTTGCCACATTAGGTCACAAATTTAATGTGCCCCCTCGAGATGTAAATATAACTGCCCTCAAACGCATATGAACGCATTATGATCGCGTTTAAAAACGATCTCCTCTCTTGTAATGCAAAAGTGCCCCTCAAAAACACAAATACCCTTCACGCATTGACAAGATTGTGAACCTTCTCGAGATGGAAAACTATCCCTCGAAAACACGAAAGACCCCTCTCGCAAGAAAAAAATGTGCGCCTCTCAAAATGGAAAACTGTAGCGTAAAGAAATAAAAGTGCTCCTTACGCTTTTAAAATGTAATGCAAACATTTTTAAAAGTGTATATCAATGTTTGTAGTAAATTTTGCTCTGGGTAACATGTATTTCTTGCAATGTGAACGAAAACAGTTTCACAATTTTCTCCTCTTTGACGGCAGGTGCCTTTTTTGCCTCTTTTTGGTGATGCCCCAGTTTTAAAAACGTTCCGCTGCCGCCAATTGGCGTATTACATGTCCAGGTGTAAGTAAAAATTATACTCGCTAGTTAAGTACACAATACGACCCCAATTTAGATCGTCCAGTCGCCATAGGTTCATGGATTTGCTTTGTTTCATCTCAAAGGCCTTTTCATGACCGCAGACTTGAGTCAAGGCGTATGGCATAAAGAACATGCGCGTGGCAGGCTCGTTGGCACCGCGCGCCGTCATCTGGGCGTAATTCCCCTGGTGAGAGTGGGGTGGGGGTATAGCCCACACTTTTTGACCGCGGGGATGGGCTATTGAATCATGATGAGAAAAAAAATGAGGATTTTGAGGTATTTTCCGAACTTCGGAGCAACTACAATGTTTTCAGAAGCACGGGAAAGTGTAGAAACAAAGTACAAAAGCTTTTTTAAAATGTAAGCGCGAGTATACATAATTGATAAAGAGCGTCCCAGTATAATGTGGTGTCCAGCCGTTTCGAATGTCCCCGGCCGGGAAATTCGGGCGTTTCATGTGCCACCAATAGTTTGCCAGGGAGAGTTCATTTTCCTACTGCATTGTGGGAGATAGTCGACAAATTCGCAGCGCGGGAAATTTGAAATTGTTATTTTTTTCCGGTCAGTAGTTTCGTAAGCGTATGATTTGAGTATAAATGTGCCTTTTTCTTTTCTTTGTATCAATATGGTGTTTTTAGTAAGGCGGCAGAACGCTATACCCGAATTTATAACCACTTAGCTAAAGTTGTTTAATGACTATTATAAGATGGAATTTTGCGTCGGGGTGATATAAATCAAACTATAGGTTTTGCCCTTCACCGACGTTTAAACACTGAGTATACAGTGTTTAAACGTCGGTGAAGGGCAAAACCTATAGTTTGTTTAATGACACTCATTCAAATGGGCCCTTGTTTTGTCGACCGTAATTTGAAAAACTGACTCTCCATGGCAAACTCTTGGTGGCCCTCTGCATTGTGAATCGCCAGAATTTTAGGATTTTGGTCATCCCCCATCCCCCCCCCCCCCCCCCCCCACTCGCCAGCACAGATTTACGTCACTGGCCGTCAGTGCACTCGCGTGGTCACGATCATTCTAATCATGCCACAGGCTGACATTAGACTTAGCGTAAGTACAAGAGACGATGAAGTTTCCCAAGCTATTTAAGGGAGCTGAATTACAATCAGACAAACACAATTCCCTCGTAATAATTTGTAAACGGGTCAGTAGTTTGATAAAAATATAATGAGGTAGGGGAAACTTGCTAGAATTTGTCTCAATGATAGCGACATGTCAGTGCCGGCCGAAAGACGTGCGACGCCAAACAATAATTGATGAGACAGAATAAGGACGAGCTTGGTAAGCTAACTGCTCGTAGTGACTCTGAATAGTCAACTGCTCGGTACATAAGAATGATTGTAGAAAAGAGTTACGTAACAGCATTCATGTGTATAGCACGATGCTGATGCATCTTTCGTGCAGCTTTGAAACACAAAGTAACTCTCCCACTACGGAAATAAGGATTATGTTTTAAACGCAAAGAGAAAAGCACCTACTGAAACAGCCTAGCCGTTAAGCTGTCTGACAGCGGACCCAGGGTTAGGGGTTCGAACCCGCTTGGTGCCATATTTTGGTTTTCGATGCCCGCGGTTCTGTCATTTAAGAGTATTAATTTCCCGTCGTCATTTACCAACAGCAGTTAGCTCGGTCGGTCGGTAAGCTGACTCACAAGTTGGGACTGTCTGCGAAGTCCAGGTTGGCATCTGCGTATAGGTACGGGGTTCTTTTGCTGACTCGGCAGCAAGGCTTAGGGTGCCACCTCGTTTCCTCCCTTTATGGTGCCTGACTTTCGAGTTACATGGATGGACAGGGAAGGAGGTGTGGTGGGCCGGGTACCGAGTCCCAGAAGAGTTCTATATGGAAGTCGGTAAGGGGCTCATTGAGTTAGGGTCATAAGTCCGACTCCTGAAGACTTGGCCATCGCCACATAACTTTTTGTTTTATTTTCTTTCTTTTCTACAGGAGGACATTTGCAAGAATGGTTAATTTGTTGTACTAAGAGCTTGTATTGTAATTGTTCGAAATTAATTTTTGAAATTGCTCGAAAATACAAAATTCAATCCCGCTATAAATAATGTTTTTATTTCATTGTCGCAAAACTGCATGTACATGCTCAGTACCTTTGCGCATACTGTGTTCAGGCCTGTTCCCTGATCCCAGACTGCAGGGGGGGGGGTCTTTAAATCCTATAGTGGATTTTTTTTAAATATTTTTATATTTTTTATATGCACAGCTGTAGCTGTCAACCCCCGTATATGAAGCGACTTCGCGCGGCAGCTTGTGCCGACATGACAGAATGTACAATCTTTTGACATGGGTTTCAGAACCGGATTTTAGCATCGCAGAGTTTTGAGCAGCGGTGTATATTATTTACATCTTCCACTTTGTTCTTATTCCCTCTTCCTTTCCCCTTCCTTCTCCATTCTTCGGAACACTTGTGCCTAAGGCCTACGAATCACTAAATTTGGGCCTGCCGGGGGGGGGGGTACCCCCTCCCACCCCCGGGTTCCGCCGCCCCTGCGTATGTAACGTCTCCTTCAGACAATGCTTATGGCCGCAGATCGGTAATAATTGGTAGTGAACGTAGTCGAAAGGAATGGTAATCACTTTGAGTGGAATATTTAGGAGAGTGAACATAAACCGTTTCGCACTGCTTTTACCTAGGGTTCCAATCCGTCGGGGTCCAGTCAGTAAACTCCGTGGCCGGCCCGTCGAAGTTTGCCTCCACGAAACTCTTCATGACATCTCTGTCCAACGGATCGGACAGGTTTCCAAAAGCATCCAGAATCACGTCTGTGAAAGTAAAACATGGATATAAACCGAAAGAAGATTTTGGGCTGGGCGTGCCATGTCAGCTCCTTGGAATCTATGCTGTAAATCAGCGTGCCCTCCTTCTGAAGGCCCATAGTGAAATAATAATATCCATGCGAAGTTGACAATGGAATGCGTATAATTTTACTCGTGGTTTCCCACAGCTTGCGACAAAAATGGGGTGGGAAAATGCTTGAATAGTTTGCCACATGTTTGTGCACATGCGCATCAGTTTATTTTGTGTGCAGCAAACAACTATAATTTTTTTTAGCAAAACCTGTGGATATAATCACTCATCTTAACGATATAAGCCTACATCAGGGTAGACTCGTAGACTCTTATGCTGTGCTCAGGCGCGGATCCAGAGGGAGTTGACCCCCCCCCCCAAGAAAAAATATATATAAGTAAACAATATGCTGCACATTATGTCCGCCTGCCCGCACCAATAATATTGGACATGAACAAACAAATCTGACGGGCCTGACCCCCCCCCCTAGCAAAAATTTCTGGATCCACCCCTGGTGCTCCAGTCGGAAATTAAACGAACAAGTACATGTACGCATAAGTTAAACATAACAAATGGTTTGTATAATTCAAACAAATGTAGCACGAGAGGCGTATGGAGGTGTTAGGTGGGACACTATAGACAGTGGCACACCCGGGGGGGGGGGGGGGGGCCTCGGGGGGCTTGAGCCCCTCCCAAGAGTTTGTCAATTTTTTTTTTTTGATTTTTTTTTTTAGTCCCACGATTTTACCTTGGTGATATGTATGTGGCCTATTCTCGAGTAGTATAATAGGGGTGTAAGTGGCGCCACCAACGTCTAAATAGTCCGCCCCCGAAAAAAACCCTCCATTTCTTTCTGCGGCCAAACATGTTGGGCAACATTTTTTGAAAAAAAAAAATTGAGCCAACCCCTCCCCAACCCCCACCAAATCCTGGGTGCGCCACTGACTATATACCTGTGTATTATGGTATTGGCAAATCCAAAGTAGGCCCCTCTTGGGCCTAAAAGTGTTGCTCAGCATATTAAGTGTGCCCATTGTTTCAAGTCACAATACCCACTCAATATAATCAGCGAATGTATATTGTAGCGATGTCACAAGAAAACAAATTATATTGCACCGATGTCACAAGAAATGTCCAAATTCTTCGTGAACTCTTCATTAACCTTAGCGATGTCGTTTCAAACTGCATGTCTCTTTGTAAGATGTACAACATTTATAATCGTTGCTTTACAATCATGCAGTAATCTCGTATGCTTTTATTTTCTTTCATTGTGTTGTATAGTATTTGTAAGTATTGTAATTGTACATGTGTGTATAGCCATTTGTAGTCATGCAGTCACCCCGTATGCTCTTATTTTATTTCATTGTGTTGTATTGTATTTGTAATGTCTTGTATTCGTAGATGTGTGTATAATTATTTGTAGTGTATGCAGGGCCCCAATGGAAACCGTTTCATACTGTTTAGGCATACCCTGGGTATATATGCAATAAATCAATCAATCAATAATAGCTATTATTTAATTCGGTCATACCTACCTGGGTCATGCTTCATGTGCAAGTCCACGAATGTCTTGGAGTCGTTGTACACGTAGGCATCCTGGGCCGCTTCGAGCAGGGGTCCATCGCAATAGATTTCACTGCCGGGATAAAAACAAAGACGGAGAACATGTACCTTCACGTGTATACTCCTTGTACCCTTTGTTATATACCACCAGGTCCCTCGGCAATGAGCATTGACGTGCTGTTTGAGATCTCTTCGCGTATTTCATGACCCTTAACCCTAACGCGCCGTGAAAACTGAACTTTCCCATATACGTCGTGTACACAGAGCACAATTACCATTCGTATATATGAATAATTGATTAGCCGTAATTCCAAAACCCTTTGACCTATAGTCATGAAATTTCTTGGGTATGTTCATGATGAGTTGTTCTATGCACATACAGCCCCCCCCCCCCCCCCCGGCTGAGAGATGGTCAAAATAACCCGGCCCATTTAGGGTTAAAGAATGTATTGAAACATGTAAGGTCAAGTAAAAAACTAAACAAAGTAAACCAGTTTCTGGTCCTGCCCGCTTCTTTTTTTTTTCCCCACCAGCCTCCCTTTTATTGAATTCATACATTTGCACTATATTTTGTAAATATATATTGTCAATAAGGGCAGTTGTAATTTTATGTATTTCTAACAAAATTGTAGCTATGTAGAAAGGGCTACGGCTTCTTTGGACACAATTTTCTATCAGCAAAAGAGTCGAGAAAATGGAAGAATCAGTCCGCCATCTTGAAAAATCCGCCATCTTGGGGGGGGGGGGGAGAAAAACCACAGAGTCAGGCTCATTTTTTTTCTCGAAAAGCCAAGACCAGAAAATAATTTTTTTTTACTCGGCCTAAATAATGCGGTTTTTAACTGAGCCAAAAAAAAAAAATAATAATAATAAAACTAATTATGTGTACATGATGAATCATATCTACCACTGCAAACTCAGCACAAAGTTTACGTTTCGTAGTTACGTTCTAGTGGGTCACTGCTATATCGGTAAAGTAAATAAGACTGATAACAATTGATAACAGTGTGCATTTGGATAAGCCAGTTTCTTACCAAACAACGACACTAGTTTTCGATGCAAATGTCAATGTGAAATTATTGAAGAGTGCATGGAACTTGTGCAGCGTCATGCTCGGGTGTTGACTTTACTGGGTCTCTTTACCGTGGCCGCCCTAAATTGTCAATTTCTTTTTTTCTTTTAACGAACCCTATCAGGATGGGCTATTTTATGTTCTTCTGCGGACCGAGGGGGTGTTACATATTCCTTTTAGCGAGAAGGGCGGCTTTACTGGATCCCAGCATGCAGTGTAGTCATAGGCGTAGCCAGCGGGGCTGTAAGGGGGTTCTATACCCACGCCCCAATAGTTTATAAACACTGCCCTTTTCTAATCAAGTGCCCTTTTTCAACAGCGTTCCCCCCGAATATTTTCAACAACTTGCTTTTTTCCGAACAAATGCCTTTTTGTGGCATCAGCAGCTACTGCGAGTGCCTTTGTGTCACCCTGAAAAGCGCCTTATATTGTCCGTTAGCTTGCATAATCGTCTGTTTTGAAAAGCGCCCCCATCTAAAAAAGGTACACCCCCACTATTTGATTTTACGGAGGCCAAGAGTCTAGAGAAAATTTGACGATTAGTAGTGTTTTTACATCGGTTTCCTTTGTTACCATATAGACTTCCTACAGAGTTCGTTTGGTAACCGCTTATTTACCCTCGACAAAGTTAGTAAAGGTCACCGAATTTCACGCCGATCAGCCAAACTTTTCGGGAGCTATACAAGACGTTTCATTTGGGGAAACCTTGAGCCCCCTGTGCCTGATGGAGTTAAGAGCATCTTTGGAAAACGTCGTAGCTAGCAGCTTATAGGCAAGTACAAGAAACCTAAATTATCGATCTTAGCAAGACAAGAACCGACCATCAGGCCCGTATTATCCAATAGGCACAGTAGGCACTGTGCTATAGGGCCTACTAAAAATTTGGGGGCCTACGAAACAAAACACTGTGTGCCAACAGGCTTTTAGAGCTACCAGTTTGGACTGGCTTGCTTAGTACAGCTTAGCATCAACTTGAAATTGGTGTTGGTGTCTAGTGCGGAGTAGGGTCTGCGAAACACTGGCGCCTAGGGCCTACGGAACACTTAATCCGGCCCTGCCGACTATACGGTCCTGCAGAAAGATGTCTTACTTCAGTGTCTTGTGTTTATGTAACCATTATTCTCATTGTACTTTGCACTGATAGCCATACTTAATTACCCGTATTGTAACACTGTCAGGACCATTTCAAAAGCTAACAAAATGTATTCCGCACTCTTAAAAAGAACTTCCGGTATAAATTTCATCCGGAATCCGGGTAATATTTGGCCTGGAATCCGGATCATGTTATTTCAAAGTGGAACATTTCAAGGTAAAATAAACCTTTCCGGGTCAAAACGACACCTCTCCGAATCATTTTGAACTAGAAAAATATCGTTTAGATCCCGAACAGTATCGGGTCAAGTGTGACCCGGATTCGGGTCAATCTGACCCAGTACTCCAAGTGTTATAATTGATACATTTTACCAAATTACTGATTAACGCCGAATCATGCGTGCGACCAATAAACCACAACATAACTGCCGCATACCTCCTCCGAGTCCATGGATGGATACCATGGATGGATACAACCACAATAAAATCGTAAATTAATCTTTTGGAAAAACACTATTAGTGTATCCAACCAAACCTGTCACACGCTGGCACGTCCCCCAAAGCCTCTCCGGCAACGAGAGCAGGCAACTTCGCGAGGCAGACGCCGAGAAACACGAGCAAATCAAAGCGGAATGTCATGGTCAACGTTGATAATGAACCTCGCGGTATACAAGGCTACACTGCTGATCTTCCTATAGGCCGATGTGTGTTTTGTTGATTGTCATCCCCGATGTGTGCCCAGGCCAACACTGGTCCGTTTACGTGTCTTATTTAATACAACAGATAATTAAATAGCTTCATTGCTGTCTATTCTAAAGCGATATGAACTCTGATCTCTATAAACCAGGCCGATAAGGAAGATACGAAAGTTAACCATTACCTTTCGCGACATGTACATCGTGATGTACGGTCATAGATTGGGAAAACCCTTCGGTAATACTAAAAACGCGTCCCACCTGGCTCTCATAGGAAAGCGCACAGTAAACAAAGCTTGACGTCATTAGGTCTTAGGTCTATTAGAGCTGAGGGACTTCCCAAAATTAGATGGCGGTCTCAACATTTCCCGATAAAACGACCACTGATTACGCGGCAACACGGCTGAAATGTGCCCCCAAAACATACCGCAAACTACCAAAATGACGCCACCTGCGAATCAGTACAGATCAAAAATAAGGTGATTGCACTATGGTGAACTTAAACGGTTCGGATGGAAAGTAAAATTTCCGGTTCTTTTCCGGCAAGAGCTCCTTCTCACGTTCGTGGACACGTAATAAGCTTCCAATTCGTTAGAATGGAAAGGCAGTCGATACTGTGATCATACTGAGAGCGCGCAGGGGGTTCCCAACAAAGTCATTAGGCCTTTATTAGATATCCGAAAGTTTTCAAAAATACATGAAACGTCACTCATGACAGTTTGTTTTTACTTCAGTAACAAAACTAACAGTCATCAATGCTTGCTTACGACCAATAAAACGGATGGGTAAACAGAAATACTGACCTGCGATAACAATCGACTGATAAATCAAACGGTTAAAGTTCTTATGCCTAGAGTTAGAGCAGTTCGATCGGTATTTCTACTAGTGCAACTTCGTCCCCAGTGCTTACTTTATTTCCATCATCGCTTCCAATAGTAAGCCCTGGATAGGAAACTTTCTTCCTGTATCCCGATTCGATACCGCAATTGGCCAGAAATGGATTTATATCGTGTACTTGGTGTTGTGATTCACAACGTGCAGTACGTGTTTTCGCGACCATTCGTCCATGCCTTCTCGAACATTTTCATTTTCTTTCCAATTTGTTCATATCAACATGAAACGTGATACTGCATGTTGTCTCGATAAGATCGTAACAGTTTAATTAAAATAAAATCGTGTTTTCGTAACTCACGCCATGCTCGCGCTGCGACGAATTGATTCTGTTTTTGATCCAATCACCGCATACAAAAACGAACGCAAATGTAACGCACAGACATGCACCAGACTGTTCCTCATTTGCATACGTGTTCAAAAATCCTGAACATGCAAATGATCCAATACCAGGGTGAGAGAGCAGCTAGTGGTGGGCGCGCACTGCTCGACACCCTGGGACGAGGTTGCTACTAGTGTACAGCCGCTGGACCACGCCTTCGGAACAGTGGGTATTTTCAAAGGTCTTCTAAAAACACACTTGTTTGTCTAGTTTCTTTTATTGCTTTGTATTTCATTTTGTCACCGATGTTCTGTAGATTGAGTTTCATTATTCATTGTGTAATTTATTATATTGCCTTGTACCGTGCTGTGTTCCTTAAAGGGGGCTTTATCAATGCCTAATTGTATTGAATTGTGTCAAGCAGGGCAAATAAGTCGGTTTGCAAATCAAGTGGATTAGGATATTTGTGGTTGACAGTCTGCAATGATAATGATTTGTGGATTAAACCATTCGTTTAGTATTAGGAATCATGGAGGGCTCTTTCTTTTTGCAGCCCAAACTTGAGTTGCTTTCAGCCTTGTCATCAGCGGCGTGTTCCAGGAGTGGGGGGGGGGGGATCATGGGCGTCACCAGGCCAATTTCAATGGGGTGAGTGGCAACACATTTGTCGACACCCATTCTGGAATTTGTATTCCTGTGGAGACATTTCTTTGTTCTCGTGTAGTAAAGTTTTCGAGTGTGAAATTGAAGTTTCAAAATGCTCTTATTTTAACCAGAATTAATTTCCTGGGCTGAAATTTGGACTAAATATCCCTTTTCTAAAACTCTTCCATTTGCGACGGATCAACCTACCTTGGAAATTCCTAGTTTTTGAGTAAAATCCATATATCTATTTCGTGAAATTCTTGTGGAGACGTATTCATCTATAGAAATGTTCTTCTGGAGACGTATACAATCTTTTGTTCCCTATTGTGTTCATGTCTCCGTAAGGTAGTAAATTCCAGCACACCGTGCTGGAAGGTAGCAGGGATTGTTCCCGGTCACACGGCCGTCGCAAAACACAAAGTAGGATTTGGTGGGGGAGGGAGGGGTGGTGGTTAGGGGGCGGGGTCGATGATGAGGGGGAGGGGGGAGATGGACACCATCCGACTAATTGGGGCGCTGTTCAAAGCGGAAAAAATATTCAATTTGTTTCCGTTCGTAAATAGAATCAGGAGTGGGTGATCCCACTCGTAGCGGTTGTGAGGTGCTTTCATTTCCTTATAACCTCCACAACTCCATCAAATCCATCCCACTATTTTGGTGGTTTTTGGAGACTTGGTCCTGTAGGCCTGGTTTGACCAAATATTGATAGAGTAAGATAGACTTGGGCCTGGCGGCCTGAAGCAGTGGTAGGGGAAACCGATTGATTTTGCCTAGCATGCTGTACTGTTGTTGTCATGTATTAGTCACGTGTATAAGTCCATCAATATCCACCGGTACTTCAGTGGTGGATTCCATTATGTCATGTCTATTGGAAGGGAGTGATAGATTTTGGCGGACTTGGTCCTCTACTTAGTAAACGACAGTAGGGAGTTAGGGTTTCAAAGGTGAAAATGGACAATTTGTAATGTGTGCGGCCATTCTGTTTCGTTTGAAGCAACAAAAGTGCTCAAAATCTCAAGACGGATTCTCAAGAACTAACCCGATGAAGGTTTAGCTCTGTGACTGATGTATATTTCGATAAAGCACACTATTCTGGATCTCGATTTCAATTCAAAAAAGCTACGTACTAGTACTCTCGCTGCACGAGTCATTCAAGGGACACCGCAGATATGGCCCCATCATTGTGGGCAGTTGCTGTTTATACAAGAAGTTTGGGCTATGTAAAATGATGAACAAACGTCAACAAGAGGTAACGGCTGAAAGTATACAAGGGGCTATAAAGAAACAAAATTTCCAGCTCAATTTAAATTACGTAGTCAGAGTGAATGCTACATTATATTTATTACTGTTTATAATGTAAAAATTAGAACAAATCGAATTATAAAACGTTAATTTCAAATCTTGCGACCATTATTTTGTTAAATATAAAATAAAAACAGCCAATATACATATTTTTGTTTAGAGCAGCCGACATTATCAAAAATGCCAATACAGGGTGAGTAAAACAAAATGCCCCTTTGGATAAGTCCTTGTCTCCCACAAAAACGGGAAAGGCTACCTTTTAGTTCTTCAGCCAACATTCAATCTGGGTATTGGTCAGATTCAGTACAAATTTCACTGATATTCAGCCATGCATGCACAGGATACAGGCCTTTCTTTGTGACTATCCAAAAACACTACCAACACAATGTTTCCTAATATTTCTAAGAAGATAATGACCATTATTTAATGGCCATCACAATGCAAGACGTAACATTTCAAAGTAGCCGTGGCACGTCCAGAGATTACTGCTGTCCAATGGGCCTTGATGGTCAGAACATTTCATGAAACGGGTAGGTATACACGATAGGTCAATTTGGAGAGCACCTTCCAGATGTACGGCAGCCTAACGGTCGGACAGTGCAGAAACTTTGTAAAAATATGGACAAAGTGGCGCAAGCAGGAACCTAAACAAGGATCGCCAGATGCCACCCCTTAGATTTCTGTCTTTACGGTACCTCAAGGTTCAGGTGTATCGCATTGTGCCAAACACCCTGCAGAAACTTCGCCAATAAATTACTGTTAAAATCCAAGCCCTCAGAAGAACACGGATGGTCCACTGAGAGATATTGCAGACATGTGGACACGGGCACAACTATGCATTGATCTAAACGACAGACAGGTGGAAGGTCGAGCAGCAGGACAATGAAAGTGGGAACCTTGTCTGTAATTCAGTTTCAAGTTCAAATAAATGTCATTCCATTTGGTTGATGTCCTGTTCTGTTATTCCGTTTATTTCCTTCACTGTCCTGACACCCATTGTTGCCATTGTGTTGATAGCGAGAGGCCTTTTCTGAACATTGTGTAATTGGTATGGTGTTTCGGGGCATGGGCGTAGCGAGGAGGGGGCAAGGGGGGCACTTGCCCCCCCCCCCCTGGAAAACCAAAAAAAAAAAAGAAGAAGAAGAAGAAGAAGAAAAAAAAGAGAAAAAAGAAAAGAGAAAGAGGCGCGAAGACAAAGTGGTGTAAATTTAATGAGTTGGGGGGGGGGGGCAAAATGTCCCTGCCCCCCTCTAAAACTGATAAATCGAGAATATGTTGAGAAATGCAAGCATTTTTGGCCAAAAATTTGTTTGCCCCCCTCTTGAAAAAATCCTGGCGACGCCCATGTTTCGGGGTTGTCACAAAGAAAGACCTGTATCCTTTATATGCATGGTCGAATATCAGTGAAACTTTCACGGACTGTCGATACCCAGACCGATTGTTGGGTGAAAAGAAACTACCGGTGACCTTGCCGTTTTTGTGGGAGAAAAGAACTTATCCAAAGGGACATTGTTTACTCACCAAGTACATTACATTATTACTGTTTTCAATAAAAATATAAATTTGAAAATTATATTCATTATTTTTCAATCTTATCAAATAATATCAGAGAAGCAGCAGCAAATATACAACGTGCTCTTTTTGCGGACGTCGCTATCATAAATGGAAAACATATCGTGATAAACAACAACAACAACAACAGCAACAACAGCAACAACAGCAACAACAGCAACAACAGCAACAACAACAACAACAACAACAACAACAACAACAACAACAACAACAACAACAACAACAACAACAACAACAACAACAACAACAACAACAACAACAACAACAACAACAACAACAACAACAACAACAACAACAACCAAGCAACCCAACAAACACCATAACAACCCACCCAACAAACAAACAAACAATCCAATAAAAACAAAACGATGTGACGTGTATACAAACATTTACTTTAGACAGTTCTACAGAATACTTGATGTTGAGTACAGCACCACTGTAATAATACTATTCTGAATGATGCCCTAGTGTGGTTGTTATATTCTGATATGAAATAGTTCAGTCTCCATTGATTCAGCGTTACATAGGCGCCGAAGAAACACACATTAAAGAATTTCCGAGGAGATTGGAATCAAAAAAAAATCATTTCTAGTCGGTTGTCTGTGGAAGACTGACGTAGACCAAATTACGCGTGTAGAAATGTACATCTCTCTGTTCAGAATATTACAATATTCAAAACAGGCCAGCTACTTCCAACTACCTATCAAAGTGATGCCATTAATCCCTTTATATAGTTAATTCTATATTTCTTTAATCGAACTGGAATAACTGAGTAAACAAAGTACTGAAGTAATACATCTTACGCAGAAAATTCCCTTAGATTTCAGTTTGCAAAGAAAATGTACACGCGTTCGGAAATTGCTCAAAACGTTTTGATAGTTTTGTACCAATCACGGCGAATGTACCAACAGTGCATTCGCCGTGATTGGTACACATCTGTCAGGCGAGAGAATAAAATCAGTCAAAATGCAGACGAAGTCAATGGCTGTCAAAGAATATAATACTGAATAAAACATTCTAAAATTAAACTTAGACTTTTAAGCCCAGGCGTATCCATAAGTACGACAAGATTCGTATAACCTGTTAATAATTACAAGAGCGATTTTAATATCTTTCTAACTTCACTGTATGATAACAAAATATTATCTCGACTGGATGGTTGTTTGTCCTTTCAAAAAGTCAAGGTTCAACTCTCAAAATTTCAGTCTATATCCGACAACCTTCGAATGTTGTTATAGTGGCAAGTTTATGTTTTCAGTGCTGATTACTTTGACACTCTCATACTAATGTCCATTCCAGTGTTCATGTTCTTTGTTTACACAGAATGATACACATGTACTGTGGATAATAATATACACCACATGTTTGGCTAATATTACGAACACCTTTTGCTTTGAATGATTACTTATTAACATTAGTAAGTGTGTCCCGAAAGAATGCGTCACGGTTTTTACATTCTCGCATAAACCTTAACCGAGAAGCAGTCAGCCACAGCAAGCTCGCCCCGCGTGGTCAGCGCAATGCCGTTAGGGTCGTACAAATCCTGGGCCACGCACCCAAGGAACTCCCCGGCGGACGTGTACTGATGAACGTGTCCGATGTGCGATTCCTTCCCGTGCACCACTACGTAAAAGTTCCCTTCCTCGCCGTAACACACTCCTCCGCAGGACACCTGGTCCTCACCGGCAATCACCGGTCTCACCGTGAACTTCGCCGTGCCTACGCCGTCGATCTCTTCGACGTCCCCCGTATCCAATCCGCTCAGGAGCAGCTTGTCCGTCTCGCCTACGTCCAGGAAGTAAGGGGGAACATTGGTCGGGATGGTTCGCAGCAGCTCCCCGTCAGTGGAGCGGTGCTCGGTGACAACTTTCCGTTCGACGTCTCCGACTACGATGACTCCGTCTTTCTTGACAGCGACGCTGACGATGTTGACCGGGGTTTTGGTGTCGGTGCCAGGCGGGGTCGTTACGAACCTGAAGGCCAGCGACCGTTGGGCATCGTAGACTTTGACCGCGGCAGTGTTGTCTGCGACTACAATGCGATCGTCGATTGATGCTACATCCCGCGGCTCTGAAATCAATGGCAGATTTAAAAAAATAACTATGATAACGTTTGAAACAATCAAGCCACATTGGTGTCGATGGCAAAGGTGATGAGGTGGATGACAATTCTGTGAACCATGACAACAAAATGTTTGCAATAACAAGCAACTGTATCCGAACGATACAAGTTCAAAAACCTATACAGAGCTACGCGCGTGCACAGCGAATTTCCTCTCCTACAGTGCTCTCAATTGTTTTAAGCCCGACGACAAATTTGATTCATCTTAATCAGAATCTTCTCTACACCAAGCTCGAATATAGGGGGCTTGACTTTATAATCTCATTAGACAAGAGGTGATCGGCTGTACTTACTGTCCGCGAATTTGATGAATGCCTCGTATGTCCAATCAGACGTGAAGAAGGTGATGCCCCTGGTCCACAAGCCCATGTCAGCCACGGCGATTCTCCCATCAGGGCACACTGCCACTCCCCTCGCGCCGTCGAAATCCTTCTTATCGCTTCCCCACTTGCCCACTTTCTTTGTCATCTTCCACTTCTCGGTGTTCACAACTAGTCTCCCGAGATCCACCATCGTCGGCTGCGTTGCTGGCAGGAGCCGCATGAACGAGGTCGGGGTAGACGGGGGTGTGGTGGGTCGGTCTCCGAGTTCCTTCAAGTCGGCCTGGAAGATCGGGAAGAGAGACAGGAGGTCCTCATCCGTGGCGCTGGATGACAGGTGTTCCGAAACGGTCAGAGAGTGCCGCATTTTATCCCGTAGCATCGTAAGACTCTTGGTCTGCTCCTTCACTGCTTTGGCCCGCTCCTCCTCGGTCGAGTCGATCTCGTCCAGGATGCGTTGCTTGGCGTCCATCACCATAGCTACGGCAGCCATCGCGCGATCCGTCACCTCCTGCCTGCTTCTTTCAACTGCTGCGACTACCAGGTGATGTGTGTTCTTTGTAGCATTAAGCGCACCCTCAACCCCGGTCAACAGTTCTCCAACTCGCGGGAGGTAACCGCGGAGGGATTCCCTGCAGGCCAAGGCGGCGGCGTCGATCTCTTGGAACTCGTGTTCCCGGTGCGTCTTGGTGGTGCACACCCGGCAGACCAGGTCCTGGCACGTCTCGCAGTAGAACCAGGTCCTCTCCCCCTCGTGCTTTCTGCACTCCCGGACGCTGCGTTGAGGCAGTGACGCCTGGGCCCGCTCGCTGGCAGCCGGAGACGATCTCCCGCTAGCCAGGATCTTCTCCTCGTGTCTCTGGAAGGCCTCCACGATCCCACTCAGCGGGAAGTTGGTCTTCAATCCGGCCACGCCTCCCTCCAGGATCACCGTCTCCTGTCGGCAGACTGGGCAGCTGAGCTTGACGGGGCCCTGGGAGGGCTGGTACTTGAGCAGGCATTCCTTGCAGAAGCTGTGAAGGCAGTTGAGGATCTTAGGCTGCTTGTACCTGTCCTGGCAGATAGTGCAGTTCAGGTACTCCTCGCCGAACCTATCCAAGACACACATGGCATCGTCCTCCCCCTCTGCCATCTCTGAAATCAAAAGAAACAGACCTCAAAGAAAACCCTAATCAAACTCTGTCATGATCCCCATTGGTATGATTTCTAATCCGTGTCCAAGTAATGTCAAAATGACTTGTATGGCATCTGTACAGTTCTCCCTGGATGCCACACATGGACCAACCAGAAACGTTTTCTTTAATTCTCGTTCACTTTGGACTTGGATGCGTTGAACGAATCGCGACAATTATAACTTGGATCATGACAGTGTCATGAAAACGGGGAAAAAAATCCAAAAGGGAGGAATTGTATCCTACACATTTTAAAGGAAATAAATATTGCCAAATTTGAACTGATGTTCATCTTCCCATTGCAAGCTTACACGTCCTAATGTGAAACAGGTTTGTGATCTACAACTTAACACATACGTGTATAGGTGGAACAAACACAAGCCGAGTGTATCTTGAGCTGGTTCAGCAGAATATTTGGATATTGTGATTACGGTCCTTTTGAAGCAAATATACATATAATTATTCTAAATATAGGGCCTGGTAAGTCATACATGTAAGTTAAGTGCAAAAAATTAGTTGACAGTAAAGCCTGCAGTGGATAAACACTTGGTGCTGCTATCGCTTTGCATATTTATAGATCAGGCTCAAAACAGGTCAGGGGTTCTGATTTCAATTACGACTATTTCCTTTTCCCCTCAGGCTATATTGAAACTTTTCGTGGGAACAAATTAGTAATTCGTTCGCACGAATTAGAAATTCGTCGGAACGAATTACTAATTTGTGCGAACGAATTACTAATTCGTGCGAACGAATTACTAATTCGTGGGAACGAATTAGCAAACTCCAGCAATTCGTTCGCACGAATTACCAATTCGTTCGCACGAATAACTCCAGTAATTCGTTCGCACGAATTACTAATTCGTTCCCACGAATTAGTAATTCGTGCGAACGAATTAGTAATTCGTGCGAACGAAATAGGAATTCGTGCGAACGAATTAGCAATTCGTGCGAACGAATCACTAATTCGTGCGAACGAATTAGCAATTCGTGCGAACGAATTAGCAATTCGTGCAAACGAATTAGTAATTCGTGCGAACGAATTAGGAAATTCCAAAACAAAAATCCACCCTGTCCCTTCCCGGGCTTCATATGAAACTGATCGAGTACAGTGCCAGCACAGTGCAACTGGACGTGGGTTCTACTTCAAGGGGCACTAGGTCCTGAAATTGTCATGTTTTGGAATGTTGACTTAACTAATTTCAAACACCTGGTTGAAAGGAAACCAACCTAATGTCTTAGCGTTCCCGAGAAAAGACGAAAACCCCAGTTGTTTACATCGGACACGACGGTGTACGAATACGTTTGTCCTGTCGTTCTCAGTCAATGTACGATATACACGTTGAGTGTGTCCTGTGGATGTTTATATCCTACATTCAAATGTTCTTTCCGATTAATATCACTTCGTTTAAAGCGCGTTGTGTAGCCCAATTGGGCTGTTCCAGGACGCAGTTTCTCTTTAATTTAATCTTTTCATGTAGAATTCTGAAGCTGTTGAGCTTTCACACGCAACTGTGGCCACAGCAAGTAACAATGCATTCTGCTGCACTACGCCAGCCTGAATTAACACAATTCGAACCGCCTGAGGCTTTTCAATTGATGTATTGTTGCTTGAATAACATCAGACTACCTGTTTGAAACCCCGTAACAGGTAGTCTGATTTCATGTGCAGGATTTCTATTTCCGCATATACACTGCTGATGTGTTCTTTCAATAGTGGGTTTTGCCCCTAGGCGACGTATTTTATGAACACTGTATGCATTAGTGTTGTCTGGAGTGATTGTGAGAAAACGAGCTCGATCGGATCTCGGAAGCTGCGGGCCAACGAATTCGTGTTCATGCATGTGTCACATGATTGTGCCATGTGATTTCTTGAATGAATAGTGTTTGGAGTTCAACAAAAAATCAGGTTTTCGACCCCAGTGATACTATGTTAACCTTTGATCCCAGTTTTGTCATGTGACATGTTGGGACTGGGCTACTGATAATTTTGACAAAGTTTGGTTGAAATCGGTAAACTTATTTAGGAGCAATGGTCAATGTTAATGTTTGTTACGAACTAACCTACTAACTCACAATAACTAACGGAGAGACATGATTTGTTGAGCGGCTACCCGCAGCGGGTGGGACTCGAACCCACGACCTTCTGCTTACCAGTCCAGACGTCTTACCACTCGACCAACCAGCTTGTCGGGGTGCGAAATTTCGTTTCCCAAACCAGATCGGACAATATCAAAAGAGGGCGCTCTCTCTGCGTTAAGCATATTCATGATGTCCAGGGAAATTGGAGAATAAGTTATATACCAAGGAATAACAGTTTTTAAATCACCGACGATTGGCAGCTCATTCGTGGACGGGTTGGAAGAAGTCCTGACTTCTAATCAGGTGATCGAGTTCGAATCTCAGTGAGTGTTTTTCACTTCTTCTCATTTTACCTTTTAAATAAGTAAAGTGATGAAGGAACATTTTCACAAGACGTAAAGCCTATCTTGGGTTTGTGGTATGGAGAACAAGGCATTAGATATGCATGTATTGGATCAATCAGAAGATGGAAAGCGGATGTCGTTTGGGGAAAACAGATTCGTTGCCGGAGTCGGCTATTTGGCTCGAATCTAATGTAGCAGCAGCATCTTTATCCAAACAAATCATAAGATGGAATTTACATCGGGGTGATGTAAATTCAATGTTGGGTTTTGCCCAACTGCTTTATTAATGTTTCTGAAAAAAAAACCCGTTCTTATGATTTCTGTCAAATACTCCAATTGGACTCGTGAATAGCGTGAAAATATAAGACTTTGATGTCAAAATAAACATTTTGGGCATCAATATCAGATCAAACTTTCACATTGATGGATATTATTGAGGGTTACTTAAAACGAATGTGACCAAATTATCTCCATTTCATAAAAATAACATTGGGATAAAGTACATGTTACTGACTAGTAACTGTGAACGTTTCACGTAATTTGCATACGCTATTCCTAAGTTATGTCTATTTTAATAAAAATATCATAAAATTCAGCTGTCCACCACTGATCATTTTACCGTTCTACGGACTGATGAAAACCCATTGAACACGATGAAACGTGGACGTTTTCCCAACTCCATGAATATACGAAAACTCGCAAAAGAATACAGGGGAAAGTCGCCATCAATATTTCAGAAAAAAAAGAGTTGACCTGTTCCTCACATTCAAAACACAAATGCTGACAGAAGAAATAACGTTTCAGTCTTGACTCAAATGATTAATATCTTATTTGTATTTGAATGCCTGTGTGTAATTTGTAATTCTCACTCAGCTCATTAGCTTCTAAAGGCATTCTATGGGCAGCTATACAAAAATTGGTTCTTTTAGTAAAACATGCATATTATTTCTGATAACATGGATCAATTTCAGTAATTCTATTGGGTTATTTAGATGAATGGGAGAACATGCTCTTTTAAGATATATTTCATTGGTGCATCAAATTGTATTGCTTTTAAGAAACAAGATCATTCATCCAGGTCACTTTCCTTTTGACTCGCCCTGTTTTAGTAACTTAACATTTACTCACGTTCCATTCCTAACTTTACAAAACTTTTCACTGCAAACCCCTATGTAGACTTGCGGAACAGGGGTGGGGTGGGTAGGGCAGGGAAGTGACGGGTTTACACTCCCCCACCCCCCCCCCATCCCCGGAACGCCAAAAGGGAAATAACCCAAAACCTAGTACATGCCTGCTAAAACCCCTCATCAGCAAAACCTGGATTCGTCCCTGCGATATTGAAGTGTGACTTTCCTTTCATCATGAACCATACATTCTCGTACTTTTTTCCCACTGCACTAAAGATACATTATGTCTAGATCCACAAAAGAGTTCACTGAGATTATCTAACCTTTGCTGATAAACTGAACGGCGAATTCTGTTCTTCGTGTGTGAAAGCCTATTGAAGAAAACGAAGGGCGATATTTGGAATTCGTATGTAAAACTGTTTTTCATGCAGTCGTCACACCACCATCAGCCACTGTCCCATGTGCCGCGCCGTCTCTGACCGAATGACGTACTGAAGTTGACGGTGCCCGTGTGAAGGGGGAAAGCATTGATTTCGTTAAAGGGCCTATTGTGGCCACACAAACAAGTAGCTATCCCTCGGGTTATCTGAAATCCGGGTTAATTTTTTGTTCGATGTCCTATGACGACTGAGTATAATTGTTTGAATTAGGTTGTACCAGCATAAAACGCATACAGTGATCGTTGATGGGCACAAAGTTCAAACAAGTTTATTAGCCATTTGGGTAAAGTCTTTTGTATTGACCCAAACCAAATTACCTCTCCTATACTGCGTCGGCCATAATCTCAAATAGGCTGCCCTCTCGTGACAGCACTGTCAATACACTGACTCGCTTTGGAAAACTGATAAGGAAAACTACCGCTTCGACCAGATTCCCATTCACTGCAGATCTTCGTGTTGGTAAATTCTGAACTCATAAAAGCTGTTGGACTTCACCCAGCCGCGTCAGGTTTGTAAACACTCAATGAGTACTTTACAGTTAAATCTGACTTTAAGGTACGTACATCAACGAAACTGCACTCTAAAAACTCCTGGGTCAAAATTGACCCAGAATCTGAGTCTATATCTGCACAGTCCTTTTCCGGGTCAAAAATTACCCTTTCTGGTCAAAATGAAACTTTTCCGGTCCACAAATGGCAATTTTTCTGTATCATTTTAACCCAGAAAAGCGTCATTTTTTTAACCCTGAAAAGCACTGTGCAGATTATGGACTCATATCGGGGTCAATCTGACCCAAGAGTTTTAGAGTGCTGGAGCGGGGTTTGAGCCTGCGACCTCCGAATCACCGTTCGGTGCTCTACCATCTGAGCTATGCAGCCCTATGTTGGCGGTTCCCCGTTTTGTCAATGCCTTTGTTCAAGGGGCGCTAGTCAGAAGCCAATGAGCAATTTATATATACCATGTAAGCCGAGG